CAGGAAGTATTGCACGCAACTCCGCCGAAGACCCTGTGTACCAGAAAGCCCTAGAAGCATTGGACGGAGTATGCCTTCCCCCAATGAAATCCGCCCTCTCCGACTGGACGTGCATCAATGGCGTCCTCTTTTATAAAAATAGAGCTTACGTGCCAGCAGCCCAATGGCATGATGTGTTATTTAAACACCATGATCATCCCATGGCGGGACATCCCGGCCGATTCAAGACGGAAGAACTCGTCAAACGAGATTTTTGGTGGCCAGCCATGGGGACTTACATCCGTAAATACGTCGACGGATGCGCTTTATGTCAGCAGATGAAGGCTGACACACACCCTGTCACCCCGCCATTGCGCCCGATCCCCTCCGTCGCCACTCGCCCCTTCTCCCAAGTCTCCGTCGACCTCATCACTGACCTGCCTGTGTCGGGAGGTTTTGACTCTATCATGATCGTGGTAGACCATGGGCTTACGAAGGGGGTAATTATTTCACCCTGTAACAAAAACATCACCTCTGAAGGAGTGGCTAAACTATTTCTCAAAAACGTATTCAAGAGATTCGGTCTCCACGAGAAAGTAATCTCAGATAGAGGACCACAGTTCATTTCGAAATTCTCTCGAGAACTTGCCCGGCTCCTCGGATATCAGATTGCCGCATCAACCGCTTACCACCCTCAAACAGACGGACAAACAGAACGACTCAACCAAGAACTAGAAACCTATCTACGGATCTATTGCAGGAATAACCCGTTAGAATGGTCTAACCATCTTCCTATTGCCGAATTCGTCCACAATCATCGGAAACATGACGCCAGGAACACATCCCCGTTCTTTCTCATGATGGGCTACGAACCACGTGGGATCCCTCACATCTTATCGGTATCAGACACGCCAGCAGCAGAAGAAAGACTCAGAAACCTCCAAAAGATACGTGAAGAAGCACTCGCCTGCCATAACATCGCTATGCAACGAATGGCGGAAAGATCTCGCCATGAGAAGTACCGACCATGGAAGATAGGAGATAAGGTATGGCTCACAGCCGCCAATCTCCTGACATCTTTACCTTCTAGGAAACTTGCGCCCAAACAATACGGCCCATTCGTTATCACCGCAGTCTTATCTCCCATCACGTTTACCCTGAAACTCCCAGATCAGTGGAAAGTTCACCCCACGTTCCATGCTTCTGAACTATCGTCCTATCGCGAAACAGAGATACACGGACCGAACTACACCGAACCTCTGCCTGACATTATCAATGGCGAAGAAGAATATGAAATAAAAGCTATTCTTAGCCATAAGGGCACGGGTAAACGAAGACGCTATCTGGTATCATGGATAGGCTACTCCTCCGGAAGCAACGAATGGATACCCGAGGAGAACTTGCGGAGTTCGAAAGAACTTCTGACAACATATAAAAAGAGGCACAAGCTGAACTGAACGAACCATTCCCCTGCAAACGAAACCCAAGTAACATGACTCCTCCATTGACACCTTCCCCTACTGGATCCTCTTCATCCTCGCACTCTCTCGGAAACTCCACGTATAAAAAGAATATCCTTGACCTTGACGACGACGCCATCGTCGAGACAACCTTGTTGTCCCTCCCCCACGCAGTTGAATTAGAGAAACAACTCGCTGAAGCACCCGCATTTGTTGCCGCCCCCATCATTTCCCAAATCCACGTCATACGCGCCACCGCCGCCCTTGAACTTAGGTTCAAAGAAATCGAAGACGATGCCCTCAGACTCGCCTGCCAACACCTTCAGAGACAGATACGCAGCCTTGAGATTCAGCTGCTTCCTTCTGCTTTTAGCACTGTCTGCAAATCAGTTATACGGACTGTTGAAGAGCGAAGCAAGACCGAAGTCGGTCGCCCGCCAAGCCCTTCTACTAGCGCTCCCCTCAGCAATGTACTTGTTACAGATACAGCTGGAGAAGAAGCTCAGCCTGCTGCTCAGCCAGCACCTGCTGAAGAACCACTCCCCATCCCCGAACCCGCCGTCGTCTTCAAACGAAAGACCCGCAGAGGAGCCACCGTGCACGGAGTGTCAAAGACTAGAGCTTCTAAGGGAAAGAAGCGTGAAGTCATTGACCTCACCGAAACCCCCGACGTCATCACAGTAAAACAACCCCAGTTTTCCGCAGACAACTTCGTTTGCCGAGTCTGCAAGAAACTCGGGCATCGTCACAAGAACTGCCCCGAATACTATTGCCGCGTATGCCAGGCCCAAAAGCCTGGCCATCTCTCTATCTACTGCCCTTACGCTGCGAAGAAAGAACTATTCCCATTGGTTTATACCGATGACGGCTTCTATGAAGCACTAGCGGCATGGGAAGCCAGGAAAGATGAAGAACTTCTGGAAGAAATAGAAAGGGCGAACCGGGATTACGCCACCAGGTATAATGAACCAGAGTTCTGCAACGCTGACGCGGATCCCATCCACTACGACTACATGAACGAATACTGCGACACCGAAGAATAATTGAAGTCGGAGACTTCAACCGTAACAGGGGGGTAATGTTACAGTAACATTTAAACCCCTATAACCATTTCTTTCTTTGTCCTACAAACGGGCCGTCCGTACCTTGCTTATCGCTTATCATGCTTATCTCTTATCTCCACCAAGCGGGCTGTCCGCCTTATCTCCATCCCTTATCACGCTTCCTTCTTGATAACACATTTACAAGCTCCGCTTGAATACTTGTATATAAACCTAGCTACCTACGGTTGTATTCTTTACTTTAATCTACTGGGTTTTACCTGGAACATTGTCCTTCAGCAAGGTCTCCAACCTTGCTGTCTAAGAACTACTATTCTAAGGGAGTCAGCGACACTCGCCTTAGCCAGAAACACTTGATCTCTCAATCGAGAGCAGACTTACGTCTATCTGGCATCCTGCCGATTGTCTACTCAGACAGAGATAGCTCGACTCATCCCAGTCGTAACACTTGCAGGGAAGCCGCTTCTGCGTGAATCATTCGAAGTTCGGATTCGGCTGCCATCCTGGGCTGGGAGAACTGACAATGACAGTAAGTACAGGACTAGTACTTGGGTATTTATATGCACACACCTGACCACCGCGATCCTATGTCCGCCAAGTTGGACAACTGATGTGGCCAATAGAATTTGCAAACGGACATTCTTTCAGGGCGAACCGATAGTCAGCTCTGAAAAAAAGAAGGCCTTATAAGAGCTAGCGCTGGTCCAACTTGAACGGGACGTAGTCCATGGCGAACACGATCCTGCCATGGCGAGTGAAAGCTGACGTTCATGGACATCCGGAAGTAACAGACATGTCTGTGAAGGTGGTTCGAGATGTTTACACGTAACTTAGTAGGTGGTGTATGTGGTGCATACGACTGCTATACTTAATCCTGTTAGGGCGTATGCTCGAGTGTTTTTATAGATTCAGATCAGACGTACTATACATATTGATGGCACTCAGATATGTGCCAAAGTGGGAGATATCTTGGTACTCATCACAAAGATACCTCACACATCACCACCACATATCGAATATGACTCGGAGGTCCGTGCTCTTGTGCTCCTGCCAGCGTGCGTTACTATACTTTCGGAATACCTAAATAGGGATACCAGGTGGAACTTGGAAATACTCCAACTAGGAAGTATGGGATACTCGCCACCTCCAATACTACTTTTGAGTCCGACATGTAGCTTGCGGAGAGCTGCTTGCATGAGTCGAAGTCCCTCAGTCCTGTCCGGTGCTTGAGGCATCAAACGTCAAATTGTGTGTGCAGTGATTTACACCTTGACGCCAAAGGTGGCGCTACAAGCAAGTGCCACGTCTCTCCGAGTGCCACACGGAAGTTGATGTGTCATGCTGGCTCGGTGCATTGATGTGAAATTGACAGGCTCGTCGAGTGATGGTGAAAATAAGTGTTGAAGCTGAAGTGCTGGTGAGGACCGTGGGGTGAGTGCAAGGTGTGTATAGAGTGCGAAAATTTAATAACAATAGCATCACCTGATCAATTAAATTTAAGCTTTAAGTTTTCAACAGCATCTCTGCGGAGGCTCAGCCTTGGCCTAATCAGGGGGAGGCCCAGCTGATTATCATTACTAAGCGGGACCACGTGATCCAAAAGTAGATATGATTCACTGATTGCACTTGTTCGTTTTCTCTTCTCGTGTTTGCTCGTTGTCATTTTTCTTAGTAGAGAACCCAACATACTTACCCCATTTTCCGTCGATTAGTATCTGTCAGTGCACGTAGCATCTAACACGTCGAGTTCTAGGCTGCCCGCCGGTATTGGGGAAGAAGACACCTCAATGTTGCCCAGTGAGATTTGAGAATTGGCTGTGCTCGAATAGGGCTTTCAGGAATATGTTCAACCGTTTTAGCACTGCCAGGGTTTTGTTCTGTAATGGGACAGATACTTGGCACAGCTTCTTTCGGTTGAAATCGATACCCGTCCATTGTAACACATTGTAATTGCATCTTTTGTTCTGTTCTGCTTTCTTGCTTGTCGGAACGAGATCTGATGATGTTGATCCACGCAGCGTCCCATGTTGCGGTCAACATGCCAGATGCTGTTGAGATTTCGGATGGGATGATAGAGACGCTAGTGATTGATGTAAGTACCTGTTCTGCGCTGCTTCTAGTTTTGACCTTTGTGCCTGTGGTGTCGGACGTTGATACGCTGGGTGAGAGTAATACTGACAGGTTTTTATGAAAGCATGAGGATTTTGAATACATCCGGGTCACTGAACGGTATCATACTCTCATCCTTCCCCTTGATACAGTGTTCACTCGACCGCTAGGCAGGGAAAAGTAGGACAGGACACGTGCAGCAAAATCTATCATTCGTGTTCCTGGATCACAGAAAGAGTCAGAGACGGGATGTGATTTGTGATGCATGTAGGAGCTGGCGGCGATAGTGGAGACAACATATTGTACAGCTGTGCTTTAGTACGAGACGAAGTGAACTGAATGAGCTCTGGCCAAGATGAACACGCATGGTACTAATCATGTGTAGTGCGTGGCGCGACATACAAGGGTATCATAACGAAGACAGGGCAGCCTGCTGTTCCCGACACGTGTGCCAAGACGTGCCATGCGCAAAACAACTCAAGTCGATTTGTGAGGGACTATCGTGTTGCCTGAGGCATACACCGCTGGGTGCAAAATGGGTGAGATCCAGAGAAGATGTCCGTCAGGACCTACAACCCATCCATCCTTGTTTGTAGCAACAGAGACTGGGGTTGAGAAATCCTGGAGAAAGGAGGAGGCGGAATGAAGAGCGTGGAATGGGTTATGTGAAAAGCACATCACAGCTGGCACTTTGGAAGGGTGGGGTTGGTTGAGAAATTCTATATCCCAGACCCGGATGGTTGTCTTCTGAACCAGATACAAGGTGCTTGCCGTCAGATGAGATTGTGACAGACAGAACGCATCCGGATTCCGGTGTGCCCTTGGAAAGTGGGACCCACTCCCTGGCCAGTCTTCATATCCCACACCCGGATCGACTTGTCATCTGAACCGGACACAATGTGGTGCCCATTTCGTGAGAATGCAGCAGAGCGAACATAGTCGGTGTGCCCTTGCAGAGGGGCACCTAGTGCCCTGCCACTGCCTATATCCCACACCTGGACGGTTGTGTCAGTTGAACCAGACACAATGTGTTTCCCGTCCTGAGAGATTGCAACACACAAAACCGAGGCAGAATGGCCTTTGAGAGGGTCACCCACTGCCTCGCTACTCTCCATATCCCACACCCTGGTTGTCCTATCACTTGAACCAGATACTATGCGATTGCCATCCAGCGAGATGGCAATGGACTGAACCCAGCCAGTATGACCTTTGAGAAGAGTACCGAATGCGTCACGAGGGTGTATATCCCGCACCCTAATGGTTCTGTCGTGTGAACCAAACACAACATGAGTTCCATCGGGGAGATTGCAGCAGAGTAGACCGACCGTGCTAGTGTGGCCTTGGAGGGGCGCACCCAAAACCTCGCCAGTGCCAATATCCCACACCCGAATGCTTTCATCAACTGAACCAGACACAAGGGCTGTTGAGGAGGTTATTGAGCATGACCGGATGGATGATAGCACCTAGCGATGAGCCTGTAACAAAGAACGTCATGATCAGTGTGCGCCTCTGTCGGAAGTGATGCGAGATGATAGCCACACTAGGAATATACAAGAGCCTCGTCGCGATACCCAACCCTAATCCTTGAGAGAGAAATATCTGACTGAGTCAGAAACAGAGATTTAAAAATTGGGGAATATTACCTGGTAGTACTGATCCGGTTTCGACAAAAATAACATGAATAGAGATAAACACTCCAGAAACGATCCGGCAATCATGAGATGGTAACTAGCGAAGCTTCCTGAGTATCGTCAAGAACTTCCAACAGAACTACATTCACAAATACCCTCGGTCGTGCAGTGAACCTGCCACGAGGCCCACAAGCATGAGTAAAGACGTGCTAGTGCTCCCGATCCATCTACAAGTCTTGAGGATACTCGCCATGAAAATGTAGATAGAAACTCACGATATAGCAGACGACGTCTCATTTGTCAGGTAATGTTGGGTATAGAAGTCTGGAGGGCAATATCTGCCATCCTGGGCTGGGAGAACTGACAATGACAGTAAGTACAGTACTAGTATTTGGGTATTTATATGCACACACCTGACCACCGTGACTCCATGTCTGCCGAGTCGAACAACTGATGTGGCAAATAGAATTTGCAGATGGAACATTCTTTCGGGCCGAACCGATGGTAAACTCTGAAGAAAAGAAGGCAATAAGAGCTGATCCAAAACGGGGACGTACTAGTCCATGGCGGCGAACACCGTGACGATCTTGCAAGATGATGAGTGCTAGTGAGAGCTGACGTTCATGGACATCCGGAAGTAAAGACATGTCTATGAAGGTGGTTCGAGGTGTTCACCGTGACACGTAACTTAGTAGATCTTAATCCTGTTAGGGTGTAGCTATTTTGACGCGCGCCTCATCAGCAAAAACAGCGCTTGCAATATCGAGCTATGGGGCCTACATTGCCCTTGTTGTCTGGTTGCAACCCCCCCCCTCAGTGTAGCACAACATACCCCCCATTGTTTAGTATTTTGCAGGATATTGCATCCCATATCTCACAGGCCATCCACGTTGCAATGCTATGTAGTTCACCATAGTACCATAGTTTACGGAGTGTCAATCAATAGGATCAATGCGGCAACAATGCCATGCCATTAACACGGAAAAACTCGCTGACTATTCTACTTGACCTCCATCATCTGATATCTCCCCATCAGGCTGCTCGTCACTCACATACCCTTGCTCACTATCATTGTCCTCGCTACCCCTCTGAAACTCCTCAATCGCATGTTGAATATCGTCATCGGATAAGCAGTCGTCATCTGCAACGTCAATCGGCTCTGCTTTGGCATGTCTACTGCAGAATCGGGTGAAAATTGAGTAAATAACATCAACAACGAGCAAGCCACTTACCGGCCAACATCATTGATCTCCTTCTGAATGGTGTCGAGTATTCCATGGTCCTTAGTACGCGAATTGAACTTGTTGAGGTTAGCAAGGTGTTTGGCGTAAACTTCCTTGTATTCGTCACCCGAAAAACTGATGTCGACACGTTCCCCATCAGCCCACTCATCGATACAGCATTCGGCCTGCAATACATGTTGTGAGGTGTAATCAGAACACAAATAGCAAAACTCACCGCTGTGTAGCATAAGGCTATGGCCGGAATGGCGAACGGAGTAAAATACTTTGCGAAGACGATACCTTCGTCCTTTTTGTTGCAGTACCAGACTAGATTGGCGGCCTTCTGGGTTAACTTGGTTTGAAACAGCCCGCTGCGAGGGAGGTTCTTCTTTTTATCCCCGAGGCTCTTCCATGAAGACATTAGGATATTTTAATAAACAGAACTTTGATTACTCACGCGGTAGCACAAGCCGAACTTGTGTTTGAGCTGTTGAGCGAGCTGGCGGTTACGAGATTTGACTGATTCTCTCGCACTTGACTCAAACCCGTAAATGCTCTCGACGAGCGGTCGGACCTTGGCTTTCACCTCGCTAGTGAGATGGGACGTGCGACGTGTGATCTTGAATAAAATAATAGCAGTGGTGCCCATACAACAATAGCAAAGATTTACGTACCATTTGTATAATGTCGTTGTTGAACGCCATCTCGGTCTCATGATATTCACATGCTTCCTTCCATGCTTCCTTCGCCCATGAGACTTGGGTGACACGATCAGGATAAGCATCATCCGATGCAAGTCGACTGCGAAAGTCACCGATCGTGTATTTAATCAGTTATTGCACCGCATCCTCGTAGTCATGGGCTGCAACTCGGCCCTTGCTGTCGCGAACCTTGCGGGGAAGTCGTTGGTCTCTTTGATGTGGGGATGGCTGATCGTCATGGCGGGCACGCTTATGATAGCGCGTGCCGTCGCTCTCTTCTAACGATGTTGAACGACTGTGTTTGAGAGAATCTATTAAAAAAATAAGAAGCAGCTTGGCTACATATATGAGACTTACACTTATTGTCAGAAAGGCACTCGACCTCATCGTCATCGGCCGCTTCATTGTCATGACTTACAAAGACTTGAGTGTCATTCTCGTGTCCATCAGCAAGAGCTTCATCGTCATAGGCATTCTGATCCTCATCTCCATTGTCCTTCTCGTCCAAGGTATTGTTGAGTGATGATCTCGCGTGTCGGAGCTCAACAAGTTCTTGGACCCGGCCTGCTGTCAGTCGATGCAAGGGTGATTTCGGCTGAAAGCACATTAGCATCCCAAACTAATAGTACTTGAAGAGCCCGCAAACTTACACTGTTCACAGGGACCTGCCACTGGTCACGTTTGACGGGTGCTTGCAACTGACTGCGTCGGGCATTGGTGGTGGTCTTATTGATGAACCCCGATTCCTCGAATATTGGTATATCAGCCCATGCAGCGTTGTGTATAACGAGACAAACAACATTACCTTACTGAGTCCATCTTCTTGCCAGCCATGAGATGGCCTCTGCGCATTGGGTGTATTTAACTTTCAGTCATATGGTAAGCCAGCGCTTTGAAACAAAAAAAAAACTTGCCGGTTGTGGTCCTCTAGTAGACCACGGTATTTGCTTCCTAGTCCCTTCAAGTGAACTGTCCGATGACCGAAGTTCTCTGATCGCTTCTCACGAGGTGGGATCTTGCTGAACCGGGCCTTTAAAGATCCATCAACAGCTGGCGCACTGAAAAGATTGATGTCCTCTGTAGTGAACTGTGAGTGCATGTCAGTCACACCATTCCTCCCATCTGAAAGAGGCGCATACCTGTGTTCCATCATCGCGCGCTAGATCAGATTTCTTGCGAGATGAGTTGCTTTTGGGTTGTCGTCGAACCTCTCGAACTTGTTCTTCCTCAGCTGAATGGTACAAAGCTGTGAGTCGCAGAACTGTGTATACAATAGACGCATACCTTGATATAAAGCTCTCTCAGACGGACGACGCTCACGGCGTTCACGCTGTGAGAGTCCAGCATGGCCTTGGTTGATAATCCTGTTGAGGGCTTCTCGAGTTGGTCCTTTGGATGACATGTTGAATAAAAAAGAAGTCAAGATAGTGGTCACGGTATTAAGTAGATAAGATCGCGAGAGACGCACCAGGTTTTATATGTTGGGTGAACGCAAACACGTCCACATGAGAAAACAAATCAACAAATCAACGAACGCCTGAAGACATAAACGCGTCCACCAAGTCAGCAGCTAACAAGAGAAAACAGATCAACAGAGATCGGACGTCAGATAAATGTGGTTGTCACGCCATCAAGTGCAAACGACTCATGAAAAAAATTTCTAACCCAGCCATGGCGGCACAAGGACAGTTGACGGCGTGACAGAAATTCGGACATGTCGGGTTCAATGCACGCACCTTCGAACACCACCGCAATCCAGTGATACATCAGTGAACACCATGTCCTATCGCTGTGATTTCTGCCTTAAGGGCAATTTCCGAACCACGCGAGCAGTCAGCGCTCACATAACAAACGCTCCTGAATGCAGGCACCAGATGGAAATGTTTCGTGAGCAAGTGAACGCGAGCCCAACCGATAACTCACGATATAAAGAAAACATCGATTTTGAGGCCTTCAATGCCTTTCAACAAGAAGCACCACAGCCATCGACGTCACCCACGCCTGATCGTGATCGGGCACGTGCTCAAGAAGTTGTAGAATCGGATCAGCGGGCCCGCGTTGAAGACGTTGAGGATGAGGAACAAGTCTGGATGTGATTCATTCAATCGTATCCAGGCCAAGTTGCCAAAACACTTGGCGAGGCTCAAACAATGTTCCATGGGATACGAGCTGAGCAAGAGGCCCTAGGGCTGGACCCATGGGCACCCTTCGCGGACGAAGAAGAATGGGCCCTTGTCAAGTGGTTGATATCACGGGTGGGACAGACCGCAATAGACGAGTTCCTCAAACTACCAATTGTGAGTTGTCCTGCTAGTGGCGCTTCAATCGTAGACTTACAATAGGAATCCGATGTCCTGCCAGGCACAACACATGCGCACTTCTTTCACCAGCAAATACACATTGATGAAATCTGTGGATAAGCTTCCACACGGCACTGAGTGGAAATTGAAGAGAATCAACGTCGAGGGGAACTTACTCAGAAATGGCCAGTGTGAGCGCGAGGAACTCGAGTTGTGGTTGCGCAATCCTGTCGACTGCATACGGGAGCTCATGGCGAATGCGGAGTTCAATGGTGTGGTGTCATACACACCAGAGAGGGTGTTTGCAGATGTGGAGGGCAAGGTACGACAGTTTGATGAAATGTGGACGGGAGACTGGTGGTGGGAGATGCAGGTAAGTGTCTACTTGTGCCGTAAGGGATCAGACGTACTAAGACCATTGCGCCAGGGAAGATTGCCTGAAGGGGCTACAGTTGCTCCAGTTATCCTCGCTTCAGACAAGACCTCACTGTCTCAATTCCGAGGTGATCAAGAAGTCTGGCCGGTCTATTTGACCCTCGGCAATATTTCCAAGGACATCCGTCGTCAGCCCTCCAAACACGCCTCGATACTCATTGCCTACCTACCTATATCGAAGCTGGAGTGTTTCTCGCGCGACACTCGATCTCTTGAACGCTATCGTCTTTTCCACTACTGTATGACCCAACTTCTCGAGCCACTCGTCAGTGCGGGCAAGGACGGTGTTGACGTGATTTGCCCTGATAGCCGTGTCAGGCGGATGCACCCGATTCTTGCAGCCTACGTCGCGGATTTCCCAGAACAATGCCTGGTATCGTGTTGTATGGAAAATAGATGCCCCAAATGTGTCGTCGGACGCAACGACCGTGGTGACATGAGGCGATCAGCTCCCCGCGAACGAGACTCAATTATGGAGTACCTACGCCAGCACTCGCAGGGTGAATTGAGCATTGAACGCTTCGAGGGAGAGTTAGGGCTGCAAGCCATATACAAACCTTTCTGGGCCACACTGCCCCACAACGACATATTCCTGGGTATGACTCCTGACATCCTGCACCAGTTGCACAAGGGGGTCTTCAAGGATCATCTCGTTAATTGGTGTACAGACATCATCGGCGAGGAGGCACTCGACACCCATTTCAAGTTGATGACTTCATACGCCGGCCTTCATCACTTCCACAAGGGTATTTCGAAGCGGAAGCAGTGGACTGGCGCTGATTATAGAGAACTCCAGCGTGTATTCCTCGGCGTTATTGCAGGAGCAGTTGAGAACAGGGTGATATCAGCAGTACGTGCTGTGTTGGATTTTATCTACTATGCTCAATACCAATCGCACACGGAAAATTCGCTGGCTCGCATGCAAGCTGCGCTCGCCTCGTTCCATGCCAACAAGAACGTCTTTATCGAACTTGAAGTCCGCGAGCACTTCAACATACCCAAGATTCATTCCATGGTCCACTATATCGACTCGATTCGTTTATTTGGGAGCGCAGACGGATTTAATACCGAGCTTCCAGAATGTCTTCACATCGATCTCGCCAAACGTGCTTACCGTGCAAGCAACTGCCGCGACTACGTCATTCAGATGACGACGTGGCTACGTCGGCAAGAGTCACTTTCCATTAAAGATGCATACCTACATTGGTGGGCTTCTCAACGTCTTATCGACAAACCGTCGGACTCTGCAGCTGCACTGGATCTTGTTGAACAAGATTCGGATATCAGCAAATCAGATTCCGACGATGATATTCCCGACCACTCGCGCCAGCTTCACATCATGCCTCGCCAGATCCACCGCTTCACAATGTTGTCTGCCACACGTGGCTACTTTGTCCCCAAGATCTGCTCATTCCCCAACATACCGATTCAACGTCTCATCGAAAACCACGGCACCTCTCAGTTCGTTCCTGCGCTTCAAGCATTCGTAAACGAGCACTTTCCAGGTCAGTTGCATAGGCAGCTAAATGCACAGGACCGTGTCGACGTCTTCAAATATTTGTCAGTGCTCTCGCCAGCTCGACCCCACATTACGAACTCCAAGTGTTTTTTCAAGATACGCGCATCACCAGTGGTGGCTTCGAGGGATCCGCGTAAACTGCCAGCACCTGCTCGGTTTGACACCGCGCTTTTCATCGAAAACCGAGAACTTTACACGGCGAAGGGCATATCAGGTCAGCAATCTTGTTTCGCACTTATCTATGTCGCCTCACTCACCTGTGAGTCAGGGCTGCGAGTTGGTGAGGTGAAGGTTGTTTTTAATCTGCCGTCACGTCTTGGCAAATTTTCGCATCCACTTCTGTATGTTCACTGGTTCAGACCTCTACAGACCTTCGACGATAATTTGCAGACCTTCCGACTTGCTCGGTCATCACGACAGCACGGACCTCATGCAGCCATAGTGCCTGCCACAGAAGTCATTCGTGTGTGTCACGTTATTCCGCGTTTTAGTCGACAGCACGTTGTTGATGAGGAGCAGTTCTATCTTAACAAGTATATCGACTTAGATTTATTCGAGCGCTTGGTGTTGTAGTAGTATATAGCTGATGTATTCATGTTATTATCTATGGAGTATACAGAACGAGGTAACAAGTACATGGTAAGAATTTGCAAGGGGGAGTGATATGGGTTGGTATAGTGTGCTATGGATCGTGGCCCAAAGCTCGGTGGTGCTACGGAGGCTACGGGTAGGTATATGATGTTGTAGGTGGCAACTGCCACCCGAGCTTTTTTCTGATGCTGCCGCGGTCGTGACCAGCTGTGATGCCGCATGACGCGCATGTGACACCTCACATCATGATTTTAATTCACCCCCTTTCTTGCTGCAGCCTGATGGATGGATGATGGAGCCCAATCATCCGCTCCTTTTATGGGTACCTCCAGCTTCCCGATATGCATTTTATCCTCCTGACACTGCACTGGTGATCCCGACGGGATGGGTCGAGCTTGACTTGAGCCGCATGGCGCATGGGCATCGCTGGTCGAGTTGCCGAAATGTGAGTTCTTAGTCTTTACAGATCATCCTCGTAGTTGCTAACATCAACCCTGCTAGCTCCATGTAATGATGATTTTATTGTTGCAATATCGAGTGTACCACTTCATTTTTTGATTCTTTGTCAATGTTATACCTAGCATCGAGCCTGAATTTCCGGTTGTCGGGTAAAGCGGTGCAAGTGGTACTGTCACAGAAGCTATCGATATTTCAGGTTTCAACTATACCACACTGTGGATAGTGATTCCAATCAAAATCATTGGAAAAAGTACTGATGCTGAAATTTTCATTGGAACTTCTACTGAAATCGCAGGTAGTTAATTTTATTGGAGTGCTGAATCCATTTCAGCACCAAATTTCAGCACCATTTTCCAATGAATCCAATTCAGCACCACTTTCAGCGCTATTTTCCAATGAATCCAATTCTCCAGCATAGTCTGGCTTAGGAAGAGTCGGAGCTGGTCCGAGTGTTAGCTTGGGGAGAGACACAAGCAGGTGGAGCCACTGGGAGGGCGGGAAACTTGCTTGTGAATCTGGTCATGCACTGACTCTTGTGCGGCATGAATCAAGATAAGCATCTTTACACATTCTAACAATTATGATAACACTGGAATACGCTCAGGCTGCAGTAACAGTCTGCCGAGATAAATAAGAGAGTGTGCTGGGTGGGGGCAAGGAAGAGGAAATAACGAACGTCAAATTTGAAGAACGAATGTCGTAGGTAGTAGGTCGAAAAATGTAGGAGAAGGGTGGTATATATTAGGGGTTATAGCTAAACCTACTAAAGATACCATGGCTTACTGGTAATGATGCTATGTACGATGGTCCAGGTCATCCATTCAATCCTTGCCCTTGGTGAATTCTCAATGGGTAATAAGTGACACAGTATGTCATGTCACTAGTGACATAATGTCACCATAGTCAGCACCATTTATTTTTGTCATTCTTGAGCAGAATTTCAGCGCATTATTTCAGAGTAAAAATTCAGCGCAATATCACTGAAATTTCAGAGTAAAAATCGGAACTTTCAGCACCTCGATTTCAGCACCTTGTACTGTGAATTTCATTACATTATCAACTGATTTGGCCTAATGAATTTCATTGGATTTACTACCCACAGTGACCAGATATCTAAAACCAATCGGGTCTCGAAGCTCATTGATATCCCTTACATCCTGTTCGTTCCTCTCAATCTACTGATTCAAATGCTTCAAATACAAATACATACCACCAAACATGCCTGTCGACACTTCATGTGCAGCGATGCGATTCAGATGTCATAGGAATAACGATGTATCGGGCTCCAGTTCGACGGCCATACATACCTAAGCGTCGTGAATAGTCAGCGAGAGCAAGAGATCGATGATGATGTCACTGACGATCCAAAAACATTGTTTGTCTGCCCCAGTGTGTCCACCAGAGTAATAGCAACGGCGCGCTTCGCAGGTTCTCTTGAGAAAGTGTCGCTGATCCACTTCAAGAGCAACAAGTATCGAGCGGTAACTCGAGCTGCATCAGGAACCTGTATATTTCTGAGTATAGGAGTGACGTATCTATGGACACTGGGATCTGTGCGGGAAGTCCATGCATCTTTCACGCTCTCAGCGACCAACTTTAAATGGGTGCGAGTGCCGGCGCAGCATGCAAAACATCGGAATTTGACTTCGGCAGCATTCCGAGGCTCGGAAGTACCATAAAAGCTGAAGTACGTTGACCCGCGATATCAAACAGTTGGTGCAGGCCATCGGCTACTGTGGGAAGAGCACCAACCCTTCTGATTCAGGGAAAGAAGGCTGAACTAAACTCCGGCAAATCAGACACGGCCTCTCTGATTCCAGTGGACGACGGTTAGTAAAGAGTAATGCGGGAGGGAACCACGCGGAATGTAGGACACGACCTTTGATATGAAACAACGTACATGCGTGATGCATCAGTATTGTAATTTTAATGTGCCATAGAATATTAGCATTTCGCTGAAGAAGATTTACACTGACGTACGGAATCGTAAACGTCTCTAGGGATCAGACTTGCTGAGGTGATTGCACAGTCATTCCTCTAGGGACTCCGAGTATTGGAAAATGCGATGCCATTTCTGTCATGCTATGTTCTACATTGTTATTGTGAGCTCCAGCGCATATCTAGTGTCAATAAGCAAGAATAGCTTCTAAATAATTCATACCAATCCGGGGTCTAAAGCTGAAGAAACTTGATGCGAGTGTGAAACTTCATACCAGATCGAAGAGACCATCTATCACAGCCAAACACCATATCTGGCAAATCACTTCAGGTCGCCTCTTCTCGCGTATCGGAATCCGAATCGGAAGAAATTGCACAACACGCCTCTTTATCATCCTGATAGCAATCAAGCGAGGGATGAACCTTGATGGAAAGGACCTGCTGCCGTTCCCTAGTGTTGTTGGCCAAGTACAAGAAGAGAGCTAAGTCTTCATCTCCGGAAGCCATGAACCAGATGAAGACCTACCTAGGACACGCGCCTTTTGAGAAACATGTGTCGCATTATGACAAATGTCATGGCACCAGCCAGTGAAACGATCTGTTATGTAGTCGATTTAATTGCACTCAGCATGAACTCTGGATAAAATGACTGTAAGGGTCGACTTACCCCGGAGAACAGACCCGGTATCCACCACGTATAATTAGATGTTAGCAGAGCGCCAGATATGGGTGTTCCTGGACAAAGAATTATAATCTGAAGCTAGAACCGACACCATTGCGCCCACCAATCAAACCTCCGATTCCTATACAGTGATCGCGACAAGTTTGAATAACATGGAAATAATAGTAATGATAATATTCACCAGCAGTAAAGAGACAGATGCCCATCCGTGCGCTACGATCCACGTCAGATGGTTCGTACGTTCAAACATAAATGATCACTTGCCCAAGCTCAGAGACGTCAGGCGTTAAAGTAGCCATGAGTGGAGTCAACATCGCAACGTCTACATGCAGCGATGAACCCGTGTTAATGATAGCTGAAAATTTACTTACTCAGCCCTGAAAGATAGCCATAAATCACGCCAAGCACAACGACGCTTGCCAAGCTACTCAGCCCAATCATGGCAAAAATGAGGACACTGCACAAAATTGCCGTCACTGTGGTTAAATTCACAACCCCCGTGAACCCTGCAATAAACCCTGACGTGAATCGCCCTAAGCAATTGGACCCATTCAAGATCACTAACTAGAGATTCTGTCAGCAGACGCCGCGGATGACTTGCACATTGCTGGAACCCACAGAGTAAAACGAAAAATGAACACTGATACCGTGCTTGATAGAGTCTAGTTGAAAGAAGAATAATGGGTAGTAGAAACCGATCTGGCAAAGAAAGCTCCTGCAGGATGGTTATTTGGAGAAAGTCAAGAATGTGCGTTGCAGGTCTCACCCTATGACCATGAGCATAAATGGTAGATCACGAATACATTTTCTAGCCGCCACGATATAGTTCACCGGTATCGCCGGCGGATCAAGGCGAGTTCGCATGCACAAACATGCAGTTAAGAGAAACAAGGTGATCAACCCTGCGCTTATACGGACGCCGTTGGCAAAACCAAGAGGGCCGTTGATGAGGTTGTTGAGCATGATCGGATGGATGATGGCACCTAGCGATGAGCCTGTAACGACGAACGTCATGACCAGCGTGCGCCTCTGTCGGAAGTGATGCGAGATGACAGCCACGCTAGGAATATACAAGAGCCCCGTCGCGATGCCCAAGCCTAATCCTTGAGAGAGAAATATCTGACTGAGTCAGAAACCGAGATTTGAAAATTGGGGAACATTACCTGGTAGTACTGATCCGGTTTCGACAAAGATAACATGAACAGAGATAAACACTCCAGAAACGATCCGACAATTAGGAGATGGTAACTAGTGAAGCTTGTTGAGTATCGTCGAGAACTTCCAATAGATCTACACTCACAAATACCCCCGGTCGTGCAGTGAACCTGCCACGAGGCCCACGAGCATGAGTAAAGATCCGCTAGTGCTCCCGATCAATCTACAAGTCTTGAGGATACCCGCCATGAAAACGTAAATAGAAACTCACGATATAGCAGACGACGTCTCATTTGTGAGGTAATGTTGGGTATAGAAGTCTGGAGGGCAATATATCAAATGGTCCATGCTCGCTTTTGTCTGCAGCAATACCTTGATAGACACCAAATGAAGTGATATAACTATTAAATTAAATCAGCCATAGAGCTATTTCCTGCCAACACCTCCACCAGACTCACCCGAACCCGCAAAACTGTACCAGAAACCTGTGTGAACTGAGTAGGAGCCAGCTCAAATATTTTGCCTTCTTACGCTCCAAAAGCAGTTGCCCAACCTGCCAAACCACCTTCGGAAAACTCGTGCGGGCTTGAGGGAGAGTCCCAACTCTTGGAGACTCGACATGCTTCCAATATCTCTGGGCCCTCTTTGTCGTCTTGCAGGGAAGCCACTTCTGCATGAACCATTCGAAGTTCTGATTCGGCTGCCATCCTGGGCTGGGGGAACTGACACGGACAGTAAGTACAGTACTTGAGTATTTATATGCATACACCTGACCACCACGACTCCATGTCCGCCGAGTCGGACAACTGATGCTGCAACTAGAATTTGCAAAAGGACATTCTTTCGGGCCGAACCGATGGTCAACGTTAACAACTCTGAAAAAAAGAAGGCCTGATAAGAGCTGATCCAAAATGGGACGTAGTACATGGCGAACACGGTCCTGCAATGGCGAGTGAGAGCTGACGTTCATGGACATCCGGAAGTAACAGACATGTTCGTGAAGGTGGTTCGAGGTGTTCACACGTAACTTAGTAGGTGATCTGTGTGGTGCAACTGTCGAAGGGACTGGCATCCGTCAAGTAGCAGGTTGAATAGGGCAAGCAGAATAAATATACATGAAGTGATGGAACGAGTCTGATATGAACGTTATGTAATGCAAATGTGTCGAACAGCATGCACATTGCAAAGTCAAGTTGCACGAGATCTTTCACCTACACGTATTGGAGCCGATGTCCGTGCAGGCTGGGAAGGAACTGATGCCTGTCTGCAGGCGGTTTGAGGTAGGCTGTTGATACCTACATACGTAGCTTAGGTGTTGTCTATTATAATTTTCATCTTTTTGGACTATGCTCGAGTGTTTTTACAGAGACGTACTATACATATACATATATGACATTGACGGCACTCAGATATGTGCCGAAGTGGGAGATATCTTGGTACTCATCACAAAGATACCTCACACATCAGCACATATCGAATATGACCTGGAGGTCCGTGCTCCTGTCCATCTGCCAGCGTGCATAGCTATACTCTCGAAATTCCTAAGTAAGCAGTGATACAGGTGGAACTTGGAAATACTCCAACTAGGAAGTATGGGACGCTCGCCACCTCCAAAACTACTTTTGAGTCCAACATGTAGCTTGCGGATGGCTGCTTGCATGGGCCGAAGCCCCTCAGTCCCGTCCGGTGCTTGAGGCATCAAATGGTGCGTGCGGCGATTTGCACATTGACGCTAATGGTGGCGTTACGAGTGCCACGTCTCTCTGAGGTGAACTTCAATGGCCGAATACCCAGCAAGAATCATGCATGGAGGCGTCGTCAAGGTCGTAGTTCCCGACGAATAGAAAAGACGACAGCCTGCTGAGCTTGAGCAAAGGCCGGAAAATTTGGGAGGGAAGTGGTATGGGGAGCACAGGACGGACCATCCCCATTGCGTTTCGTCGACCATGCAGATGTGTTCCAAGGATCCTCAGACACAGCCTCAGATTCCAATCCGCAAAAGTTGGGGAACAACACTGCAGGTGGGAACCACACCAAACTCTGAAGGATACGACCACTGTCATGTGTCTTTGGTGGACGCGTGTAATGGGCTTCACTGATGTCGTGAAGAATTCTTGACACGCTCCCACTCCGTGGGTAGCGGCTCCTTGGAAAATCTCTGCGATTTAGAGTGAGAATTGTCCTGTTAAGACACAAATGTCATATATAACTCACAATGCTATGATCCATCGCGACCTTCCAGGTAGACACATGATGAGGGGTGCCAGATTTGACTGTTCGGACCAGAGTGTATTGAGGGTGGGAGGTACCAGCGTGGAATATGTCATTGCGATGTTTATCAACTCTGCCGTCGAGGGACATTCCATCATTGAGCCGGGAGAGGCGTGATTTGAGTTGAAGCGGAAGAGATAATACAGGTACAGTGCTAAATGTCGTGGATGGCAATGTCCAAGTTTGTGATTTTCTTTCAGGCTCAGTAAGCCTAATTGCGATGCGCAACAGGACCTAGTTCGAATGGGAGTATGACAGGGAGTGATGGATCTTCAAAGATGAGTGATTGGAGTCGATTCACTGCGATTTTATAGGCGACGAGGACAAAGCCAGGAGTGGCTCATTTATTTGATACAAAGGGAAGTCTGTTGCCAGCGGAGTAGCACCCTTTACAAAGGCTGAATGTCATGAGGCGGAACGACCACGTTAGTGCACGGTGTGAATCTGAAGATGGTAATGTAGCCTTCCGGTGTTTTGGGACCACGACTCACCAGTATCCATATACAAACCACTCAACGATTCGGACAACAACAGCGCAGGCAACACAGGTACATATAATTGCAGCTAGGAGTCAGTTTACAGCCTAGTTGTCCGCTGTCAATGTCAATGTCAACACGTTGCCTTCTGAAAAGCACAAATCGCATGATCATAAACGTCTTACCAGCAGCCAGTGCAACGATCTATCATCATTTGGTTAAATCGACTCCACATTCTAGAGACAGCTGACTCACCCCAGGGGCCAGAGAACAGAGCCGGTATCCAGCAGGTAGAATTAGATGTTAGCAAGGCTGGGTATTCCTACATGAAATCTTAGATATTTGAAGAGAAACGACACCACTGCACACATCAATTAAACTTGCAAATCCTGTACAACAAGTTAGAACATAAAAGTAATCATGATACTCCGAGCCAACAAGAAGGAAGAGATCTCAGGCTCCCATCCGTGCACTGTGATCTAGATCAGATTGTGTGAAGTTCAACTTGAAACGATCACTCACCCAAACTGAGAGGTCGGGCATTGGGAAGAACCATCGGTGGAGCCGCTATCTGAGTCGCAATGTCTACTAGTAGTGTTCAAACTTCAAATGAGTTCATCGTAGCCTTACACATAGTGATGAAGTCATATGGAATTTGAACACCGTGGTGGAAAGACGACAATCACAGTGTGTATCATACTGCGTCGGATGACCAGCGATATCAACTGTCAAAGTCTACTGTGAAATAGTAAGCCTACGCTGCCAGAGAGGCAGTAAATAAAAACGGCTACCTTCAACTCGATTCGGGCATGTCGGAACCTTCCGGCAGAAATTTGAACTGCCGTAAGGGCTAGGTCTTGACCCACGCAGCGACGCTACCTAGTAAGTACGACCATTATGATCAATCAGAGTCAAGTCAGCTCGTCCTGTCTCTTTTCCCTTGCCTTTATCACTTTCTTCCGCATGATAGTCATGGCAAGATCGAGAGGTCAGAGACTCAACGATCCTAACACGTTACTACAGACTTACAGAATTTCAGGAACAGCTCGAGGAGAAAGATGAGGCTCTTTCGACGAGGCAGAAACTGTTCTCTGGACCCATGTCCAACAGAGTATAGGCCCGTCGAAGATGAGCACTAAATTGAACGAATAGATACAAACCACATGCATAAATATTGTAAGTTTAATGTGCTATAGAATGTTATGCAGCAGCACCGTCTGCAGTGATGATCGATACGGACTCGAGGAATTTGATATCTGATGTTGCTGTTGCAACCGTCGCCGCTGACCGCTCAGATAGAGTAAGCTTCTCAAGAGCATCCTCGAACGTGTCGACATCGCTATCATCACCGTCCTCCTCACTCTCTTCACTTTTCTCCGACGCAGACCCCTCGGAGTCATCTGGAGGTTCGTCTTCAAAATCAAGCTGCCGCTCTTGTTTGTACATTTCACTGAAGAAGATTCACATGACGTACCGGATCGTAGACAACTCTGATGATCAGACTGCAGCTCGGACACGTCGCGATATCTTCGTAGTTGGCAAGCTGCTTGCGAGAGATCTCGAAGCGGTCTCCGCAGGGACAGGGATAGTGGTAGACGCCTTTTACCTCATCCCATACCATATCTTCAATTTCAATCTCGTCGTAATAAGCCCCCATATTGTGAGAGAAGGATTCGTGGCTGGAAATAGTTGATCGGGATCAACTCGGGATGATCAAAAAAGGAAAAAATTAGTAGACAAATTGGCGGGCATGGAGTGACTCAAACGTTGACTACTACCATGAACTTCCTCTAGGCTAAATATGACTCGAACAACGACCAGTATACCCAGTCTTTTGAACGATCACATTTTCAACCTTTCAATTCGGAACCTAACTGAGTCAAGTATTCGTGAGGTGGGTTACACTTCAAGTTCCCATGAGCTCTCATCAACACTACAAGAAACATATCGTTTGCTACTTGAACAAGAACGTGACTTCGTTGAAGTTCAGGTGCGTCATTAACTAAGATCCAAGAATGTAGTGGAGGAGATGTGATTGACGTGAAAAGGGAAATCGGCCATTCAGTGCGTACGGTAGGAATGTGGAGACTCGGTACTCAGATCTCAGATGCGAAGGAGACTCAAAGCCTGATGTTGTGAGCGCCTTCTTCACACCTCTCGAACCAAAGACACAATGCTAGTACAATAGGGCGAAATAAAGGTCACAGCTCGACAAAGACCTTCAGGTGTCGTCCACATAAGAAAACAAAAGGTCTCGGATGGCCAAGGAGTGCCGACCGACCATGTCGAAACCACCGGCGAGCGAGATCACTAGCACCCTTCCACATATTTTACAGGCATTCGCACTGACACCCTTTGCAACAATGCAGGATCTCTAGATATGGATAGCTGGTGTAACAGTGGTGTTGTACCTAAGACCCGCTATGAGAAACTACAATAGAAAGGTGTGTTTGTTGTGGACTTGTGGTTTGCGAAGCACTGTAATTTAAATAGGGACGCGACAGTTGGCCGAACGCTAGAATATCTCCAACCTCCATTTCCAACGTCTCAACCTCCTTCAAGTTCGCGTTAATATGCAGACGTTCAACTCAAACGCTGATTCATCAGCAGTCTCTGATACTATCAGTGCTATGCAAAACATTGTAAGTATTGTGTTTTAGTTGACGTCTGAACATAATAATAAACATTCACTTCAGCAGTTGGATGTAGTCATGCATAAGGCCTCAAGCCAAAAAGGTGTCAACTATCGAAAGAAAGCCAAGGTTGTGCAGTCAAACAAGTCTCACAGCACACTTACATCGCCTGTTTGGCGCTTGCCCACGGAAATCCTCGCTCAGATTTTCCTGTACTGCATCCCAGAAGACGGAAACTCGATTCCCGCGCCAGATCTGGCCCCCATGCTGTTGACCACAGTATGTCGACGATGGCGGGAGGTTGCTGTGGATATGCCGGATTTATGGCGCAGGCTCCGACTGGAAGTTGGGCACGGTGACTGGCAACAGAGAGCTTTCTGCTATGACACCTACCTCAAGCGATCGCGAGGACGTCAACTGTCGTTGACACTCGAGTGTCATGACAATAACTGGACGGAGCTACGAAGCCTGCTCCAGCCATACGTCGATCAAGTATCGTCGTTGTCTGTTGGGTTTTTCTCCGGTGCCGGCTCCTTGGCGATGACGGACTTTCGGGGACTTTCGGAGCTGGTCATATACACGGGCGGTTCTGATACTTTAACAGCTGTCATGCACTCCATCGCGCAATTGCCTCCCAACATGCGTAGTCTCAAGTTAATGGACCTGTGGCTTAACCTTAGGGTCTTACCTCACCTCAATTCTCTCAGATGGGCCGGTCTCACAAATCTTGACATCGTGGTAGACGGACTGGATTCCTTTGTCCGCTTGCTCCACCTGTGTCCCAACCTCTCGTCTTTGACGATGATTGGGATATTCACGACTATCGAGACCTCGGAGACATTCGTGCACCCCAAACTTCAATCTTTGCGCATGTCCGGGCATTTGCTTTTGGACTCGACCGTAAACCTTGGGCTATTCAATACCATCACGCTCCCCAATCTACGCACGGTCGAAGTCCGCAATATGGGCCAATGGCCTCACGAAGAGTTCAAGGCGTTTGTGACACGGTCGCAGTGTCCCCTGGAAAGTCTGATCTTCGGCGGTGGAGTGAGGAAAACGGATCAACAGTTAGCAGAATATGCTACGCTTTTTCCTTCCCTTGAACTAGTGACAGATCCTACGCGTTCCAGATTTTACTTTTAACTTTATCATGTAGTATATACACGGTGACAGGATCACTATATATTGTTTCATGCCATGTACATATGGAGTATGCTTGAATTTCAAATGTTTCAACAGCTGGAACGGCACAAATGCCACTGGCACTGCTACTGAATACCGTCAGGCTCAAAGAACGAAGAACGTGTGAACTCTGACAACGCCGGACCAAGTTGAAGGGACTGCTGTATAATTCAAGTTGTTCAACTCTGGAGTAGACCGAGCTCTCTCGACTTTTCCTAAACAGCGTCTCTCAATACTTCATTGCACTTGTGATGCGCAGTGCACACACATGGGCCCGCCCGCCGGAACCCGGGCCGGTGTGAATTGTGTTAGCGCTCAAAGTCAACGTGCTGGTCATCCGAGTCATGCTTCGAACGTTCTTTGGAGTTCTGCCAAAGAGCGGGACGCCCATTCCCTTCTCACACTACTTCTCAGCGTACCACACCGTTTCTTTCACAACGATCTAAATCTACAACCACTCGCGATGACTGAAGATCATAGGCCAGATATCGATCCTTCTCCACGAACTCTCAGATCCAATCAGGTAAATGTTGCTGAAAGCTCGGTACGTGGTCTCTTGAAATCTATCGTCGTCCTTACCCATTATTCGTCCAGAACCAGCCTCGTAGAGGATCTTGTCAGTTCCTGCGCAAATTGAAGAATGGGTTAACCAAAAAGCTTCCTGTGCGTAGACGTGAATACTGTTTGTTCTGAATACGCCGGCTAATATTGTACAGAAATGCTCCAAGCGAACACGCAACCGCACCACTGCGGTCCACGACGTCGGAATTGAAGAGGCTTCATCGAGTCAGCAAGTCGAGGTAAGTGCTCGAACTTGCTATCCCAGTCCTTCGGTATTCTTAGAGGCGCTCAGGACACGTTGCATCTCCATCCTTCCAACGACAACAAGCATCCCACCACATCTGAGATTCCCAGTGACTCCGTGAACCAAGGGCTGTCCGGAGAGCCTGCTCCGCAGGTATTTCCATCAACCTGTGATGGTACACAAAACATGCGATCACTCGGGAAACATGCGACTTCTATGACATCCGCCGTCGAGAATGCCCCAGCGGATCTTACTGCCGCAGATAATTTTGAGATGAAGTATCTCCAACGCCTCAAGATTATCGATGGTGCCCTCAAGAAGATCGCAGACGTATGGGTCATTTCTTGTTGATTGGAAGCGAACTAATTAAGTTGTATAGGTTCATCCGTACACAAAGATGGCGCTGGGTATGCTATCTGCTGCATCCAAAGTATGTTTAGTTTGGAGTCCAGTCTCCTATTCAAAAGTTCTAATTCCATGAAGATTATAATTGCGCAGGCACAGCGCGACAAATCGATTCTTCGTCTTCTCAAGAAATTGGCTGAAGTTTACCGCTTCATGGCTCAAGATGACAGTCTTGGAAAAATTGAATCGATGCGCGATATCGTTGCAAAGGTCGTTCACCAGACTCTTGAGTGTGCCCGTTTTATCAGGGACTACTCGGAGACGAAGAGCTTTTGTGAGTTACCAAGATATCGTACCTTGTACATGAATCTTATACCATATTATAGGGGAGAGACTCACGAAAAGCGCTATCTCGAAAATGATCAAACAGTACAGCGATACTTTGGACGGCCTTATGCAACAATTCCGGGACCAAGTCGATCGGGACGTGGCTGTCTTCGTCCAGGGGACGGGTAGGGATCCTGATACACTTCTGTCTTGAAGTTCACTCACACCGTTTCAGGCGAAACCCTGGATCTCGGGGATATCGCTTATGCGAAGGGCGCAGGTCTAGATACCATGAAACAGTGCCTACCAGGGACGCGCATGGAGATTCTTTCCCAGATTACGGACTGGATCAACGGCAGTGGAGATGCTGCTAAACGTGTGCTATGGCTATCTGGTCCTGCGGGCAAGGGAAAATCAGCCATCGCCCACACGATCGCCAACTGGTTCAAGGAATCGGGAGGCCTTGGTTCATGTTTTTGTTTCGATCGGCACAGAGAAGCAGAACGTCGCCATGAAAAGATTTTCTCCACCATCGCGCGCGATCTTGCTGACTGTGATTCGGAGATGAAGCGAGCGTTAGCGGATGCGGTCAAGGATGCAAATTCGCTCAAGAATACGACGGATGTTATCCAGCAGTGACGCGACCTTCTCATGAAACCGCTAAAGAAGTTCTCTGCGTCAAGCGTAGGGCCTGTCTTGATCGTGATCGATGCACTAGATGAGAGCGGTGGAAAGGAGACGCGGCGCAACCTCCTTCGCATACTTGCCGGTAGACTGCAGGACAAAGGTCTTCCCCAAATCACAGAACTTCCATCTAACTTTCGGATTCTCGTTACCTCTCGCCCGCTCCATGACATCGAAGATGCATTTCACGGCGCTAAGCATATTCTACGGTTGTCCATGGACGAGATACCAGCAGCAGTGGCAAAGCGCGACATCCACGCGTTCGTATCTGAGGAGCTGAAGAAGCTACCAGATTTTCGCGACAAAGAGTTTGCAGAACTCGCTGCGAAAGCCGATGGACTTTTCGAGTGGGCACGTCTTGCTTGCGAATACATCAAAGATGCACCTCCAGGCGTACCACAAATGCCTCGCTTCAATGCTCTCGTTAACCGCAGGGCCGGAAAGCAAAAGAACCTGTTGTACGATATGTATCTAGTCATTTTGAAAGAAATCATGAAAAGGGATCAATATGACGACGACGAGTACAAAGAAGCACTGACAGGGTTTCGTTCTGTGATGGGACAGATACTTAGCACAGCTGAACCACTTCCTTTCAATTCCCTCAATATCATGCGGGACTACTTTCCAGACGAAAACAAGCCTGACAACATGGACATTATTAAACGCATGGGATCCCTCCTCAGCGGCACCACCAACTCACGTACTCCCATCCGACCCCTTCACGCATCTTTCCACGACTTCCTGACAGACAAGTCATCCAGCAGAGAATTTTTTGTTGAGGTGTCCAACGTACAACGCGACCTTGCATTCGCATCGCTACGAGTGATGGAACATGGCCTTCGCTTCAATATTTGTGATTTGAAGTCGTCATACCTCCCCAATTCCCAAAACGCAGGGCTGCCTCGACGAGTTAAAACATCCATCCCCCCACATCTCTCCTACTCTTGTCGATATTGGGCTGAGCATGTTCGAACAACTGACTTTGACGATAAGCTCGCAAAGGAAATAAGATCACTCTTTGACGACGAGCGACTGATGTTCTGGATCGAAGCACTCGGACTTCTCGATGTATTTAGCAGCGCAGTTACTGTGCTTCCATGCGTTGCCAAGTGGCTTATCCTTCATATCCCGTTCGTTCCTCTCAAACTGCTTATCCAAATACCTCAAATACCAATACATAGTACCAAACATGCCTACAACACTCCGAGTGCAGGGATGCAGATGGCATAGGCACAATAGTATGTCGTGCTTCCATTCGACGGTCATACATACCTATGCAAAAAGCGCAGTCGTGAATTGTCAGCGAGAGCAAGAAATTGATGACAACGTTACTGACGATCCAAGAACATTGCCTGTCTGGCCCAGTGCGTTCATCAGAGTAATATCAACGGCGCTTCGCAGGTTCTCTGAAGAAAGTGCTGCTTATCCAACCTAAGAGCACCAAGTATCCAGCTATAACTCGAGCCATCAGGAACCTGTACATTTCTGAGTACAAGAGTGACGACTCCCGACCGGCGATACCACTCACAGTGAATTATAGCGCGCAGCCTTGTCCATCATAAAGATCGACATGATGAATGCAAGGGTGTCGAGTGCATTGGAAATAATAAAGCATTTGTAACGCCTCTGCTTCGTGTCAGAGTACCTGATCTCCGCGAGATGCGATTTTCTGATAGAAATGATTCACTAACCATGTAAGAGCAAATACGATCATACCCGCGAATATCCATAGAGGAACGCAAAGCAGCAGCGTTACAGTTGTATCATATCCCAGTATCACGCACAGCGTTGGGACCGCATCTTCCAATCAGACACAGCATCTCGTAGTCCTTTCATGGTCGTCTGCTTCCTAAGCTTGTCAGCCTTACCATAACCATCTTCTACAAGGCGAGAGATAACAATTGCGCTTTCCTCTGGGGTGAACCACCTGGCGTTATGCGGGAAATCAGGAAGTATGAACATCGCGCAAACCGCGACCAAGATGGTGATACTGCCTTCAATGTAAAACAACCATCTACAAAGCATTCAGTTATAGAAACGCTCGTCACCTGCCTCCATGCAGCTTGCCTAAATGTGTCCTGTATGCCGCGGAGTATAGCAGATGCAAACAGGGATCCGAATGTAAAGTTGAGAAAACTTCCGCAAGAAACGAGAGCTAGTCTCAAGGCGACCTCGTCTCTCCTGTACCGTTTATATACAAGAAATACAATTCCGGGGAAGAAGGGAGCTTCGGCAAAGCCGAGAAAGAAGCGGGCGACGACAATGCCAGTATCACTTGAGTCAAACAATCAGAGACTAGATCTGAGCAATGCAAGACAAGGAAGTGTACTTCGTTGTGATTCTTGAGCACGATTAGCAGCCATCTTCATGAACGGTCAGTGTCGATAAACCTGACAATACTGATATCTTAAACATACAGCACAGAATGATGACAGGAGGCCTCTCTAGCCAGTGCAGGAACATGTTCCTGAAGAAAAGTTACGTTCAGCTGTTTCTCAATCGAGGACGAAATTCACCCTGGCACTTGCATGATAATGTATCCAACAAATAGAACGGACAAAATTGTGGCGTATTGTTCCCTATGCAAGTACAGGTCTTTCTCAAAACCTTGTAACCGAACGTTGCTGTAGGCGTCATTAGATTCATACGAGTACAGCGGTACTATTTGACACACCTAATATTAGTTCTGTCAATACTGACAATACAGCAAGTGTCAGAATAGAGTTCGCAAAGACCCTAACCCACCAGACTCAAGGTGTATAAGATCAGTATTATGGACATACGTAAATCAAGCTTCCTCAGTAATCCCTTTCAGGTCATTACGAGCATGACGGGGGACAACAGTGAGTAAGTCGGTGAAAACGTTACGTTGTTGGATCACAGAGAGTGGGTATCGTCAAGGGTGGGAAAACTAACATGCAGGCTTGGATATATTCTTGGCGACACGCAGTTGAGAAAATACTGCGAATTGATTACAGCTGAAAGCTATGGATCGTCTGAAAACGTCCTGAATCAATACTGATCGTACCACCGAGGATCACAAGAGAAACCAGGCTGCTCCACCAGGATCAACCTCTAGTCTACCTAGCGATGCACCGGATCAGCGACTCCGCCGATTGGCTTGGCCAAATAGTGGATCAAAGTGGATGATACAGTGTGAATGACAGAATTTCGCAACGAGAACGTAGCCATCATCCGGCAGAAGCCCCGGGCCAGGGCCAGCGGATATACACATCGGAATATGTAACTTATAGAACTATCAAAACAAATACACCCTGAAAGTAGTTGATGGGACTGATACCGACCTAGATCCATTTAGTTTAATAACGACCTGCAAGTTGCTGTAGAATCTTAGTCAAGACTCATCTGAGCTACTGGCAGATGTGCAACCATCGCTGTATCTCTTCTGTATAGCATAAGCCTAGGAGAGAGGTTATGGCTGAATAATGCATTAACTTTGCTGGTGAAAAAGGTTTAGTAATGTGCCAATGATGCTCCTGAGTACGAATCGTAGTGCATCACGAATGCTAACCATCAGACACACCAGCCAAGCTTGCCTATGGTACATAAGCTCCAGTGAGAGTTGCCAATGCAGCAGGCAACCCTTTACGACAAAAAAAAAGTGAATTGCAAGGATGATTTTACATGTATAGATAATATGGTACCAGTTGAACGTTGAATAGCGTTGAAGGGAATGCTGTGATAAAGCACTGGGCCGGATATTATGCGGAAATAGTGGAATGTGAAAATATTTGGGGCCGAAGTATACATGGCTGTAGGAAGCTGAAGACGAGGCACGGCATTGTAGTAGTAGCCGCTGGTTGACTATGATAGTCAGTCTGTTGAAAGTTCTGATCCGACCCGTAGTTCCCACACTTCAAAATGTGTCAGTCTTAGTAATTGCTATGTCCCGTTTAGCTCAGTTGGTAGAGCGCGTCACTAGTAATGACGAGGTCAGTCGTTCAAGTCGGCTAATGGGAAATCTTTTTGTTTTGTTTCTCAGAAGTATGCTGCAGCGATCGGTCTTCAACTACCACAAAACCCGGTGATCCGAATTCAAGTTGTCTGGATTCCTAGTATCCTGGTAGCTAGCCTCGTAACTGACCTACATGCATAGCTGTAGTATATAGTTCAGGGTATCAGGTAAGCGCGATGCACTGCTTACTAGTAGCACTGCCCCTGCAGTACTACTTCCTTGTTGCTTCCACTGTGACTTCAAGTTTCTGTACTTGATTTCATATAATTATACGTAAAACACTGGCAGTCGGTCAACGATGCATCTGCATACACAAGCGCTGGATGGTGTACTATATGTAGCGCCAACATCACCGTTATGCTCCACCAAAACCGCTACTCTTTGACCCATATTTCTTGAATATGTTCCTACTCTCAATTGATCCCAGTGGTTGGCCGGACGACGATACACATCAGGTTGCCACCTATGTTTTAGGTTCGTGAAGAGCAGGCCCGATGCTGTTTGACACTATTTATGACTGGTTTTGCAGTGGCGTCCTCGACTGCAATGCTCTATGATTGGGGTAAGCAACACAGTACTTGTCAAGGCGATTGTTGATGTCACTGTATCATTTAGCACTGACATTCCGACAAGAGGTAGGTTGATGAGTTGATGCCATTACCAGAACAGTCATCTCACTACACACAATGATTCATAGGTTGAACTGATCTGGGTGAGTAGAACTCTTATCGCATATTGACGCCAAAACGAGACAGCTAATTCGAGGCAGAAGCAACGCTGGTCTTTCATGACCCTTCTATATGTCATCGTATGTAGCCAATATCGTGCGCTGTGGCGCACTCGCCAAGTTATACATACTGACTGGAGAATATTCTAGGTGCGCTACGTTGGAATACTATACTCTATGTATGTTCGCAAGGCCAACAAGTTGGCACTGTACTAATAAGTCATCTCTCACTATCAGCAACAACCTACTGCGTATGTCTCCTTACTCTGTTGCCATTTCTTCTGACCAACAGTAAGCAGCGAGTCTCCCAGGAATTTCGATGACAGATGTGGTAATTATCTCGTGCCAGCGTCTGCCTGCCATGCCTGTCCAACTGACTACACTTCTACTTAGGGGTGAGTGAAATGCCTGTTTTAGGGATTCTATATAACATCTGAAATAGCTGTAAGTTTGACCAAAGTATTAAGCTCCGAGACTCTTCAGTAACTATGTTTTCCAGGTACCCTATTTTTCCTCGTACAAGCAGTGACATATTTCGTCATAAATACCATACTCGGCAGTGAGTTACTGCGTACTCCGCTGATATTCGACTGAAATATCTTGCAAGTCATCATGATTGCTCGATTATATGCCATGTATCAGGGATCAAAAAAAATCCTCGTCTTTCTCATTGTAGTCTTTCCAACTATCACAGCCGCCTGTGGAGTGCTGTTTGCATTAGCAATCCGCAGTTTTCCTTGGGGTATGTTTCGGTTATCATGAAAGACCTTGAATCATCAAGCTGATAGGATAGATTTCAGATCACCTCGTCCTCTCCGGCACCAATCAGTGTGTTTACGAGGTTCAGAGAAGCCAACAACTTGAACTTCTATTGGCCGGGGTTTGGATACTCCGCCTTGTGTGGGAGGGCATTGTACTCTGCCTTGCAGTCTGGATCGCTGTCAAACATTACCGTGAAATTCGGTGGCTACGTCCAAGATGGTCTAAAGGCTGTTTCACGGTGTTAATAAAAAGTCATGTGCTTTACTTTGCAAGGTGAACTCCTCACCTTAACGCGATTAATCTTCTTTCGCTCAAGTTCCGCATGTGCTAGCTTTGCTGCTGTTTCTTGTTTCAGCCTTGGTTGTTTGTCTCCTAATATAATAGTAGGTGTGCCAATCTCTGACTGACATCTTGCGTCTGACCACCATTTTGTCTATAGGACTCATATTCCGTGGGAGCTCAAATTTATTATGCCATACTTCAAATCGCCATATTCGTGCAATTATTCGTGCTGGGACCACGTCTCATCCTTAGCGTTCGAAAATATAATGCCAAGCTCGTTGATAGCGTCGACCTAGAAACTTGTATAAGTTCCATTGATTTCCAGGACTCCGAGTCGGAGCACGTATGCATGTCGACTAGCACTAGTAGTGTGTAGCACGAAAATGGACCGAATGTTTGCATACTCTGCCCGTGGACTCGTTAATGGTGCTAGTTTGGTACCAAAGTTAGAAGTGATAGTGTATTATGTAGCCAATACTTGATGTGTACCATCGGGCATCGCCCCAACGAACAATAAACAAATACTCAATGCACTGTATCACTACTGGAATTAGCTATCTACCGTTATTCGCATTATGCTTTCGTGCGAATGACTCCAAAATTCTTGACATGTTTTTTAGATAGTATACTGTCCACCCCGGAAAAGCGTGATTTTGAGAGGGTTGAAGTCGACGACGAGCTTCGTATCCTTATTCAGTGCATAAACAGCCTTGGCATTTTTCCCATCAATCGTCCCGAGAACATCATCACTCAACAAAGGGGCACCCACTGAGCAGCTTCGTTATATCGTTTCCTCAGTCCGTCTCCTTCGTCCATTCGCATGCACACGATGCCCTCCTCGTGTATGATAACATCAAGCACGAATTTGACGTTGGCATAGATGGACGAGTGAATGCTCACGGCGAACCCTGGATGATGAGGGCTAACTGTTCTGGAGGTTCGATTGAGCACGGGAAGCGCCGTGACGATGGGAGCGTGCTGCGAGAGCGTGTCCTCTGCGACAGAAACTGGACTGGGAGCATGTTTTGAAGTCAGGATGTTTGAGGGCGAGAGTTGTTGGGAGGAGGAGCTTCTTCCTTCTCAAAGATAACCAGTATTGATGCCACGAAATCGAGAGATTGCGAGACAAATACTCAATGGCTCCATCTCGCGTGTCACGGGATACAGAAATTTGACGAAACCTTCAAGTCAGCCTTTCTCATGCGCGACCAGCCGTTTTCGCTGATCGAAATCACACAAACGGATCTGTCTCGGCATTTCTTGCTGCCTGTGAAACCGTGGTCGGTACCTTTAGTACTCCCGCTGAAGTTATATACCTAGTGGTTGACCTGCAAATTAAGTGCGTTGTTGGGACATGAGGTCTTAGTGCCCATCGTCGACCTTGCTACGGAAAGTCAACGATTGCCACTAGCACCGCGCACCGCTCAGTCGAGGAACTCTACAAAAACGTTTGCGGGGATGGAGCAATAGATTCCAAACGAGCCACCCGAGCGGTCCAGCCATTGGCTTGTGAGATGGACATGCCTTAGACCAGCGCATAGTGTCCGTGAATATTAGCATACGATTAATTTCGTGCGTCCTCCCACCTAGTTGATTAAAGCATTCTTGACACAATCTGACGACTTCGCATGTAGCATCCACTTAAGGATTAAGTCTTGTGAGGGTTAGGAGCCAGACATGACTGGTTTAGGAGCACTGCTGAGGTTGAGGGTGTGTTTTAAGACTACAATTTTTGACGCTGCGTACCGTAAGGGTTAGATACGAGTCTTGTCTAGCGACGCTTAGCGTATGTTTGGCTCCCTTATGCAAACTACAACGACATTTGAGAATTCAGCATCCCTTTCATACTGTATTCTTACCGTAACGGTGATGGTAGCGTGGAGGCGAACAGCCTCAAGAAGTGTCCTGGACGTCTATTGAAATAAGACAGGTCAACACATAAAACGCACAATACACGCACCACTTGTAGAAAGACACCTCCCAAAATTCACTTCGACCGTAGTACTCAACACCATCCGCCTCCAGTGAAATGTCAGATTTCCTTCCAATCACTACACCCCTGCGAGAGTTCCAAAATCATGAAGACGGCATAACGGCAGTTACAGTATTTCCCCATAAACGACGGATGGTTACGGGCTCATGGGACCAGACGCTTCGGTTATGGGACTTGAAGCTTGACACACCGGCGGTTTTGGAATTTTGCACTATGCAAGATTTGTTTTGAAATGTTAATGATAAAGTTGGCATTCTTACTATACATTTTGACGTAGTAAAAATGAAAAAATTGGATGAGTGGATAAATCTTGGACGAAATTCTACATTTTATGAGTCATTTTGACATTGTAAAAGAAAGACATTTAACCGACAGCAAGATCTGAAGAAAAATGATCGAACATTTTGATTCAAATCTTACATGAGGTGAGATTTGAGGAAAATTTAAATAAAACACATTTTACCTATTGGAAAGGAATTTTACCCCGATATAAGATTTGAATCAAAATGTTCGATCATTTTTCTTCAGATCTTGCTGTCGGTTAAATGTCTTTCTTTTACAATGTCAAAATGACTCATAAAATGTAGAATTTCGTCCAAGATTTATCCACTCATCCAATTTTTTCATTTTTACTACGTCAAAATGTATAGTAAGAATGCCAACTTTATCATTAACATTTCAAAACAAATCTTGCATAGTGCAAAATTCCAAAACCGCCGGTGTGTGAAGACGGGTGTTGTCACTTGTGGGAATAGGCGGTGTCACGTGATGGACAATCTCATGGCATGGTGAATTACTACTCACCAAAATTTCAACCCACTTCAAAGGGACTACTTCACTGGACTTTTCTCAGTGCTGGTCACTGGTTCATATGACGGAACGACGAAGCTGTGGAACACCAGCACGTGGGAGCAACAAGGAGACTCGATTGAATGTGGTAGTGATGTCAACGGCGTATGGTATTCGCCTGGAGGACTTTTTGCCATCGCAACAAAAGACGATGTCCAAATTTATAATGCAGGAACGAGAAAACGCGTCGCATCCTTTGGGGCTCACACTGGAAACAAATTGTCACTCGCATGGACGCGCGATGGCACACGCCTTCTTACAGGTGGCGGTGATTCTGATCCTACCATACGCGAATGGGACACAACAACCTGGCAGCAGGTCGGTGATCCTGGACGGGCCACTCTAAGCAAGTCAATATCATTGTCGTTCATCCCGCTGGCACGCTCGTCGCATCCGCATCTGATGACAATCATGTCTGTCTCTGGTGGCTCTCAGACCGACAAACTGTTGTCATTTATCCTTCACAGAGTGCATCACTTTCTCGGTGGACGGCAACCACATCCTCAGCGGAGGTGGCAATAGCATAATATCGGAATGGGCAATACCTCAGGGTATTCAGTCAAAGGCATGTTTCCGTCCTTGACTCATATACCGCAATTCGAACATATATGCACAGATACTAGCCATCACGAGAGCCCGCGTTGCATGCATAGATAGGTACTTATCTACTGCCAAAGAACTACTTACGCAAGGTATTGACACCGATCCCGACGACCACACTCCAATCACCACACCCCTGCGAAAGTTTAAAGGCCATGGAGACGGCATATGGGCAATTGCAGTGTTTCCCGATAAACGACGGATGGTTACGGGTTCGGAAGACAAGACGCTTTGTCTGTGGGACTTGAAGACGGGCGTCGTGTTGAAGGATATGGAGGGGCATCAGTGATCACAGTGGCGTGTGGGCATTGGCTGCATCACGAGATGGGCAATTGATAGCAAGCGGTGATGAAGAAGGAGAGGCCATCATCTGGCACGGAGAAACTGGCGAATTACTCACCAAAATCGAAGCCCACTCCGGTTGTATCTACTCGCTGGATTTTTCTCCTGATGGGACAGTGCTGGCCACTAGTGTCCATGTAACGACAGAATAACAAAACTGTGGAACACCAAAACCTGGCAGCAACAAAAAGATCCAGTAGTAATTCTCGTTGGACACGGTATTCGCCCTCTGGAGAACTTCTTGCCATTGCAACAAAATACAATATCCAAATTCATAATCTAGGCACGAGGAAACACCTCGCATCCTTCAAGACTCACACTAGAAACAACTACTCACTCGCATGGACGCCTGATGGCTTTGGTGGTTCCAGAACAGGAGTATAGTCAGGAGCGATCGCATGTAGGAGCTCAGGTGGAGTACGTGCATGGGGATTTCTTTACTGCTACCTGGTGACCTTCCAACTGTCAGTCATTTAATGTCGTGAACGTGCTTTATAACGTGCTTTATAACGTTGTGCTTATGCATGCAAATCTAGCTGAACGGTTGAACGTTCAATATAGAGCCCTACTCTGATGGATACAAAAAACTGGCTAACTAATGTGCAATGTGTCCTCGCACCTTGGTCTCACGATACCATAGCACATTAGGTTCGTATAACTCTCACACAAAATCTACCAATGTGACCCGCCAAGTAGTCTTTCGACATCTCGGATCCTGCGTAAAGCGGCTTTGTATGCTTCTCATACAAAGTCTTCCAGAAAGCTCATCCCAATCCTGCACTATTCGAGTGCTCGCAGATGGAGCGGAGGTCTGAGTTTCCTGTAAGTCAATAAGTACACGGCCTTCACGATGGACATTCTCTGGGACTGCGCTCGTCTCGATAGTCGTTTGCCAAGGAGATGTCGTCCCTTTCTGGTTGTGCAGGGAAGAACGCCAGAATATCCGCTGGGCTGAGAACAAGCACGGCCACTGTGAGCTCTGTGAACGTGGGGGATCAAACTGCAATGGAGAGTGAGTCACTCCCCCGATGCGGTAATGCAGAGCAAAGCTTACATTGTACTTCTCAATGACGTAGGTATTGGGTTCCGAGGCATCGAGGTGAGGTCGTATGAATCGAATCTGGCCTTCGTACAAAGATACTATAGCTCCTTCATGGAACAATTTGACGAAGCGTCCGAAGGTCACAGCAGCAGGGCGAAGCTGCCAGAATGGCGTAAGCAACGGTGGTAGGTTTGCGTCGACGCTGTTGGGTACATTGGAGGGAATGTTGTACGCAGCCATCAATCGCGTGCTGACGAGTAAGATGCACGGAACTCGACCGGACAGGCGCAAGTCGTACCGTATCTGTACATAATCATCGGTATTCTCCAACTATAATATTTTCATCTTTGCACTTACGCGGAGTTTGCCGTCGTGTCCCTTAGGACAGTCAATTTCAACAGTCATATCCTTTCGAAAACCGTCATAATTATCGTTTAGCTGCATGATACGAAGGAAATGCCTCCTGTCGGCGGTAATCCAGCCATAAACGATATAGTCTCCTGACGCTGCATAGTTCCGCACAAACATATTTGTGCGAAAAGTGAGAGGTATCGTGATTGAGGGTATCTTTGTATTTAAATGCACAATTCCGAAGGCATTAGATCTAGTTGGAGTTCGTGAATATGGGGAATTAGGACCCGAAGGATACACCGCACCCGTCATTACACTTGGTTCGTAGTAGTATGAGATTGTCACCACGAGATGATTTATACGGACCGTCTTGGTCAAGGAAGGGGAGCCAGCACATCTCGCTCTGAAAGGTCGTGGATACAGCAGGGAATCCAGCTCCCGTGCTTGGTTTCATTAAGCATAAGTTGGAGTGTCGAGAAGGGTTGAGATTTCGACAATGGAAAAGTAACACTAGCCATGTCCCACCCGGAAGAAATTTGAGACCTTGAAATACACCAGGGAAATCCAGCGGAAACGTGTAAAGATGCTTAGGGACGATGCTAGACTGTGTCCATAGATGGTCCAGTCGGGCAGCGGTTTTCAGCTGGTGACGAATGTCTTCCGCAGTACATGAACGCAGATGGGGGTAACACTGGTCAAGAAAACGATGCTGAAAGAGGACGTCGCGCCAGACATGTCGTAATGAAGCAAATTCGTGTAATGTTCGACATGTCTGTGAATGAAGTATAAAAGGGGGGTTCAGGAAAGAGTAGTAATCTGTCGCAGACTCACACTTCCAAGTCTCACGATGTCCAGGACGGAAAGATACCTCATAATCACGAGCCATACGTCGACCACGAACTTGGAAGGACTGTGGACAGCATGTTGGCCATGTTGGCTGGCTGATACTACAAACATGGGTATCCAAATCAGCGTTGGTGAGTAAAGAACTCGAAATTGTGGAACACATGGTCCTGCTGGTCATTTTCAGGCTTATGCATTGCCTGAGCAGTGGGTAGTTGGCGATCACGACATATGGCGTCACAGGTCGCTTTATTACATAATAGTTGTGTATGTTTGCGCTAGCGCTGAACGAAAGTTTGATTCATCATTCGGAACACCTTCACTAAATTACTACTACACAGTACTACTCTTGCCAGTGTTCTTTCATGAGAGATCGACGCACTAGTTGACACTTCAGTGAGTCTGAGACATCTGCGCGCAGCCGTCGTTTCTAATCACACAGCAACTAATTTGCAGCTGTGTTGCAGGTTGCGACTGGCCGCTGATAGACTCGGAGATGTCGACTACTGACCAGACATCAAGTACTGATTCACTTCCACCTCAAGATTGTGTCCGTAGCTTGAAGTAATGACCTCCGGTATTTGATGAATGGATTTGAACAGTCTGCATCAAGTAAGTCGTCTATCAGTGTTCGTTCTTAATGTGACATAAGTAGTTATCTGTATGCGTAACCCACCTGGATAGCCCGTTTGGGAAGCCTTATTAGGCTTAGCAATAGCGTGCCTCGTCAACTATATTTAGGCTCGAAACTAGTAATATCCCAACACCAGCGTTAAATCACGCCCTAAATATTCTGATACCTTTGTACTGTAGCCTATAGCTAGGCTGGCACGTATCCCGCCTTATCCCGCCCTACGCCTGATACCGGCAGTTTCCGCAAATTGCCTGTCTTGGTCCATAGCGGTTTATCTGGCGGGTTCTCACGCCTCTGTCCTCCTACCCCCTGCACTGCTGCACACTGCACGCCGCCGCCGCCGCTTCTACAGCTCAGCAGCCATCACCCAGGCCACCACTACCCTCTACAACATCTGTCCCATCTTCCTCACCCAAAATCTCAGCGCCTCAGTGGTCTGTGCGCCCCCAGCTTGCAGCATCCTGCAGGCTGCCTCCCACCTCATTCTACAACGCTTGCGCCCAGCACCAAGTTGTCTCTGTGTCCCCAGAACGCTGCCTGCACCAACCTGCTTCCCACCTCATTATCCTTGCCCACCACTGCCCTCTACAACACCTGCCCAAGTGGTCCGTGCGCCCACTATCAAACCTGGTCTCAGCTAATTGCCTACGCCTACAGATTCACCACTTGCGGATCGCACCATTCAGATCCACCAACGCCTGGTGTGGTCTACTTGCCTACGCCTACAGAATCCTCACTTGGGGATCGCACTATTCAACTGTTTGTCCACCTGGTCCGTGCGCCCACTATCACCCGGTCTCAGCTAATCGCCTATGCCTACAGAATCCTCACTTGGGGATCGCACTATTCAACTGTTTGTCCACCTGGTCCGTGCGCCCACTATCACCCGGTCTCAGCTAATCGCCTATGCCTACAGAATCCTCACTTGGGGATCGCACTATTCAACTGTTTGTCCACCTGGTCCGTGCGCCCACTATCACCCGGTCTCAGCTAATCGCCTACGCCTACAGAATCCTCACTTGGGGATCGCACTATTCAGATGTTGACTGTCAGGCCACCTGGTCTGTGCGTCCCCCTTGCCTCTCACTTCATCAGCCTTGCAGTTCCCACTGACACCTCATTTTATCTATAAATTTTTAAGACACCACTGCTGCCGCCATTGCCATCCCGTCAGTTCGAAGACACCACTGCTACTGCCCTTGCCATCCTGTCAGTCCAGCACTTTCTCAAGCGTGCAGACTATCAACAATGCTTAGAGGGACCGAGACTTCGAGCTAGAGGGCCGCACAATCACATTATTGGTAGTACTTGACAACTGTGTACACAACAATATATTTTTTTTCACGACACACAACCTCCATTCTGATAGTAATGAGTGATGCCATACACGAAAGCTATGACTTGACACTAGGTAAGTATAAGTGAACCTCCCTCACTCCAACATTGGCGCGGGGCCAAATATTCGATCTAAGTCAGCCAATGCTTTATCACAGTCAAAGGGAATGAAGTCATCACCAGGAACAGGTGGCTCTGTATCACGAGCAGCTGGATCAGGTAACTCTTCATCACTGGCCTCGCTGTCCTCAATAGTCTCGGCACTCTTGTAATGTTTGCGATGAGTTGTTGCAGGTATTGCTGCACTGCGGCGCTTCGTCCCTTTGTCAGATCGAGTGCGGCGGCGGCAATCAATTATCGCGCCACTCTTGAGCTTCTCTTCATGCTCCAGACGGAGTTTCTCGAATTCTTCATCGCTCAAGGACTTCCAGTAAGTCGCACCATCATCCCACCTATTGCAAAGCATCTGGAGGTCCGGAAGCGCACTCGATACTTGACTAAGATTTGTAAACGGAATTTGATCCGGCCATCCTTCCACAACAACCTAGTACCGCTGAACAACGTTGCAGAAGTAATGCGCCCATTGCATTTTTGCGCCAGTGTCACCAGTACACTCCTCTATTAATGAAATAAGTAAATTAAATGTTGTAAATGCAAAAAAAAAAACTTATGAAGCTTTCGGTTGATGATGTCACGAATTTCTGCGCGTTTATCGGAGACACGCTTCTGGTGGTTTTTCGCAGATCCTGAATATAATTAGAACGATGTAGCAATAAGAACAAAGACACTAACCTTTCATCCCCTGGACAGCGAAGCCTTCCATTTTGCTGACTAAATCTTGATTATCGATACCCATTACGGTGTCCATGAAGTTGTCAACACCTTGAGTGGCAAACACGACACCTCGGAGGGGAACATCCGTAGAACCACGTGTAGTGTATAGAATGGATTCCGCGCCTGTATGACAATGGAGGCTCTTGAGCTAGAAGATGTGAGGAAATGTCAGAGACAAATTCAACAAAGAACATACCTCGTTTTCCACTGCCTTCAAGGTTTGCGTGATATCGTTGATTTTCGACTTGGCCGTAACACGAACACCAGTCTTCTTCGTCTCTTTCCATTCAGTGAACTCGGCGAGAAGTTCAACTTGTTCTTCATTTGAGAGTGCGAGGTATTCGGACTTGTGTTCTCGGACAAGTGTTTGGAGCACCGCTTTACCGTGGCTATCTAAAAAAAACAACGCTTGAGCACGACAGAACACGACAACACAATTATAATAAAAACTTACCGTTCTCTTTATCTTGGTTTTTCTTCCAGCAGAACGCATTCCATAAATTAGCCTTAGAGCGCTTTGAACGGAGAAGGCCACGACCTATGTATAAATCATTTTGAACTTGGCGGATACTTTTATGGTGTGAAGACGCAATCAATTTGGTAGCATCGTCGAGCTGCTTCCATGTGTCATCTAAAGGTCTTTGAACCAAAGAGATTTGGTGCGTCGCTCGAGCCTGAGAGCAGCACGGGCTTCTTTACTGAGCACAATGTTCGAACGTCGACGGGCAGGTGGCTGGATGAGTCTGGCATTTGAACTGCGCTTGTTGGCAAAGAACAACTGGGCAACCATTAGCTACAAGGAAGCAGCGGAGACTAGTCAACAACCTGCAATCATTTGTCCAGCTATTTAACGCACCGAAAAGAAAATTTTCACTCTGTCAACATTGTGGTTAGGCTCAGGTATCACATCATTCTGTACTAAACAAGGCAGGAACATCTGAGATCTACAGTAATAATAAACCGAAAAGGTAAAGTGCACATATGAAAACTAAGATGCCGAGGATCTTGAGGATGGTGGTAAGCACTGATGACCGATTCTACGGATTGAAATTAAAATTAAAATGCGAAGAATGGAGAATGACTAACCTTCAATTTGGCGGCCTCAGGGTTGACGTCCCTTATACCTACCTGTAGGTCCATGAGGAGGGCATTAGACAAGATGGAAGCTTGTTCGTAAGTCAAGTCCCATGACGGGGACCTAAACACTGCCTCCCACCGGCTGCTGCAAACTGCTGCTACTAATGTTCGGAGCTTCGGCAAATTCTCGTCACCCAGCTTCAACCGATCGAGTGCAGCATCTGTATATGGCCCAATACTAATAAGGGGCGACCCAACCATTGACAGATTGCAAGCGAATCCCTGAGATGGCGCCACAACAAGTGGGACAGCCTTGGTGAATACATCAGCCGGTCGGCGTTGACGCATCTCCGAGCATGGCGTCGATGGTGCAGTTCGGTTCGCAGATTCGGCAGCCAATTCCACACCACGACGAATAGCGGCAGAGTCCGAATGAAGGAGAGGGGACTGTAGATTGGTGGAAAAGGTGTCTGGGGCTTGCGCAGAGCATTGGATTTGAGCTCCTGTGGCAACCATAGGTGGAGGGATGTAGCGTGGTCCGGTAGTGCTGATATGAGTTGCAGGGACTTCACCTTGTGTTAGCAATGCGAAGAATACAATAAAAATTAATTTACTTACAGCGCCTGCTGGGTTTCACCTTTTCAATGGCACAGCGGGTAGCAAAACACTGCAAATGAGGTACTGCGAACTCTTGTGCGAATGCCTGTACTAAGACAGCAAGATCTCCACCAATTCGCTGCTGCGTTTCCTGCAACTCGCGCGGCGTGATATAGACATCAATAGGAATTTGTTCGGGGGAGAGATTCGGCGGAGGTTCGCTGCCAGCGCATCGAATGAGAAGGGATATCCCACCATCAAGACGGTCTTGCGTGGTGAGCTGAAAAATGTTGTGAGCTTTAAGAAAAAAAATCAAGGAAATGACTGACTGCGTCAAATACATCCTGGGTGGCTGCATCGAGTAGCTCGTTAGGTGTAAGGGACCGCTCTTTTGCCTCGTTCGAATTGCTTGACCAATTGAAGCTGATGTATGATGGGTGAAGGCCCCCCACTGTCCTAGTCTGATAATGGGAGCCGTCGATATGAGCATCATGCCTGAGTAAAGCCCGTGCGGCTGCTTGACGCTCGTTGTTGCTGAAACCCGGGGCAAAGGTAGAATTATGATACAGCACAGCAAGACCTGTCATGTTGAATTGGTCGAACCGTTTGCTATCCGGAGATGGTATAGATGCCATGGAGTGCAATGGCGAAGATTGCAATGGCTTCAAGGGTGGTGGAGATGGTGGATGCACGCTAGGTGCAGTGGAGTCGTGTTTGCGAGCTTAACAAGTGCGTGGTAAGTAGTAATTTTGACGGGCACACTATTATGTACACATAGATCTGTACTCAGATTCTCGAATACAATCATGCCTAGCGCTCTATAGATAATCTACACTGCCTGTATTAATAATGTAGCATACAGTTGTAGATTATCGCTTCGTAATTCAAATTCTATATAGGAGTGAGATGTAGACTACGGCGCCATAATGTAGCATGATTTAAGCACGGGTTTCGGTCTGACCAAAAGTGTTAATTGATCAATTAATGAGGGTCTTATTTCTCTACAAACGTTAAGAGTATACACAGTCCTATGGACTGTGTATACACGTTTGTAGAGAAATAAGACCCTCATTAATTGATCAATTAACACTTTTGGTCAGACCGAAACCCGTGCTTAAATCATGCTACATTATGGCGCCATAGTCTACATCTCACTCCTATATAGAATTTGAATTACGAAGCGATAATCTACAACTGTATGCTACATTATGGTGTACACTACTATACATATTCAGTATCACACATCTATTGCAATCATTTGTGGCAAATTTTTTCATTATGACGCGACAAACTAAAGGTACAAGTTGCGGTATGTATGTGGTGCCCAAGTTAATCAATAATTGACTGAAGAAAATCAGCCATGTCCTCTGTCAACGTGTTTATTTCTTCGCGATCAATGGCTTCTATGTCAGTATCCTCAGTATCAATGGTTGGCGAGATATCTGCAAGATCATTCGGTTGACCTATGAAAACATTAGCATAACATCCGAGTTTGCTATTCAAACATACCATGGTCAGCAGCGCGGTCAGCGCGGACACCAACACCCCTGACTCCAGAAAAGCCTGTGAGACTCTCGATGCGATTCAAGCGGTAGCAATGCATTGCATTGATAGCCGCACGTGAACGATGTTGGCATTGCAGCTCGCAGCCTAGGTGCGGATCTGAAACCTGAAGTTTCTGTATGACAGTAAGCATATGACGTTCTTCATCGTGAATGGCGGTGCGCAAGCGGCGGACTTCAACGTTGAGTCTAGTGATTTCTTCGCGCGCTTGACAAAGTTTGAAGAATTTAGTGGTTGCTTCTCGATGTCCTGGCTTTGACCAAGCGCTGCTTCGAATATCATTGCGAGAATATCGCAGAAGATCGAATTCGGCTACAAAACCATAATCAGCGATGTCCTTCCAAGAGATCTTGGAACGGGGTGGATTTAGGGCTGCGGCCTGTGTGTTGTAGCGATTAATAGCATTACGGATGGCATCCGAACGACGTTGTAGAGCCTTGCCTAGCTGCTGGCGTAGCTTGTACCCTAGAAAAAAACAGTCGTTAGTGTTGGTATTTCGGCATAAATGAACTTACCTGTGCCCGATAGTGAGAGTTTGGAGAGTTCAAATAACCTCATCACCACGAGACGCTCGAGCTCATCTAGGGCAGTGCGGTACTTACCCAGGGACGCCTCCTCCTTAAAATGTCGGTACTCTGGCCCACCAATCTCCCACCGCTGATCCACAGCCAATTGTGTCTCGATATGCGCGACAAGCCCTTCAGCATGCTGTAACTTCGCATAGGAAGAGTCAACACGAATCCGGGCTTGGGCGAGGGCATTGTTGATCTCCTGTAAACTACCGGTGGGAATGCTAGTCAGGGCGGTATTGCCGACTTCCCGAGCCACGTCCCAATCGGCTCTATATTAGTTAAATATCAGGTCCATAATAACGGTGTAGAAACAACAATACTGAGAGGAACAAATGAATGCTCCAAACTGTATCTATAATGTTGTGAGGTCGCGCGTTGCCTAGTCTGCTATTCTTGAGAAGACAAGTACGTTCGACCCTAAAGGGGAAGCGAGTGCAGCAAGGTTCTAGAAGTAGGGGCTACTGGTCGGCCAATGCGAAGCGCGAGAAAGCGCGCAGGTGCGCGCGAGGCGCGGGAAGCGCGCGTGAGCGGAGACAAGTGAGAGTAAGTGTGAGTTTGCTTAAGTGGTGATTAGATGAATAACAAGAGATACGAGCGCGAGGTGTCAAAGAATAGATTGCAACTATATTCTCTAGGTGGTAAGTGGGTGGTAAGTGGGAGGTAAAGTTCTTGTTGGAAAGTAAAGTGTCTAATAATATGTACTGCTGGCGCTTATATGGCGCCTAAGCGCTGTCATGCGGAGCCGAAGCGCTACCGAGTAGGTATGTAAAGATATATGTAAGTAAGGGTCCATGGTAAAAATAGAGGTGGAACGATATGTAAATAAGAGAAATGGGAATATACGCACTAGAGAGCTTGGTGGACAGTGGATGGATGCTTCTGGATGGCTGGCGCTATAGGGCGCTCAAGCGCGGGAAAGCGCGGGAAAGCGCGCGCGCGTATACATCGTAAAGCGCGGGAAGTCGTGCGCGCATGCTGCGCATTGCGTGGGAAAGCTGCGCCTCGTAAGGGAATAGCTGTGGATAGCACACAGAGTGATGCTGCAAGTCATGCTGTGTACTCCCTAGTGGAAAGTGCCATATCACACAATGCGAGGCATGAGTCTCTACATCTCCCAGGGACTTAAATTCTGAGTGTCCCCACTCAGCGCGCGTGTGGTGAGGATCTCAAGTGGTGGTATGCGAGTGCAATGCATGTGCAGTGCTTGGGTTGTTGGGCGATGAATGCGTGAGTGCAGGGATTTATCACATGGTATGCGTGAAGCGCGGGAAGTTGCACGTGGATGAGCGCGCGTTAGACACGAAGGCGTGGGAATGTGCGCGCATTTAGGCGCAGGGGTGCGGGAATATAGCATAGCATGACAAGTTGCGAGGGTGACTCTGATGTGAACAATGTGCCATGGGCACGAGGCGATGGTGCGAGAGTGATATGAATGTGGCACGCGAAGCGTGGGAGAGTGCGCGCGCACAAGGCGCGAGAACGCGCATGAGTGTCGCATGTGTTGTATTCTGTGGGGACACCATGAGCTGTCGCGCAATAATCTCAGAGTCCAATATGCGTGCATGGGCATGATGCGAAGTGGCGCGGTCCAAGAGCGATCCAATCCATGTCCAAACCAAGTCCTGCTAGGCGCGCTAAATATTAGGTGTTAAGGGTTTGAACAGTGTGAGTAAAACTATATGTGAAAATGCGAAGGAAAAACAGTAAACTTTGCGGATGTCCTATCCGACTTGTCTTCTTCGTGCGGCTGTCGACATCTACACCCTCCTATGAGCAAGGCGCGGGAAGTGCGTGCACGCGCGCATGAGGCGCATGGGCGCGGGAAGATTGCGCGCATATGGGCGCGTTCTAAGGTAAAAAGAGCATGGTGCTGCGTCATGCGTAAGAAGAGAAATAATATCCTATTGAGCTAGGCAGGCACAATCTAAGGTTGTTTTGTTGTTTTTCTTCTATGTTCTTCTAGGCGATTCCTATATGCATATATATCAGTGTTATTAGTCCTTTGGACAGTGTTATAATGAGAGAAAATAAAAATGAAAGAGCGCTGGACGAAACCCAGGGTAAAACGAACGATATCCTATGAAACAGTGTTGGTATATGTTTTTTCTTTAGTGCGCCGCTGAAGCGCTCGATCCTCCTCCTTGAGCGCGTGCGAGTGCGCGTGACTAGCGCACTACGCGTCTCTTGCGAGCTGACGCTTTACCCAAGGTAGGGTTGGAATGCGCTTGGGGGGGCTTGTAACTGGCAGAATGAATTCCTGCACAACGCGCTGCAGGTTAAAGGCGCGCCAGTGGGAGGCGCTGCGAGGGGTGTAGAGGTGCTCTACAAGCTGATAGGATGCGCGCGATGTGCGCGCCTTAGGGCGATTTCGCGCGAATTTGATTATATTGGCCGAACACGCGAGGAACGGCCATTTCTCTGCAAATGTGTTAGCGAGGGACATATATAGCGTGGAATTAGGCGCAAATGTTGCGCAAATGGGCTGTAAGGGTGGTTTATCAAGGCGCAATAGGCGCACAGGTGAAAAGGAATAGTGCACGTCAGGGTGTGCAGTAACAAAATCGACATGGTAAGCGAAAATGTGAAGAATGCAAATAAACGTGGAAAGTGCGAAGTTAAAGATGATGATAGGGGAGTTAGGCGCATATGTATGTGTCAGGCGCGCGCCTAAGTCGCGCCTGGATGACTGATTGGAATATATTTCGCGTGGAATGACAGAAATGTGATTTAAAAGGGGAGAAACGATAGAAATGCGATAGTGCAAAAACTCTGCTAAAATAATGAATGCGCGAGGCGCGGGAATTATCGCGCGATGCGCGCGATCATGGCGCGTGAACAAGGGGTGGTGCGAAGATGAAGTTAATGTGTTTGGAATTGTCATATAGCTCCTTAAGAGCTTTAAACATGAAAAAGACAAAAAGCGCGAAATGAGACGAGGGTAAATATACAATGCCTCTAGGTGCGCACACTGCGCGTCCTGAGGCGCGATGTGGTGCGCCTGAGTCACCCCAGGGTCGCCTGAGACATGCTCTGTTTGGTGGTTGGGCAGCGTGATGCACGGATGCTTCAATGGCAAGCGATAGTCGCTAGAAGCAAAAAGCGCGATGTGCGCGTGATCGTTAGTGACAGATTGAATTACCAGAGACAAACTCTGGTCGACGTGAGGTGTAACTTGAGCCTCTGATGCGTTAGAAGGCTCCTCTATAGGCGTGCTAAGGCGCAATAGATGTTTAGGGTCATCCCTGACCTCTGATGGTGCGAGCGGTGATAGCGGTGATGGTGATGGTGCGATTGGCGAGATTTCTTCCTTAAGCGATGCAATAGCGATAGGCGAGCGTGTTTCTGGTGGCGCGTTACTAACTTCCGCAATGGGCGCGTTATTGTGCAATAGATGTTTAGAGTCATCCCTGACTCCTGGCGATGCGATGGAGATGGGTGAGCGTGTTTCAAGTGGCGCGTTAGTGTGCAATAGATGTTTAGAGTCATCCCTGACTATAGGCGATGCGATTGGTGATGATGATGCAGATGGCGATGGAGATTGTGAAGGAGATGGTGTTGATAATAAAGGCAAAGAGGCGCCTACAATGCGCTTCTCGTTGCGCTTCGCGAGCGCGTGCTTGAGTTCGTGATCTAAAGCGATGCAGTCTGGTATGGCTTGGCGTGCTGGTGCGGTTGATGGTCCTGGTGCGCGTGAATCGCGCGAAGGCGCGGGAAAAGCGCGTGCATGAGGCGCGAGAGTAGGAACTGGTGGCCTTTTGTCAAGTACAACTTCTGAGGATGCGCGATAGAAGAGTCCAGTTGTCACATTAGCGCTAGTAGTCGTATCCTGCGTTGCGCGGCTCGCGTGATAGTGATCCTTGCACTTAGCCACCATGGCTTGCACTGGTGCTTGCGCTGAGACTAAGTTCACAATTGGCACTACTATGGGCGCGCTAACAAGCGCGCTTGGCGCGGGAAAAGCGCGCGCAGTTAATAGGAACTGCGCAGCTGCAAAGACGTCCATAAATGGGTATGGGTCGTATGGATGGTGGTCAGGGAACTTGATCATAAGGCGCAAGCGAATTTGCGCCTGAGTGTTGCTGGGGATTCCTTCCATGAATAAGCGGTCGCGTTCGGCCTTTCCAATACGGTCTTCATCCATGAGTGGCTGCATAACCTTCCTGAATGTGCGCAAGTAATTGCTGAGTTCTGTGCAAGAGGGCATTGGTTTGTTAGCATATTCGCGCGCGATGGCGCGCAAGTCTGCGAGCGCGTAGCGTCGTTTACCATCCCATCCAGGATACATTACCTTAACTTCTGCCATGAATGCATCATAATCATCTACTGCTGCTTCGGGCATGCCTTTCCATAGTTCTCGATCATCGCGTTCGAGGTAGCGGATAATACCTTTGATGCGATCAAGTCCTTGGAGTCCTGCTTCATCAGCGAGCTGCTCATAGGTGTCAATAAACTCGGCGAGGTTGTCTGTAGTGCCGTCGAACTTGGGCGCGTTTGCTGTGCTGCGGATGGGCATTCTAAAGGGCATTGAAGCGCGGGAAAGGCGCGCGCGCGAGGCGCGAGAATGCGCGACTAGAAATGGTTAGCTTGTGACAATGTAAAGGGATTGACCTATGTATATGCGCTAAATGGCGCTAAGTGCGAAAGTGCGTAGAAGTAGATCTTGCTGACTGTTCCCCTCGCGGTGGGCTCCAGTTGTAGAAACAACAATACTGTGAGGAACAAATGATGCTCCAGACTGTATCTGTAAATGTTGTGAGGTCGCGCGTTGCCTAGTCTGCTATACTTGAGACGACAAGTGCGTTCGACCCTAAAGGGGAAGCGAGTGCAGCAAGGATCTAGTAGTGCGCGCCGAAGGCGCTACTGGTTGGCTGATGCGAAGCGCGAGAAAGTGCGCAGGTGCGCACAAGGCGCGGGAAAGCGAAGGTACGCGCGCGTGAGCGGTAATGAGAGAGAGTAAGAGTGAGTTTGCTTAAGGGGTGATTAGATACTAGACAAGAGATACGAGCGCGAGGTGTCAAAGAATAGATTTCTACTATGTTCTCCTAGGTAGTATGTGGGTGGTAAGTGGGAGGTAAAGTAAGTATCCTCGTGGTCCGTGATGCTGGCGCTTATATGGCGCCTAAGCGCTGTCATGTGGAGCCGACTCGCTACCGAGTAAGGTATGTAAAGATATATGTATGTAAGTAAGGGTCCATGATAAAAATAGAGGTGGAACGATATGTAAATAAGAGAAATGGGAATATACGCACTAGAGAGCTTGGTGGACAGTGGATGGATGCTTCTGGATGGCTGGCGCTATAGGGCGCTCAAGCGCGGGAAAGCGCGCGCGCGTATACATCGCAAAGCGCGGGAATGGTGCGCGCATGGCGCGCGTTGTGCGGGAAAGCTGCGCCTCATATAGGAATAGCTGCAGGTAGCATACAGAGTGATGCTGCAAGTCGTGCTGTGTACTCCCTAGTGGAAAGTGCCATATCACACCATGCGAGGCACGAGTCTCTACAACGGCATGGAAATTTTACTTACTGTCGTTGAGTGAGCTCGTCGAGAACTTCAACATAGCGTATGCAGAGTTGGTCTCGGACAGGTGGCAGCTTCAATCCGTCAAGATAATCACGGTCTTTGAGAAATTGAACAAGATCGTCATCAGTAAGACTCAGCTCGGCTTTGATGACAGCTAGTTCAGCAGTAAGTGTCTGAATAGAGTTTAGCGCCTCGCGGTAGTGATTCCAAATGAAATTGCCTGACAGAATCAGTGATAAAGTAGTAAAACTTAAGTAATAATATTTACTCACTAAGGGTCGCGTACTTGTCAGTGTCCCAGAATAAGAAATGTTCTTCGATAGTCTGACGCCGGTGGAATGGACTTGCGTGTCTCGTACTACGAGCAAGCTCATTTGATGACGAGAAGATATGCTCGCACCCTTCGCCCTCGGTGTGTCCGGTTCCGAGAATGTACATGGGATGCCAGTCTAGCTGGCACTTACGGTTATGGGCGTGTCCGTGGAACGCGCCCACCATGAGACGAAAGTCTAACTCGCGCGCTCGCATACCCAAAGAACTGTTGGTCAGTGTCTTTGAAAATGTGCATCCAATATCATAAGCGCAGCCGCCGTTTTTCCCGTATACGGCGAGGAGCTTGTCAATTATGGCTAGCGGGTATTTTGCTCTGTTGTAAATCAGCGCTTGTCAAGATGAGCTAAGAAAGAACTTAACAATTCTCCGCTCCGTATCATGTCGCAAGCTAGAACGACAAATCTATGACGGCACGCTGCAATAAATATCCCGGATTCATCAAACACTGAAAACATTTTTTTTTGAGTCTCTGGACCAGCATTGCGCCATTGGTTGACACAACTGAATGCTGGGGTAGTGCCTTCAGCTGCGATCGTTTCGTCCTCCCAGTTATCGTCATTTGTGTCCCTCTGCATCATGTAGTCAGACTATTGTTGCATGAAGAGAGGCTCGTCTTACCTCACGTGTTTGGACTTCATCCTTGAACCTGTCTACGTCGCAGGTATCAATCCAATAATCAGAACGTGCCTTGCGAGAATCAATGCGTGGGTTTGAGCCGTAAATTGTAGAGTTCCAGCGCTTCAAACTATTGTTGCCGTCGATCGATACCAGCCAATCAAATTCAAGCACTGGCTCATCCTCTAATTTATAGAAGCAAGCTGGGCATGAATTGAGCATGCGCCAATTCAGTGTGTCATGATTGAGTGCTCCGCGATGACGCTGTTTCACGCGGTGAAGGATTTCTAAATAGATGTCATAAGCGGCTGAAAATTGTGCGTTAAGGTACGGTCGATAGGGTGTCTGTGCGGCATTTTTAGATCAGTCAAATGATGTAATATACACGTACATCATGCAGGAAACAAAGACTTTTCACTTGGGCTTGAATGCTGAATCGGGGACATGACCGATGGATTTGACGGTAGGCGGCAAGAGTGCGCAGCGATATGGCAGCTGTGGGATAAAGCGGTGCACACCCGATGTACCCATGGTAGATTAAGGTCTCGTTTGGGTATCTGTGGGAGGGCTGCGATTGCAGTGAAGAGTGGCTTCGCTCTAGAAATGAATTAGCGCACAGAGAATTGGAACTTTGTGAAACATACTGAAAAGGTCAATTAGTTCTATGTTAGTTAGCGAAACACTAGAAGAATCGTCTAGAAGTGGCTCCGCAGACATGTCGTCAAAGGTTGGTAAGCCGTCTCCAGAATCACGGAAACGATAGTCCAGGTAAGCGTCCACCAGCAGGTCTATTTGAAGTTGCCAGTGAGTCGTTTGGCTTTCTGTGCAGTCCTCCCGAGTGCGGTGATCGATACAGCGACTGGTTGATGGTATAAGCAACAATCGAGACAGACAAGAAAAAAAATACACACTAGCCACCAAGGTCCGCTATTTGACCAGCGAGTCCCTCAAATGCTTCGTACTCCCCACCAGCATGACTCAGTTCCATCCCCTCCTCTCCTGGAGGCGCGGTGTATGGTATTGATTCAACGTCCATTCCATAATCACTCATCATGTTCTCCACCAACTGGCGGTCCTCGCTCGACATCTCTGTGAGAGATCGCATTAGTTATATGTAAACAATAAGAATGTGAAGATATACCTTGGACTTGAGCCTGACGGCCTGCATCTGCTGCCTCATTGCGTTGAAGCTGATGGCTAGCTTTCAGGATATGAGTCTGGCGATGTCGCCCTCGAAAGTTGTGCGAGATGATAGACTTTGAGAGGCCCTTAAGCTTAGAATGACCCCCTGCACGAGGCATAAGGAGCCGGTGGGACGATTCTGTAGGCGTAGGCGATTAGCTGAGACCGGGTGATAGTGGGCGCACGGACCAGGTGGACAAACAGTTGAATAGTGCGATCCCCAAGTGAGGATTCTGTAGGCATAGGCGATTAGCTGAGACCGGGTGATAGTGGGCGCACGGACCAGGTGGACAAACAGTTGAATAGTGCGATCCCCAAGTGAGGATTCTGTAGGCGTAGGCAAGTAGACCACACCAGGCATTGGTGGATCTGAATGGTGCGATCCGCAAGTGGTGAATCTGTAGGTGTAGGCGATTAGCTGAGACCAGGTTTGATAGTGGGCGCACGGACCACTTGGGCAGGTGTTGTAGAGGGCAGTGGTGGGCAAGGATAATGAGGTGGGAAGCAGATTGGTGCAGGCAGCGTTCTGGGGACACAGAGACAACTTGGTGCTGGGCGCAAGCGTTGTAGAATGAGGTGGGAGGCAGCCTGCAGGATGCTGCAAGCTGGGGGCGCACAGACCACTGAGGCGCTGAGATTTTGGGTGAGGAAGATGGGACAGATGTTGTAGAGGGTAGTGGTGGCCTGGGTGATGGCTGCTGAGCTGTAGAAGCGGCGGCGGCGGCGTGCAGTGTGCAGCAGTGCAGGGGGTAGGAGGACAGAGGCGTGAGAACCCGCCAGATAAACCGCTATCATCACCAAAATTGCTCAAACCATACATGGCTAAACACGGTGGTATCCGACAATGGCTAGGGCGTCGAGCATGTCAGCGATGTCAGCCAAAACCCGGTCCTGTCTGACAATCCCTATGAACTGAATTGACGGTGTCAACCTCGTGTTGACGTCGTCTCTGTAGTTTAGATATTTTGTATCATGCAGACTAATAAAGATATTGAGTGCCGCTCAGACTTATTCAGACATTTTTTCTGGTTCAGATACAGCATGATATTGATTCCCTTCCAGCCAGTACAAGTTATTACAGTATGAGCAAGGTATTGTAAGTCGACAACGAGGCATGCAGTGCGAGAATGATGGAAACAACAGAGCAGCGGGAAAAAGTACAAATGAGAGTTCCAGATGTGAGGGTAGCGGTTATTTCTTCTGCTTCTTCTTAGCGGGCTGGGATCTAGTGGGAACAGCTGCCTTGCGCTTGCCTGAACGGGTCGGAAGTTCAGACTCGTCATCTGAAGCCTCGACTACCGGTCCCTTGGATTTGCCCTTGGCACGTTTGGCTGGTGCCGTCTTGCGCTTCTTCGGCTTCGGCTGGGGTTCTTCTTCCTCGTCGGAGGCCGTCAGTTCACTGCCAGGTGAGTTGCCGTTGGCTTGCGATACAGCCTTTGCTGGTGGAGACGCTGGCCGTGGAGCAGGAGCTGATGGTGGTGGTGGTGGTGGTGGAGGGGGTGCCGGTAAGTTCTCCCGAGCAGCCAATGGACTTGACACAGCTGGCCTCATGGAACGGGGGATAGGACGTGGACGTGGGATGCTGCGAACTAGTGAAGAAGGTGGAGGTGTCCCTGGAGGAGGGGGTGTACTCGGTGCAGCTGGCTTTGGGATGCCGGCAACTGGTGAAGAGGGTTGAGGTGTCCTTGGAGGAGGGGGTAAATTTTCTTGAGTGGGCAGTGGGCGATGTAGAGGTGCAGCTGGGCGCTCTGAGTCCGTAGCGTGAGTCTTCGCTGCAGCATTGCGAGCTGCCATTTGTGCGCGCAAGCGAGCCAAGTCGCTGCCACCCTTGCGAGCACCCGAGGGTCCAAGCTCGTCAGCATCATCTTTGGCCACGTCGCGTCCATCCTCATTCTTGAAGAGTTTGCTGTTTTTTTGTGATATTAGTACAATAAAAAATAACAAGGACAGCTTACAGGTTCCAGTGTTTCAACAATCGTTCCTTGTCATCGTCAGGTAAGTCATCGATAAGCTCGATGATGTAGCGATAGAAGTCGCGATAATTGAAATCACCGTCCTCCTCGGTCCATGTATTTCTGGAGCTGATTCCAAATCGGACCTGGGAGAAGTCAATGTGAGCTATGAGTGACGGCAGTGATGACGAACTTGTACACAGCCATAAGCAATGTGTGGAGGCTCGACAGTAGTCATAGCGTGCAACGCAGCATTGGATGGACGTGTCCCACGTGATTGCGCACCATACGCAGTAGAGGGGCCTGTAAATATGTGTTTCATGGTCTGGAAATAATGTGAGAAACATAAACAAGGGAGCGATAGTGATACTCACGCGCTTGAGGACGAAGCCATCAAGAAACCCGTCCATCATATTGTCCGGGTCGTAGTTGCCTCCAGGAAGATCACCATTCCAAAGAAACGCCGGGAATGCGTCTGCCTCCATGCGAATTTTGCCACTTTGTAACCGTTCAATTGTACTAGTAAAGTAAAGTAAAGTTAGCAGCGCAATTTAGAAACAAATGAACTTACCTTGTTGGGTCCTCATTAAAGTTTTCAATCTCACCAATCGGGCAGAGAAAGCGGGCCAAGACTGGGTGGTTTACACCTAAATGTGTGCGTCGACCACTACTGCCATCGTGGAGAGGAGGCACAACAGCCTTCTCTGCCGGATTCGGAGCCACGTAATCACAAATTGGTATCTTCAAACGTGTCGAATCATCCGAACAAGTACCTGAAATAACAGATTCCATCTAAAATCTAAGTTAGAAAGCACCGAGGTGTGTATATGCGCATATACTCACCTTGCGAATAATTTTCCTGAGTTGTGACGCTTTCTTCGGGTCCTTTGAGCCGGCTATGAGAGGTTTCAAGCCTGGTGCGAGCTCTAGTAAGCGCTTGTAGTTCTGCCGGTACCTATCCCATGTTTTCTGAGATCTATAGAAGGGAAAATTTAATTTATTAGTGTCAGTAGGATACTTAACATACAATTTTGATAGTTGCTTCTCTCTATGAGCCGCGTCATCGTCATCCTCAGACAAGTCTCCCGAATCAGCAAGTTCGCGCTGCTTCAGGAGGGTGCCAACGTCGATGACCTTATCGATTTTGCAGAACATGTCGACGCATCGGGTGATGCAGCGTGCAGCTGCGAGGTACTCTTCATGCAAATCCGATTTCGATTCTTTCTTCTCCGGCCTATAGCCAATGAGAAACAAGCACTCAAGATGGATAATGTAAGGACTTACTTTTGTTTCTCGTCATCGGACTTTGATGAACGTTGTTTCTTCTGCTTAGTAGGATGCTTGCGGGTGGGTTGGGAGTCTTCTGAGTCACTCGAGGAGGAGCTTGATAGTTCTGATGGACTTGGAGAACGCTTCCGACGCGCCATAATGGTTGAAGGTAAAGGAGGATACAGGGTTAAGGGGGAAGATCAGTGGGGAATGTCGTTTGCGGCAAGTCACATGAATCGTGACAACAGTGACTATATGTGCGACGCGACAAGAAATACAATTGAATGCTGCAAGTACTAATACTACACGAGAATATCCATGGAAAGTGATATAGCAACAGTGCGGAGACAGCAAGTACAGTAATATGATAACAATAATGATAGGACACGAGAACTTAATCTAACTTTAATGCCGCTACAGCAGCAGGTGTCGTCATGAAGGAACTAACACGAGTGAGTGGTTCCGCATCCATCCTCCTGAAGCCGCGTCGAGGGGGCCAAGTATGATCATTCTCCTGCGTGAACTTCTCCCGCATGCGAACAATTGAAGCACCTTCCTTGAATATGCCGTGTAGTTGCACAGGGTTTGCACTAACGTGCTGAGTTCCATCCCTATAGTAGGGTCAATTCAAAAATCAAATATACAAGCAAAAAAAACGCACTTGGAGGTGGCCTCACAGGCCATGGTAACATCCGGGTCCTCCTTGATGGCTGGTGGTGTGCATTCGACTTTCCCTGTTCCCTCCGCCTCGTCTGCACTATCATCATCGTCGGTGGACCGATAGCTTGAAGCATCCTTCAAGCGCAAAACAAGCTTCTGTATATAGATGTAAGCTGTATTGAGTAATTTGGACAATGAAAATAACTTACCAATGGTCCCGGACGCTCAGGTGTGAAATCAATAGTGTATGTAGGCCATCCGGCAAGAAGATTATCGACTTCCATGACAACAACGTTGTCATGAAAGAAAGTAGTTCGGTTAGACAAGTCGAGAGTTTCGTGGGTATCAATGAAATGCATTGGGAATATGTGGATAGAAAGAAAGGGGAGCTTGAAGACGCGTTTACTACTTGACCGGCAATTGCCGACTGACTTTGAATTGCAGCTCAAGCCGAGAACAATCACTTGCCTTAGCGCCTTGCAGTCTGGTTTGCTGCATCACTTGTGCGAACAGTTCAGGCCCTAGGGCAGATCTGCGTGAGATCTGGTGCACTACAAGACAGATCTGTGTGAGATCTTGTGCGCCCCGTATCTGTTTGCTGCAATGCACGCATATTGCGATGCACCGGTAGGGCACGACCCGCAACTTCAATGAATCGAGAGGGTGCACGGCTTATTCTTGTACTAGGCGAACGTCGGCTACACGCATCTTCCTTCACCTGCCCTTGCATCTTCACCCGCCCTCACATTTTCACCCGCCCTTGCATTCTCACCCGCCCTCACACCTTCACCCGCCCTCACATTCTCACCTGCCCTCGCATTCTCACCTGCCCTCGCATCTTCACCCCTCCTTTGCGCTATGTCCAGCTCTTCAGCTGGGATCTCAAGTCCTTGTTGCTAACTACACACCAGAGACGGTGCCAGGCATTCCTTTCGGCAGGTAAACTCGACAAAGCCCTCGAAGCACACAAATACATGATGGACGCCATCGACGACATCGCAAAGGCCAGCTGTCTCGATTGGTCCAACGGCAAGTCTTCCGTCGTGTCACCCACAACTATCACGCTCACCCGCATGCCACTCAGAGTTCAAGGAGAAATGCAGCGCGCTTGCTGCGGACAACGACCGTATTCTTGGTGTATGTGCCTCTTTCCTTACCTCAAGTGCGTGCAAGAGCGTATCCTTCTGTTCTCTCGCTCATAATTCATCATAGCATTCTCAGATTTCCAGGCCAAGACTTCAACAATGCCCTGGGCGCCTCAAAAGATTCAGGCTCGCTATGATGAGGAGGCCTCAGGAAGCTCCCGCACCTGCACCTGCACTGCCTATCACCTCACCACCAGTCGCTGTTACCACCGCCATCAAAACTCATTTACGACACCTATTCTCCCAGTCACCCCCCATCATGCAACGCCGCCCGTTGTCGATGTTCCATTCACGAAGGCTAAAGAGGTGGGTCAAGTCGACTCTTATCTCACCTGCCCTCGCATCTTCAGGTCAGTATATACTTCCCGCCTTAAAATGGCTCTCATGTTTTGGTGTGTTGCTCTCAAGCTCGTATGCTACAAGAAAGAATCTTCACCTGCCCTCGCATCTTCACCCAACCTCGCATTCTCGCCCTCACCCAACCTCGCATCTTCACTGCCTGTCACAGTGACACACTAGATCACTCCCGTAGCCTGACGTTTGTCATGAACTTCGTTGCGCCCATACATATGTATGTACTTACTTACCCGCACTTATCAATATCAAGCTTGTTACATGATGAACTATGCATGCTAAAGTTTCACTAGTGCTAGTGCGAATCACGTTCCATTACTTGAACGTGGCTGAGTTAAGGCTTGCATTCAACGGTATTCGGGCGCCTGTTATTTCAATTTTGGTTCTACCAAATACTCTCCCCTACCTCTAATTCTTGCATCCATTTTCCTCAGCATTCCAATTTTTGACTGTTTCTAACGTTTAGTGTTGCCCTTCTGTTCAGCAGTCATTGGCTCTATGCAGATTATTCTCGCTCAAACAGAACGCGACCAATCGGTCAGCTGGTCCCTGCAATCCTCCACTTTCTCGGTGTTAAATATTCCGGAGATTTGCAGGATACTCTGACGCCGACTGCGGAGGAATTCTGAGGTACGTTCTGGTGATTCTTGGTAGCCGTTCTGGCACTGATAAGTACCGCTTGTATATTAGGTACAGTTGAAATCGATAACCCTTTCCTCCCACTTTCTGTCTGATGCTGCTGCCACCCCCTCTCTGTTTTCCTGGCCATACCCTTACCATGGATGATGACCTTACCTGTCTAGGCTGCGACAAGTCATTTTCTACTCAGAAACGTCTGAGTAGTCACGAGGCTCGGTGTCCTGAACTGCGCGCATTCAAGACAAGAGCAAGCAAGTCGCAGCGGCACCTAGACAAGAGGAAGAGGAGAAGAATTCAAGATGACCAGATACATGACGACACTCAAATGATGACCGATGAACCGATGGACATTAGAGACGACATGCCAGTTGAAAACATGCAGGCAAGTCTCTGGCACTGTGTATCCAGGTCTTACTGACACGAATTTTCAAGGTTGATGACTACAACGTCGCTGGACCATCTGGCTTGTCACCCCGTCATTCTCCCCCCTTGCCAGAACCATTCCCTCCCAGCCCTGCTCCTGTTATACGTTCTGCTCGTTCAGGTCGCAGGATACGAATGCCAAATCGCTATGTTGACTACCTTCCGGGCTCTGCGACCCATCTTGAGCACATGCCTCAGGCTAGTGAGCCCATCGAAGAGCCTGAGGTTCCACGATTCAACGACGACAATGTTCTGCAGCACCCACCACTCATCCCTTTCCAGACAGAGCCTGATTCAATGGGGCTCTATCGCATCTACTCCGCACCTCCCACCTTAATTCCCAAGGGCGGTGGTGCTCTTGATAGTATTTGTGATGCTCCCACCCTGGATGCCGCAGGCAATGCAGTCGAACAGGCTTCGCAAAGTTTGACTGGTGTTCCTATACCACCACCTGAAATCACGCGCAAAAATCTATATGACGCCTTCAGCAGCCCAACAGCAGGTCTTCTCATGTGTTGGCAGTACTCGGGCTCGACCACCAAGTCAGCTGCAGAAACGCACCGCCTCACAATGTTCCTCGACGACGATGAGTATAAAAGAGAGGATGCTCGTATATTCAACATCCCACATGAGAAGAAGCTCGTTGAAGACTACCTTACAGATACCTCGAATCCATTCCGTGCGGACAATGGCTGGCACAAGTCATCAGTTAAGATATGTCTGCCGAAGGAGAAGATTAAATGGCCCTCTGAAGCAGATGCGCCCGAGCTCGAAATCGAGGGAGTGCACCACCGTTCTTTAACTAATATCATTACGTCGGTTTTTGAAGATAGTGTTTCATCAACTTTCCATATGACCCCCTTTCAGCAAATGTGGGAAACCTCCGACGGACGCAACATCGAAATATTTTCCGAAGCCTATTCATCCATTGCAATGCGAGAGGCCTATGCCGAAGTTAATTCTCTTCCTCACACAGCTGATGACAACCTTGAACGTGTCGTGGCTTCGCTGATGATGTGGTCCGACGCAACCCACCTTGCTAGTTTTGGTGACGCATCACTCTGGCCGTTCTACCTCTTCTTTGGAAATCAATCGAAGTACACCCATGGCAAGCCAACTGCCTCTGCATGTCACCATGTAGCTTATATTCCAACTGTGCATCATATTCTATTAATCCTACTGGTGCACTAATCAATCATTGGCTATGCACGCAGCTTCCAGATGATTTTCAAGACAAGTACAAGAAGGTCTTTGGTGACGCCTCAACAGCAGATATACATACCCATTGCAAGCGTGAATTAATGCACGCTATATGAGAGCTTCTTCTCGATGAGGAGTTCATGCGTGCATATGAGGATGGTATCGTCATTTGTTGTGGTGACGGAGTCACACGAAGGGTCTTTCCGCGTTTTTTCAGCTATTCTGCTGATTATCCAGAGAAGTAGGGTATCTGTTTATTTTTAAACACTGTCTCATGCTCCCTACCAGGATTCTTCTTGCGAACATCAAGTTCCTTGGCCAGTATCCATGTCCTCGATGTCTTGTCCGGAAAGTCGATGTTCCAAAGATGGGGACAAAGTCTGACATGACACATCGTGAGGTGACTGCACGTGTTGATGATGAAGCTCGCTGTCAGAAAATCAAAAAAGCCCGGAGGCTCATTTTTCGGAAGGGCGCAGGAATCGAAGGCAAGCATGTTAAAGATATTCTAGGCTTGCAATCACTTGTTCTGACCCGAGTAAGCTTTTCCCTTACTGCGTGTTGTATGCCTTAAGCTTACCAGTATCCCCCAGAATGCATTTTCAGTGCACCTTCTCAGGTTTCTATTCAACTTTTTTACGCTGTTTGTTGTCGACTTGCTGCACGAGTTCGAACTTGGCGTCTGGAAGGCAATATTTGCTCACCTGTTGAGGATCCTATTTGCCGCAGGAGGATCAGCAATCCAGGGTCTTAACTGGAGGTAAGTTTAAGTTCGTACTTCAGCTGTCAACAGTACTAATCTACATCACAGATATCGGAATGTACCTACATTTGGAAGGGGAACAATTCGACGTTTTCACAACAACGCATCAGCAATGAAGCGACTTGCTGCCCGCGACTTTGAAGATCTTCTACAGGTATATATTTGAGCTTATCTCGCAGAACTGCTCAATGAATCGGACGGTTTTGTAGTGCGCAATACCCGTATTCGAAAGCCTTCTTCAAGATGATACCTACAACAGAATAATCCTGGACCTTTTATTTGATCTAGCGACTTGGCATGCATATGCAAAGCTCCGCTTGCATACTGAGGATACACTATCGTTCTTTGACTTGGCGACTGTCGTGCTAGGCAAATCGGTCCGCAAATTCTCTCGTACAGTATGTGCCCACTATCATACTACTGAGCTCCCCCATGAACATGCAGCTCGTGGCCGTCGCGAGGCTGCACTTGCTGCTAAGCACCCTCAGACTGCTCAAGGAAGGTCCGCTGGTGCGAAGCGAAAGTCACTCAACCTTCAGACATACAAGTATCATGCCCTTGGTGATTATCCGAACACAATTCGGCGCATGGGGACCACAGACAGTTATAGTACCCAACCAGTAAGTGTTTTTCTGTCAAAGGAACTTTAACTGACACATTTCAACTTACTAGGGTGAACTGCAGCATCGACGCTCGAAACGACGGTACCCACGGACTCCAAAAACCAAGGAGACAACAATCACAAGTATCGCATCACAGGAAGTCATCGAACGCTTCTGTGAGAAGGTCATTGTTGCTCGTGAGCACTTTGCCAGCGAAAACCCAGCTCAGCCAAGACGTCAGCGTGAACGTACTTCACCATCAGACCATTACTTCATTGCAAAATATTCACGAGCAAGCCATGATCTCACGTCTTGGCTAGGTGACCTAGAAGATGATCCTGCAGTCAAGGTACTGAGTCATTCTTGTTCTATGTCATTGCAGCTCCCTCATGTTTTGTTTAGAATTTTATACCTCGACTCAAGGACCATTTACTTGCCCGCCTTCGTAATATTGCATACGACGGTGACGAACACAACTTCTCCGATGAAGATCGCCACTCAGTCCTTATTACGGACAACAAGATATTTGAACACAGTATTCTACGCGTCAATTATACTACATACGACCTGCGACGTGAGCAAGATACCATCAATCCTCGTACCCGCGCCGATATCATGGTACTCTCCCATGAAGATGAACGCACGCACCCATACTGGTATGCACGCGTCATTCAGATTTTCCACGTGAATGTAGAGTATCGCGAGCATTCTGTAGCACTGCGAACTCCCCCAACTCGTGTTGATGTCCTATTTGTTCGTTGGTTCCGTCGTGACAGCTCACCTGCAGGATGGGCCGCAAAACGCTTGCAGCGTCTCGAATTTTTCGATCGTGATAGCCTTCCGGATGCATTCGGATTCTTGGACCCTGACTCAGTGATTCGTGGTGTTCATTTAATTCCTGCATTCGCTTTCAGTACTACTGATGAGTTACTTGGACCGACATTTGCACGGCGGAAGGGTGACTCATGTGGGGATGATTCGGACTGGCGTTTTTACTACTTAAACATGTAAGTGTCTTGAAACTCATGATTAGACTCTTATCTAACTTTATTTATGTACAGGTTTGTAGATAGGGACATGTTCATGCGCTTTCGAGGTGGTGGAATAGGCCACAAGGCTACACGTGATTGGGACGAGTTCCTCCAGCGCGAAGGACATGGCCATGATAAAGCCGATTCAGATTCGGAAGAGGATGTGGAAGACAACTCGGACTTGGAGGCAGAAGACGATGATATTGGGCTCGAGCCTGTAGACAAGGAACATGAGGGCAAAGGTGAGGAGGACGAGGAGGACGAGGACAGAGTAATCGCTGATGATGGTGAGGAGCTTGACGATGATGTACTTGCAGCAGAAGGTTACGGGGCCCTATGAACACAAGTAGCACTAAATGTATTGCATGTATGCTACTATAATACATCTTATTACCTAGCAAATGTCTAATAGGTACACTACAGACAGGATGGTATCTATCCGACAGCGAGTCTGACAGACAGATGTCGTGCTGACACGCCAACATCGCTGGTGTATCTTACAATAGCTGACAGGTATCGCACAAGTGTTGAAATTTGCCACATATCACGTGCTGTCTGATTTCAGCAATTTTGGTGATGATGGACCAAGACAGGCAATTTGCGGAAACTGCCGGTATCAGGCGTAGGGCGGGATAAGGCGGGATACGTGCCAGCCTAGCTATAGGCTACAGTACAAAGGTATCAGAATATTTAGGGCGTGATTTAACGCTGGTGTTGGGATATTACTAGTTTCGAGCCTAAATATAGTTGACGAGGCACGCTATTGCTAAGCCTAATAAGGCTTCCCAAACGGGCTATCCAGGTGGCGTAACCACTAGCCAGTCACGGTGTCCCTGTGACAAAGCGAATATTCAATCGTCTCCGCTGTCAACCACATAATCCGAACAATCCACAATGTTGTCCTGTATATCCTTGATAAGACAGTTGTTATCATGTCATCAGATGTCTACTGTACCATCACGGGATGGACCCTGAGAGACCATACGGGCTCTTCTCAGGCTATAGGCTGTCAACGTGTTGTTGATGAGCCCGGCATCGGTGATGGAATACACCTCCTGTGGCCACGTAGCCCCTTTAGCATAAGGCGCTTTTGCAGGGTCAAGTTCAAGTATTGGTCTTAACCTGTAAGCCCAACACTTGCTAGTGCATAGCGCTTTACTCCCATTTACTTCAATGTCAATGAAGTCCACAGTCCATAATACGTTCTCGACGAACAAGAAAGAAGATGATCCGGAAGAGCTGGAACATATGCCGGCATCTAATTCCCAAACAGAAGCAAGCCCTCCGGATGGCGGATTTCGAGCCTGGGGGACTGTCTTTGGGTGGTAAGCCGTGTCTCGAATGATACCCGCATATTGCGTCTAACAATCATGATGCCTAGTTTCCTCATGCAATTTTGTGGTTTTGGGTTGGTTCGAATTCCGTTCGTTTCAAGACACGTATCAGTCAACAGCATTTGAACAGATACATATCATCTTTTGGAGTTTATCAAGGTACCCATCAGTCGCATGATACTTTATATCCAAAGCTGATAAACAATCTCGGAAGATTATTACACGCGAATTTATATGACCAACTATCCACCATCTGCAATATCGTAAGTGAATATGTATTTGCTCTGCAGTTTTACTTGGTGAGCAGCCCCACCAATTTTGTGATGGGCTACCTATACGTTGCGACCAGGCTTTTATGGTTCAAGGCGTCGTTTCTGGGTTTGGGATGGGCCTAACGTACGCTCCTAGCATTGCGGTCGTCTCTCAACACTTCTCCCCCAGAAAACGCACATTGGTGATGTCTCTCGTCACATCCGGTACACCACTTGGTTCCATGATTCATCCGATCATGCTCAATAACCTTTTGAATGGTACTGTCGGCTTTGCAAAAGGCGTTCGCGCCAGTGCAGGTTTTGTCAGTGCTCTGTTGTTGATTGCTTGTTTATCCGTGCGTACAAGAGAACTGCCAGCACCGACTATCGGTTATACTGTAGTGGCGCGAAAATGCTCTCGCGATGTTCTCTTCATCCTCATGACCGTTGGGTATGTATCTGGCATACCCCAAAAAATTCACAGTCTTGACAACTGATCACGCCTAGGTCAACACTATTTCAGATTGGGTTTTACTTCCCTCTGTTTTACTTGCAACTGGACTCTACCAAACATGGACTTGATATCAATTTCTCGTTTTACTCCGTACGCCCAGGATTATCCTCTTTATTATCAATCCTTAACTCGCTTTAGCTTGTGATCATGAATGCAGCCTGTTTTATCGGACGCTGCATGACAGGAACAATTGCGGCATATGCAGGGGTGTTGAACTCCACGATCGCATCCACTGTCGCATGCAGTGCCATCATAATATCCATGATAGCTCTGAGTGACATGGCCAGTGTGGTCGTCTTGGGACTTGCATATGGTTACTTTTCTGGAGTTTGTATGTTGTCACGCTGCAGCTTGTGTAATTCCTGGCGCTGACTTTCCAAGTCATCGCGCTGATAGTCCCATTGGTGGCTGTATTGACGCCTGATTTATCTGAGCTAGGGTTGGCTTCTTTTACATTTGCATTCTGGTGATGCTGACCCTCATAAATGCAGAGCGCGAATGGGCATATGTTTTGCCTTCACTTGTACGTATCATCTAGCTCTGTCTCGAAACTCCTGACAGAGCGCGAATGGTCAGCCTTTGGTGGATTACTTGGTGAGTAGTTGCTTTCCGGTCTTTACCTGCCATCGAACTGATATTTTCAGGGGGTCCAATATCAGGTGCTTTGCTCGGTTCTCAATATAAGTGGTGGATAGCGTCGCTCTTCAGTGGGGTGAGTGGTTCACATTGTTTCTGTACTCGCGCAAGCCGTGTTCTGAAAGTTGCATGTAGTTGATCTCCCTCGTGGGAAGTTTGATATTCGTGGTGATGCGCCTGATTATATACCGCCGAGGAATAAATGGGAGCCCATAGCTGGCGGGGATACGTGAACTAGTTGTTCCATTTGGATTCTATCGAGGTCGTTATTCACTCGTGCTAGATGATTGGAAACATGTGACGACCTTCGGTCGTTGCTTTTTATTGGCACACTTATGTCAATCCATTACACAAGCAGATATTCGTACCTATATTCGCGTTATCTTTCTCCTCATTTACTCCTGAAGATAAGCACACGTGGAACAACGCAGTATACACAACAACGAGCGAAAAAATCACTTCCGAGATCTACTCTAGAAGATGTCAATTCTGGTCGGTGTCGAGTGAGCTATTGGTTGACGACACAATAGGGGGTGATGCATAGGGATATTTGGCATGATAGAAGATCGCGAACTATTGTCAACAACTAGTAAAGCAAGGAACAAGATGACAAACGGAAGTGTTATGATTCGAGGTTGCAGCGTTGAAGGTCCACTAATCTTGAACCACACCAGGCCGCTCTTTTCATCAGTGATAGCCCAATGAACGAGAGTTCTTCTCGTCCGACCTTCCCTTCCAGCACTATATGGCAACAACCTGTACTTTTCGTGGATTGGTTAGTATTCAAAATGCATCTAGGTACCAATTATAATCAGGGATTTACTGTGAACAGAATGAAGGAATTAATATATAATGGGCAGTTGAAGAGTAGCGGGACGATGCGCAGTGGCAGCGTGGTAAGTGTGGAACCGGAACCGAGACAGCCTGAGTGTCTATATTAGTTGGTTATAAATGGGTCGAAATCCAACTCTACTCACGACACACAGGATCGATGACTACGGTAACGCTCCTCATCAACTTCATATGCTACTGACCGTTCATCCCCGTGTTTAGCGATATGCCAGGATTGCGCGATGTAGCAAAAAAAGTGTATCTTACTGCGAGAAGACGCCAGCCCCCGGCGCAGACAACCCAGCCTGAGCTAATAGAAATGGTGCGAGCGCACACGAGCTCAGTGGAGGCACTCGCGTTCTTCAAAGACGGCCGAAGGATCGTCACTGCTTCGATGGATAAAACATTGCGAATCTGGGACGTAGAGAAAAGAGCATTTATAGGATGGCCATTCAAGGGACACAGGGACATTGTGATGTCAGTTACCGTATCGCCAGACGATAGGCGAATTGCCAGCAGTGGAGAAGATAATACCATCATCATCTGGGATGTCGAAAGCAAGCAAATGGTATTCAAACCGCTGGTGGAGCATACACGTCGTGTGTCCTCGGTGTGTTTCTCCCCTGATGGAGAGAGACTTGCAAGTGGGTCATGGGATGATAGAGTTATTATAAGGGATGCAGAGACTGGCGCTGTCCTCTCAACACTCAAGGGTCAGGGCTCGCACGTTTTGTGTGTCGCCTTCAGCCCGGACGGGCTAAAATTAGCATGCGGCGGATCCCGTGGTAACATTTGGGTTTGGTGCACCGATAACGCCGAGCTTCTGTTCAAGATCGACGCTCATGGTGATTGGGTTAACAGCGTTGTGTGGTCGCCTGACGGCCAGCAACTTGTCTCCGCATCAGATGACAAAACAATCAAGTTTTGGGACTCCTCGAATGGTTTCCAGATCGGTCTACCTTGTACTGGTCACACTGGGATAATTTACTCCCTGGCCATCTCTTCTGATGATTCCTTCATTGCCACTGCCTCGCACGATACGACTGTACGCTTATGGAGTACAAAGTCACATCTCCAGATAGGACAGGCACTCAAACACACCACATATGTTGACTGCGTCACAATTTCTCCCAATGGAGAACTACTTGCGAGTGGAGACTGTGATGGGAATATTTGGCTCTGGTCGATCGAGAACACACTTTCTGCAACATTTGGGCTGGATTCCTTACACCATTTCTATTTTGCACATCGCAGTAAGAGGAAGCTTGAACGAAAGCTCTATGTGGAGGCCCTTTCGGATGCGAACAAGGTGCGGACGATATCTATCTTTGTTTCAATATTTGTGACCATGTTTGTAGGTTATTGAGCTCAACCCTTCGTCTTATCTCGGGTACGAACTGAAGTATGCAGCTCTTCGTGGAGCACGACACTATGATGATGCGTTTAAGGCCTTCAAGATAATGCTTTCCATGTTGGATGATGCACCCGACCCGCATATACGACGTAAGCTCAAAACAACTCAGGTGCCGACTTAAAGATGATATATATATTTGCAGAGCTCCGCCAGAAATACGTCAGTCCATCTGAAGTAGAGGATGCTATTCGACGAGCCATTCACGCCAAACTGGAAAACGCCCCCCTTCGGCTAATCAACACTTCTACTGGACGTTTGTGCAATCGAGATGTGCAAATCAACATATTCATTGGAAGCACAGGGTACAAAAAACTTTTGCATTCATTTGACATGCATGCGCCCCTCAAAACGGAGCCCGTCGAAGAAGCGGTCACGAAGTACTTCAGTTGGGTCATGTTATCCCATAGGTGGGCAAGGAAGGAGCCGCTATTGCACGACATTCAGGACAAGGTCATATATGAGTTGGATCCTGTCGGAACCATGATGAAGTTGCAGAAGTTCTGCAAAGTCGCTCGCAATGCGGGCTATAGCTGGGCATGGAGCGACACATGCTGCATCGACCAGGACAACAATGTTGAGCTCCAGCAATCAGTCAACTCCATGTTCGTCTGGTATCACCACTCAGCGCTCACCATCATCTACCTATCAGATGTTCCTCCTTCGTCAAAGTCAGGCGCGCTCGCAAACAGCATTTGGAACACGCGAGGATGGACTGTTCAGGAGTTCCTCGCTCCTAAAATTGTTCTCTTCTACCAAGCAGATTGGAGCCTATATCTCGGCAACCGCTCACGCAACCACAAGCAATCTTTCAGAATCATGAATGAGTTGGAGCGTTCAACTGGCATAGATGCGCGGGCACTCATCCACTTCCATCCTGGGACAAAAGATGCCCGAGAGAAACTTCGATGGGCATCGAACCGAGACACCACCAGGGAGGAAGACATCGCCTACTCTTTGTTTGGCATCTTTGATGTCAACCTTCCTGTTATCTATGGAGAAAAAAGACAAAAGGCGCTCGGACGACTCTTACAGGAGATCATAGCCCATTCGGGCGATATCACGGCCCTGGACTGGGTGGGACAATCGTCCAACTTCAACAGTTGTCTCCCGGCCGATATTTCCTCATACAAGGCTCTGCCATGCATGCTATCATATCTATCTGAACACGACATACAGGAGTCGGTCTCCGCGCTGCGAAACGACATTGTGGTTGTGGAGTCGGCTTCAAACCTGTATGCCACTCTGGAGAATATCAGCGTTCCTCGTTTCGCAAATGCCAGACTGCAATTGCCTTGCATCGCATTTACTCTCACAGAAGTTAGGCGGAGGCCGGGTCAAGATGGAGCTAGACGTTTCGCTTATGACATCAAGGCAAACGGCCTACAAGACCTGCTGGTCACGACGAAAGACAAACTAGTTGAATTCTGGCCTACAAGGCGTACTCGGCAGGCATTCATGCTCGTCCGTCCGTGGAATCGGTGTGATCTCGGGCTGATTAACTTTGCAGACGAGACGCAGACCATAGAAGATTGGCCTGAGCCTGGGTTTCCTGGATACAACGAGTCAACTACGCAAGAGTTGAGGTTGATCGTTCGCCTTGGACAGCCTTTTGGCGCGCTTTTGCTGGCGCAGCAGTGGGGTGGGGAGTATAAGAGAATCGCTTCGGATAACAATATCATTGCGCAAGTCAGAGACATGACTTCTGTTGACGACATGATGGACGTCAGGATGGTGGAGATATTGTAGCTTCGAAGAATCAGACGTTTTCATTTCACACCTTGACAGTACCTCTAGAATTTCAAATTTCGTATCGTATCGGTCTTGATTCGTGTCATATATTTTCTTGTATAAGTTTCACTAAGCTGATACTCTGAGCGTATAAGCAGTCCAAAAAAGGTCGTCGGACCGGCAATCAAGTGTGCCGTCTCTTGTTCTCTCGTGACTCAGTGACTCAGAGGTGGTCCACGCAGCTTGTTGTGTTGTAAATTGCATAGTACACAATTGGCGATACAAGTCTCAGGAAGGCATCATCTATCACTCTAGTCCGAGTTGACATGTCAGTGAGTCTGGGATCCTTGCGTGAAGCCGTCGTTTACGTTTCTGACCAAGCAGCAACTGTGACTTGCAGCGTTGGGTGCCATTGCGGGTTGCGACAGGCGACAGCTGATAGGTGCTGATTACTGATCGGGTGGGGGGGTCTCCGTGACCAGACCGTGATTCATCATTGATTTACTTCCATCGTTCATAGCCCTCGAAGTAATGGCCTACAGTCAAGGATACCAGAATCCGACTAGCAAACGGTCTCGAAGCATTATGCCTCTTCCTTTCAAGAACGCACGTACACCATACCTCTGTATCCCCTGGCAGTTTTGGTGAATAGATTTAGATCCTTCCTCAAACAATCTCTGCATTAAGTAAGTTATCTTTCCGTGTTTGCTCTTAGTGTGGCTTTGAGCTCTAAAGTAGTCATTTGCATGCGTACTACGTAGCCACTGTCCATGTGACAAAACAGATACTCAATCATCTCCGCTGTCAACCACACAATCCGAACAACCTGCTGTCCTAACAAGACAGTTGACATCATGTCATCCACCACGGGGATAGGCCCTGACGAACCCGTAGGGTTCGTCTATGGGCACATTCGATCGTCGTCAAGGTTTTGCCGATGTCCTGTCAGTGATGTAATGCGCCTCCTACCCCGTAGCCCCTTTATCACGAGGTGTCCTTGCAGGGTTAGGATTAAGTATTGGTCTTAATCTGTAAGCCTCACATTTGCTGGTGCATAGAGTTTGACCCCATTCACTTCCATGTCAATGAAGTCCGCAATCCATGATACGTTCACGAAGGACAAGAAAGAAGATAATCCAGAAGAACTAGTACAAGAATCAGGCCCTCCGGATGGCGGGTTTCGGGCCTGGAGGACTGTTTTTGGGTGGTAAGTCGTGTCTCAAATGATACCCGCATGCTGTGTCTAACAACCACGACGATTCCTAGTTTCCTCATGCAATTTTGTGGCTTTGGGTTGGTTCTAGCTCCATTCGTTCGAGACACATATCAGTCAACAGTACTTCAACAGATACACATCGTCTTTCGGAGTTTACCAAGGTACCCATCAGTCGCATGATACTCTATCCAAAGTTGATAAACGACCTCGGAAGATTATTACACACGAGTTTATATGACCAACTATCCACCATCTACAATATCGTAAGTGAATATGCGTTTGCTCTGAAGTTCTTGGTCTCACTCAGGGTCAGATGGATTGGTGCATTGGCCTCGTTCCTCGCAGTCATTGTCACGTCGATCTCAGGTCCACTGTACGACCGAGGGTGGTTGTGAGTTGCTATATCTTTATCCAAAGTCAGTCGTTAATTCCTGCACAAATTACGGATAGTTATCGATTGATGATCGTGGGGTCGCTGCTCCAATCACTGTCCTTATTCGCCTTGTCCTTCACGAAGCCTGGTCAGTTTTACTTGGTGAGCATCCCAACCAATCTTGTCGATGGTCTACCTATACATTGCGACCAGGCTTTTATGGTTCAAGGCGTCGTTTATGGGTTTGGGATGGGCTTAACATACGCTCCCAGCGTCGCTGTCGTCTCTCAACACTTCTCTTCCAGAAAACGCACATTGGTGATGTCTCTCGTCACGTGTGGTTCACCACTGGGTGGAATTATTCATCCGATCATGCTCAATCACCTTTTGAATGGTGCTGTTGGCTTTGAAAAAGGCGTTCGTGCCAGTGCGGGTTTTGTCAGTGTTCTGTTATTGATCGCCTGTTTATCCATGCGTACAAGAGAACTGCCGGTATCGACTGTTAGTTATACTGTAGTGGCGCGAAAATTCTCTCGCGATGTTCTCTTCATCCTCATGGCGGCTGGGTATGTTGTATCCGGCATACCCCAAAGGGATTCACAGTCTTGACAGCTGATCATGCATAGGGGAACACTATTCCAGATCGGGTTTTACTTCCCTCTGTTTTACTTGCAACTGGATTCTAACAAACATGGAATCAACGTCAATTTCTCGTTCTACTCCGTACGCCCATGATCACTCTCTTTATTGTCAATTCTCAACTCGCTTTAGCTTTCGATCTTAAGTGCTGCTTCATTTATCGGACGTTGCACGGCAGGAATAATTGCGGCGTATGCGGGAGTGTTGAACTTCACGATTGCGTCCACTCTCGCATGTAGTGCCGTCATAATATCCATGATGGCTCTGAGTGACATGGCCAGTGTGGTCGTCTTAGGACTTGCATATGGCTACTTTTCTGGAGTCTGTATGTGTCACTCTGTAGCTCGTGTGATTCTTGGCACTAACTTTCCTAGACATCGCGCTGTTAGTCCCATTGATGGCTGTACTGACGCCTGATTTGTCTGAGCTAGGGTTGGCTTCTTTTATATTTTCATTCCAGTGATGCTGACCCTCATATGCAGAGCGCGAATAGGCATATGTTTTACCTTCTCTTGTACGTGTATCATCTAGCTCTGTCTCGGAACTTTTGACAATGCGTGAATGGTCAGCCTTTGGTACATTACTTGGTGAGTAGTTACTTTCCGGTCTTCGCCTGCCTTTGAACCAATATTTTTAGGTGGCCCAATATCGGGTGATTTTCTCGGTTCTCAATATAAGTGGTGGATAGCGTCGCTCTTCAGTGGGGTCAGTAGTTCACGTTGCTTCTGCACTTGTGCGAGCCTTGTGCTGATATCTGCATCTAGTTGATCTCCCTTATGGGAAGTTTGATCTTCGTGGTGATGCGCCTGATTATATACCGCCGAGGAATAAACGGGAGCCCATAGCTACCGGGGATGCGTAGAGCAATTGTTCCGGTGGGTTCTATCGAGGCCGGCGTTCACTCGTGCTGTTATTGGAAATATGTGTATGAAACGTTAGTTGTATTGAACGCGTGTGCAGAAGCACGAATATTCTTGGACTGATCTATCACCAACCCCCGGCTTTAGATTGAACGGACAACAGCGGATAACGTCGAGTCTCTGATTCGCAGACGCTTCCATGGTGATGAAATCATTGACAACCGACGTACTCCGCTTTCATGCCAAGATAAAGAAACAGGACTAGATTGAATTCATCTCCATAGTGTCAACTATCATTCATCAAGCATCGCTTACTTCCTATCTCCAACAGTCTTTTATCCTCAGACAAAAAACCTTATGACAGGGTCAGATGGGTCATCTCCACGGAAAAATGACCGGGGAGCACCAAAGCCGAATATTACTCACCAATAACTCAACTTTCGCGTCATTAGGTAAGTCGTTGGCGTTCACTTCTAGTGCGGCTTATCATCCGATTCATTCCGTATGCGTAATAAGCAGTGGAACAGAGGTGAGCCGCCATCATGTGGCACGACGCCACGCACGTCGAGCAAGGTTTATTATCTCAGTGAATATCGCTGGCGTAGTGGCCTAAAACGGAAATAATGTTATCTGGAAAGCTTGTTTTCGGGGGCGTAAAGCAAAAATGAACAGTGTCATCGCGGCACGTCCCCCTAATGCGGTAAAATGGTAATCTATTCAACGTTTTTTCCCTGCGGAACGTCGTCCAGCCAAGGTCAACCCCGGTGTCAATCACGCAAGCCGAATAGTTGACTAAATTTCCCTGACGAGGCGACTTGTTATCATGTCATTAGGTATCCATCCTCCGATCACAAGGGCGCAAACCCTATAAGACCCTGCAGCCCAAGATTCTTATAAGTATATGGTACCCATCGAGATGACTCGCTAACACCTGTCAGCGATGTAATGCCAAGCAGTCCCTTTAGTATGAGGTTGCAGGGCATCCTGGCAGGGTCAAGGGTGTCAGCGTCCAAGCGCGCGTCACTGGCTAGACCACATGCTTTTTACTCACTACAGGTTGCATCCAGCCGTATCTCTGAGAATATATTCCTGTGAGCGCTATAGGCGGCGGTTTTAACGAGCAGACGAGAGCTTTAGGGGGATATCGCTACCAAGCTAGTCCGAGATTGCTCGTCCTGCCAGTATTCTTCTACCTTCGCCTATATTTAGAAAGAGTAGATAGATGATACGTGGATAACTAACTTTAGGCGAGTCTAGGCTAATGTTGCTGCCGTCCGGTCGAGCCGAACCACGGTTAGTTCCAGTGATGGTTGGGTTCGGGAGGGTCCAGAGGTGGCTAGTTGCACCCCAAATTATGGGGGATGGATTTATTATGTATAGCCACTAAAAATCGTTCCGACAGTTACCCATACTACGTACAGACTTGGAATAAATATGTAATTGGCATTCTTGAGAGGACGTCAATTGAGAGATGATACGCTCCAATTGTGAACCTATAGGATCAAAACGCGGCGTCGTTGTACTCGGGAAGCCACCATGCTGTGAAGTGATTCATTATGTGCACATAGGCGTGAGGCGATCACCGGTGGTGCAGGTAGAAAGGCAGGAGGGATACGCAATGTAATAATAATTGGAGGCATGGGGGCCTCAAGTGCAGCAGAACCCCGAGTGAGAGAGGTGTCCATACCGCCGACAATGGCAATATTCCTTCTCGGAGAAGACTCGGACGAGACACGACACGGTCAATGATTAGTACCCGTTCAGTCTTCCCTCATTCTCTTTCTTGCGACGTAGAGCTATCCAATACGCTGAATCAATTGGCGGTAAACTCCGAAGCCATGTCGATCATCGAAGTGGACTCAGCTTTTATCATGACCACTCGGAGTTCCACAACGGAGCTCCGATTCGAACCATTGCTGCGGTGCAATCAACTCGTCGTCTAGTACGTTTCTGATTCAGATGTGACTCCAGTTGGCGTGATTTAGCGTTCTCATCTGCGTCGATGCAGGACATATGGGGATCCTTTATGAAGGCAACTGGCACAGAAGTTCAAGTTCGACCAACTTCCGGTCACAATTACTACATGCGCCGGCAACAAGCCAATCTGACCCGATGGTCGTGATACAAAATCAGACGACGACCCCAAATTTAAGACGGCAGCAATATCTTACGTAGCTTTTTCCCGCTACACCCTACCATGACTCATCGGTTTACTGATCTTGTAAACCTCGTTTTCCAATATGTTTTACTTTTTCTAGATTTTGTCGAAATTTGGCAGCTGTGGTCTCTGGGAATGGCGGTGTCCTAGACTCGTAGATCGCTCTGGACATACTGGCTGCGCCAGCACACCCTAAACAACGAAGACGGCCTCAGAAGTTCAATGGTCCTTCTACCTCCCTGGCCAATCAATTTAGGTTGCACCAGCGCCACGATGACCACATAAGTTGGCGCATACAGACAATCTCGAAACATCGGACTCGGATAAGTCGATTGTTTCATATATCTGTCAGTATCTCTGGTAAATAGAACCAAGACTCATGCAGAGTGTTAGCCACGAATCAGTATTTACCTGAGGGCTGGGGCCCTTAGCACACCTGAAACACGAAGACGGCTCAACATTGGCTCCATCTGGTTCTTTCATTCCGGCTCGAGATTTCGTTGACAGCAAGACGAGCTTGGCTTATAACCCCCAAGCTCAGCGGTCGTCGTCATAATGTTTTACTCGCCCACCAGTTCCTTCGATGTTTATGACTCAGCCCAGAATTTGTGATACGCTCGTGGCACACGAGAAGTCGAATGCTCTGGAAGAGCTGGAACATGTGCATCCATCTAATTCCTCGCCACTTCCTTCAGAATATGACCCTCCAGATGGCGGGTTTTGGGCATGGGCAACTGTTTTCGGGTGGTAAGTCGTCTCAAACGATGCTCATGAGTTGCGTATATCACATTCACGACACTCAGTTTTTTGATACAGTTTTGTGGTTTTGGGTTCGTTCTGGCACCATTCCTCCGAGACGATATTTCACAGCACTTTGACAGATATGTATCATCATATGGAGTGTATCAAGGTGCGCAGAGGTGGCATGATTGATCATACACATGGTTGACAAAAGAACTAAGATTTTTACACGCGAATTTACCTGGCCAATCAACCACCGTCCGCAATATCGTAAGTGAATACACTTACACTCTGGAGTCTGTTGTCTCAGTCACTGTCAGATGGATTGGTGCATTGACCTCGTTCCTGGCAGATAGTGTCACCTTGATCTCAGGACCGCTGTACGACAGAGGATGGTTGTAAGTTGCCACATGTTGGTAGTTTTTTTGCCACTAACTTCTGATAGCTACCAATTGATGATTGTGGGCTCGGCCCTCCAGTCAATATCCTTGTTCGCGTTATCTCTCGCAAAGCCTGGTCAGTTCTACCTTGTGAGCAGCCATAGTGATTCTGTGAACGGGCTGTCTATATGTGGCGACTAGATTTTCATTGTTCAAGGTATCCTTTCGGGGATTGGGATGGGTATAACGTATGGTCCCTGCATGGCGGTTATCTCTCAGCACTTCTCCAAGAGACGCACGTTGGTGATGTCTCTTGTCGCGTCCGGTTCACCAATGGGTGCCGTTGTTCATCCGATCATGCTAAATCATCTTTTAAACGGCACTGTTGGCTTTGAGCGAGGTGTTCGTGCCAGTGCAGGTTTTGTCAGTGCTCTATTGTTGATATCTTGCCTATCCATGCGCACGAGAGCACTCTCAATGTCAAAACCGACTACAAGCTATAATGCAGCTGTGCGAAAATGCTCTCGAGATGTTTTCTTCATCCTCATAACCGCCGGGTAGGTCGCTTCTGGCGCTTGCGCGAGTTCAATCCGAAGTATTCACAGCTGAGTGTGTCTAGGTCAACAATATTTCAGATCGGGTATTACTTCCCTATATTTTACTTGCAACTTGACTCTATCAAACATGGGATTGACGTCCATTTCTCGTTCTATTCCGTATGTCTGATTATGTCTTCTTCGTAGTTGACTTCTAACACGTTTTAGCTTGTGATCATGAATGCCGCTTGTGTCGTCGGCCGCTGCACAGCAGGAATAATTGCAGCGTACACAGGGGCATTAAACTTCACGATGGTATCCACTCTCGCATGCAGTGCCCTGATCATTTGCATGATAGCGCTGAGCGACGTAGCAGGTGTGATTGTATTAGGGCTTGGATATGGTTACTTTTCTGGAGTTTGTATGTGCTGCACCACGGCTTGTGTAACTCCTGTCACTGACTTTCCAAGATGTTGCGTTGATGGTACCGTTGGTGACTGTGTTTACGCCCGACTTGTCCGAGCTAGGGTTAGCTTCTTCTACGTGTACAGACTGGTGATGTTGATCCTCATATGCAGAGCGCGATTTGGGATATGTTTTGCTTTCACTGGTGTGTAGCACCCAGCTGTGTCTCGGAACTGCTAACAATGCGCGAATGGTTAGCCTTTGGTGGATTACTCGGTGAGTAATTCCTTTCCGGTCTTTATTTGCCATTGAGCTAATATTTTAAGGCGGCCCAATATCAGGCGCTTTGCTTTCCTCTCAATACAGGTGGTGGATAGCATCGCTCTTCAGTGGGGTGAGTAGTTTTGCATTGTTCCCGCACCATGCTGAAATGTTTATCTACCGTGATAAGCTCATCTGTTTTGTCGGAAGCTCCATGTTTGTGGTGATGCGCTTGATGATATATCGCAGACGAAAAACGGAAGAGACACTTGCCACCCACAACGCGCTGAAATGAGGTAAATCACGTGTTCTATGAGCACTGTTCCTTCGGGTCAATATATGTGTTTGTCTGTTCAACATACTCGCCCTTGTGCTGTCGGTGGCACCAGGATGTTATAGTGTACACCTACGCGCATTTTTGATACATGGGTTGTATACGTATTTGCCACTGTATGCTAATAAGCTATTTGCCGTCATGCCGAGTGCGATTTTTCATAGTCCGCTATATTTATCGTTGTATATCCTAGAGCAACAATTGCAATTGCACTTCGACGTCCATGCACAAGTGAGCTATCATGAGATTCATCGTACGGCAAATGCAGATTTTCCTCTACCCTACACAGCCGGTAAGTGTTTATTCCAGATTCTATGTCACTCATATTTTTTTGTTGTAGACCACGCAGTTGCAACTTGGCGACCGATCACAATTCACCGCACCTCATGCCTACATTGTACAACAACTGACAAGCACACGCGCCAGATGACGATCAATACACCACTTGGCAGTACCCGTCACGGTAAGCTGAGATTAAGCCAAGCTGGGCAGAGGTAATCCCCCATCCGGCGGACGCAAGTTCTACGACTCTCAGGTCCACTTCAACTCCCCACAGCACCGCCACGCCAGTTATTATGATCAAGCTCTCACACTAGCCTGCGCCGTTCTCGACCTTCAGCGAACGGATCCCTTCGTATAAGGAAAATTGTATTTTGCACCTCCCACAACCCACACCGAGTCACATGAGACATTTTGTGCTTGTTTATACTACCGTAGACAATCTACGAGAATCTTTGGGGATGCTTTACCGCAACTCTGCAACGTGTGGACAGAACCGCCATTTTCATATCTATCTTGGGCTCACTACGTGTTCTGATGAAAAGTTTCATCCCTGACGTACCCGAACCCTCCCGTTTGCGTTACAATACTTTCCCGATACTAGTATCAACAAAACTGAACCGCATCAACCTGGCAAACTCTGATGGACACCATGTACTCCCAAGCACGTGTCGAACGTGTTCCCACACGTTTGCCAAACGCATGGGGCGTCAGTGCTCTCGGCGCTGGGCATGGCTAGTCCACAAAGAGGACCACCGGCTGTGAATCATAATAGTCGTCAAGAGATTCGTCTAGACTATCACTGTCGTCAGTCGGATCGTGTTCATCAGGTGAACCTTACCGTCGAAAGTGCAAGGTGTGCAAGACCAGTGTAGGTTTGTTTTTTTGGTCGTTTGTTCGTCAGTTGTATGCTCATGTGTTTTATAGCTGCAGGTTAAAGCATTAATCCGTAAGTTTGAAAACAGCGGTCACGTAGGCAGACTGGGACTCGTTTTATACAAATCACTCCGCATTGTGAGAATGCAGAATTTCTTCATAAATGAATACTTACTCTCTCTAGTTACGCCAACCTTTGAGTTCAATGCAACGGCCGCCACACCCTACCGGCCGGGTGATTGGATATCTCTATATCTACCCTTCTCCCGACTCCTCATTTCTGAGTTGAGTGATAAACTTTTGAGCGAGTTGTGGTATTACCTATCGCTTCACCTCAGGTGAGTGCATTCCCTTACGAGTATGAATGGCTCACAAATGATTCAAGGGCAGAAAATATGCTAATGCTAACTGTGGCTCAAGCGATGCTGGTGACCTCACCCCAGGGAAATCCTATCAAGGGCGTAGTTTCGATTTGATTTCTATATAGTTTCTTTCTGCATGTTTGTGTATCCCCTTGTGGTATTCAATGAGTATATTTCCTGGTTTCGGCATATATTCTCGATTGTTCTCTTCGTTATTTTTCTTCGGTAAGTTGTCGGCATTCATTCCTAGTATAACTGATCATTAGGTCACTCAGGGCAAGTATTGTATTTTATTTCCTTCGGGTCCGCCGTCGGCCATACAAGCCGTGGTAATTTTACTTCAAATGTTCCAGACAAGACAGCTGTTATAATGCCGTCAGGTATCTATGATCACAATGATGGACCCTGCGAGACTGGATGACTCTATGTCTACATTTAGACCGCCGTCAACGACTTGTTCACGATAACAAGTAACCCCTTTAGAATGAGGTTGCACAGCACTCTTGCAGGGTCACAATCAACATTGTCCTTATAAATCTGAATACCTGCATCTCCTGTGCATAGCACATTACTTACCCACCATTTTCTTCGATAGCAACTATGGCGCAGGACGAATTCCGTAATGAAGTCATGACGGACGAGAAGTCAGACGTTCTGGAAGAGCTGGGACGCAGACAGTCTTCTGACTCCCCAACACTGTGTTCGGAATCTGGCCCTCCGGATGGCGGGCGTCAAGCATGGGCAACTGCTTTTGGATCGTAAGATGTTCTTGAATGGTATTAACAAGTTGTGCATCTGACATTCGCCATGTTTCCTAGTTTTTTGATACAATTTTGTGGCTACGGGTCCGTCCTATATCTGTCCGATCGAGGCATCAACTGATAGCTCTCAAACAGATACTTAAACTCTTTTGGTGTCTACCAAGGTAAGTACACAGCAGTGGGATCAGCTGTATACGTGGTGGACAAACAAACTTGGAAGATTTTTACACACGAATTTATCTAACCAACCAACCACCGTCTACAATATCGTAAGTGAATGTACTTTTAATCTGATGTTTATGATCTCAGTCAGCGTTAGATGGATTGGCGCATTGGGCTTCTTCCTAACCGCCAGTGGCACCTTGATCTCTGGTCGACTATACGACAGGGGGTGGTTGTGAGTTTCATACATTCATAGTCGATTGTTTATCACGCTGATTGCTGATAGCTACCATTTGGTGATCGTGGGCTCGTTGCTCCAATCTCTGTCCCTGTTTGCGTTATCCTTCGCTAAGCCTGGTCAATTCTACATGGTGAGCAGCCCTGCTGATCTCATCGGTGGGCTACCTATATTTGTGACTAGATCTTTGTATTTCAAGGTGTCCTTACCGGGCTGGGGGTGGGTCTAACGTTTGGTCCCTCCATGGCGGTCATCTCTCAGCACTTCTCGAAAAGACGCACGTTGGTAATGACTGTTGTCGCGGCCGGTTCACCACTGGGTGGCATTAATCATTCGATCATGCTAAATCACCTTTTGAATGGTACTGTTGGCTTTGCGGGAGGTGTCCGTGCCAGTGCAGGTTTGGTTAGTGCCCTGTTATTGATCGCCTGCTTGTCCATGCGTACGAGAGCACTGCCGACACCGACTATCAGTTTTAGTAAAGTGGCACGAAAATGCTCTCGTGAGGTCCCCTTCATCCTCATGACCGTTGGGTAAGTTCTCTTTGGCATCCGCATGAAGTCTTTGGAGCTGATTACGCCTAGTACCACGCTGTCTCAGATAGGTTTTTTCTTCCCTACATACTACTTACAACTGGACTCTATCAAACATGGGATCGACGTACAATTCTCGTTCTACTTGGTACGTTCAATAATTCCTTATTCTCTGTCGACTCTTAACCCGATTTAGATTGCAATCTTGAACGCTGCCAGTGCCGTTGGACGTTGCACAGCAGGAATAATTGCAAGATACACGGGATTGTTAAACTTGACAATCGCATCTGTTACTGCATGCAGCGTCATCATCTTGTCTATGATAGCTCTGAATAACATATTCGGTGCGGTTGCGATAGGCGTTGCATATGGCTACGTTGCTGGAACTTGTATGTTTCACATTGCTGCTAGTGTAATTTCTGGCACTAATGATCCAAGACATCTCGCTGTTGATCCCACTGGTGGCTATTTTGACGCCCGACTTGTCGGAGCTAGGGTTAGTTTTATTATTACACACATTATTGTCTGGCCAATCTTGTCGACCTCCTATACAGGGCGCGGATGGGCATATGTTTTACTTTCACCGGTGTGTATCCGTCAGCTCTGTTTCGTAATTGCTGACAGACTGTGAATTTCAGCATTTGGTGCATTGCTCAGTGAGTAATTTTTTGCCGTCTTTATTTCCCATTGTATCAATGTTTTCAGGTGGCCCAGTAGCAGGCGCTTTACTTTCATCTCAATATAGATGGCTGATATCGTCGCTCTTCAGTGGGGTGAGTAGTCGTAATCGTTCTCGCCTTGCTCCTGCTGAGTGTCTTGTGGTGATAAGATCATATGTCTTGTTGGAAGTTTGGTATTAGTGGTAATGCGCTTGATAATGCACGGGGAAAGATAACCCATAGCTTGGCGCGGAACGAGGCGAACTATTTGTTCTACTAGTGAGGACTTTGGTCGGGGCCGGTATGTACTTATAAGCACTGACTATCTTGCGATATGTGATAGATGTATTGAAAACGTGTGCGGACATAGATGCCCATGGTCTACTTATATAACACGATGTTGAATCAACCCCTAGATCAATAAGCATCAATCTTATCTTGAATCTTGTCTTATCCGCAGTTGGACTTGGGATTCTCGTGGACAACATTAGCCTGGCTGAGAATAACTTGAACTTACTTTCGACCTCAAAACAGCACAGACACCACACCAATCGGAGCAGTTCCACGGAGCAACACCTCAACTATCGTTCGCCCGGCGACTTACTAGACTAGCTAGACTTAGCGTTTTGGCTGAGCACTATTCTTGTCAAACACCATCCAGACCGCGGCTCTGAGACGGTCCAAACTTTCAACCACGCTATTCATAGAGTAGCTGGAGGAGTTCCGAACTTCCGAGGTGTCTTCGTCTTCTGGAGCCGTTTTATCAACTTCGGACGGGAAAACTTTCTCATTATCGATGGTGGATTCTTATGCCACTGGTAACTAGCCGGAGCTCCTGAATGCAAGCGCCAACAGTTTCGGTAATCTGATGGAGTGGGAAGACCTGCCAGCGGCCATGGCACTTTCTCGCGTTGTTCCGCCCCTGGGTGCCAGATTCGGCGGAGCTACACACAATACCGCTTCACTCTTCTGCTAGGCTCACAGCCTTGCCTCGCGCTGTCGTAGCTCGAGGACGGACTTGATGAGCGTCGGAGAAGAGGCGTTCCATCGATTGAGCGCACGCTATATCAGGCGTTCACATAGAAGGAACGACTCGGACAGCATTGTCTTTCTTTTATTGGTCTACTACTCCAAGGGGATATCGAAGCACCCAGGTGCGTCCTTTGGGCCACATTATAGGTCTCTCAAGCCACTGGCTGTTGTTTTTTGCTTCATAATGATCGCTGGTGAGATCGGAGTCGCTGAGATGAATCGTGCGTACTGTTGATTGATCACGATCTGATGGTATTTGTTGATGGCCTAGCGATACAAGTGACATACTCGTATTGCTGACGATATCGATACGTCTGGTACCCAACTGATAATACCACTTGTATTGTCGACCTTGAATGTCGAGTGCACCGATCTTTGTTCAAGAAGAGATGATCAGATACTATCCAGTTGTAATCAACCAACATCATGACCAATCGATGCGTCTAGATTCCAGGATAAGAACAAACAACGACCAAGCGAGTCTAGCCTGCGCACTGCCAAGACCATGACCTGTAACCTGTGCTCGCATGTTCAAGCGATCCTCGGACTCCTCGTGCTCGCCAGATTGCGTTAGAACTGCGCCAGGTGATCATCACCCCCATGTCAGGTGGGCGAGGACGTACGAACGTGTTCAAGTCACGCCCTCACTGGCTGGGCCTCGGATGGACGTATATAAGAGCTTGTTCGTCGTTGAATTAATTGACATGTATCTTTCCGAGTATCGGTGCTCGTACTGCTCTTGATGTATTCTATCACATTCCCCACTTTTGTCTTTGCATTCTGATCGGTCACTGGCGTGCATACTCGACAGCGCTCTAGGCCTCACACCACGGAATATGTCTCACCACAACCTCAAGCTCAAGCTCCACACAAGACGCATAAAATCCCTTTTTATTGATATTGATACGACGCAGGTGATGCCAGTAGATACGACGATAGATAGATACTGACTCTGACTTGGCCTTGGTTTCGAAGAGAAATATATTGGTACATTTTCGGTGGAGGTTATGTGGGTAAATGGTAAGTGCTATGATATGATATGAGCACCGGGGAGGAAGGAAAGCGTTCACCAATTGAATCGAATTGGTGGGCGGATGAGCGGAATGGCGGGCGAAGAAATAAAATGGTGGGTGGATTGGTGGATGGAGGAACTGAAATGAAGAGAACTTCCAATAGATGATGGATATTGGAGGGAGGGAGTGGGTAGACGCGAAGGCATCGGCTTCAACGGTGTTGCAATGCAGATTTCAAAATAGCGTCATCGGGCCATGCTGCCCGATTGCGGTGGTGCTGGGTGGGTAAAACTAAAAGGCACTGTTCGGGGTAGAAATTCCATAAGACCCCTGTGCTCGTATAGGGCAAAGTTCAAGAGGTGGAGGCGTTATGTAGTCAAGAACGACGAAAAGACCCAATAAGGAGAAATAACACAGGAAACCAAAGCATGGCTATGAATGATACAGTGTGCATGGGAGGCAGGTGATAAAAGAGAGATAAAACGCGGGAAAAACACATGAAAGAAGATCGTGCAGGCATGAAGGGACGTGAGCATGAGCATGATGAAGTGAATGTGCCAGAGCGTATGGGTGTAGATCTGCGAGGCGTCTGTGATGTCGCCAGCTGATACCGTCATATCTCCATATTGCGCTCCTCCCCGTTAACCACATCATCCTCCCGTGTTTTTGTACCAACGTCCTCTTTCCTCGCACGCACGCGTCCCCGACCACGTTCCTCGTCCTCGCCCCGATCCTCAACGTCCATCTCCCATTTCCTCTCAGCTTCCCATGAGGGTGGCAGGGACGTTTGTGACGACACGAGGGAAAGTCTGGATGACTCTGCAGAGTTTGAGTTTGAGGCAGAGCGGGAGGAGGGGATGGGGGTTCCGCGGATTGCTGCCAATTCGCGCTCGAGGGTGCGGTTGCGCTCTTCGAGATCTCGGCCGCGTGAAGCTTGGACGCTGACGAGCTGTTGGAGATAACGGATGTATTCCACGGACTGGGAAGCAGAGTCAGTAATTGAATGATTTTCAGGTGAATCACCACGAGGAAAGGCGCATATGCAGTAAACAGATGCACGTATCTGGCAAGTGAGCGTATATAGTGCATCACAGGGAAATGGCGCATATAGGCAACACAAAGCACCGTCCAACCGCCAAGAAATAAAAACAAGAGAAATAGATAAATCAGGATGCACACCTTCCTCAAAATCATCCCCTTGTTTGCCTTGATCATTTGTGGTTCAGAGCCATTTGCGGTAGTGATCCCGTTCGTAGGAATACCGCCATTCACACCACCATTCGCATTACCTCGGCCTGTTCAGGAACGTCAGGATGTGCCTTCCACAGCACGCAAAAAACGCACCATCATCTCCATCTTCGCTTGGATCCTTTTTCACAGCATTCCCGTTGGGAGCGCCGGGTACCCCATGCTCAGGAACGTCAGCGAGACCCTCATCGGAGTTTGCTGCATCCGGGAGGAGGGGGAGTGAGAAGAGATCGCCGTTTTCCACTGCAGGTGAAGTTGCGCTGAGGAGTGTGGGGGATGTTGGAGCAATGAGTGGGGCTGTGGTGATGAGTTAGATCCGAGGATTCAAAACGAGAATGAAGAATTAAAATTAGGAAAGAGAGGCCGAGGACCGCGAAAAAGGAAGGAATACCCACCATCACATTCAAACAACACCCCTGGAATTAGCCCTGCTAGCTCGCCGATTCTTTCGTTGATGTTATCTCTCCGCCTTCTCTCAACAGCATTATGACTCTCCCGCCTTCTTCGTCTCTTTTCTGATAGACCATCGCCATCATGCTTTCCCTTGGTAGGGGGAGGGGGAGAAGTTGTGCTGCTCCCAAGCATGCCCAAAGTAGAAACTTCACTGGGACTGATTCCCATGCTGGGAGTTCCGGTACGGCCATTAAAACTACCATAATTTACAGCCACATTGTTTTGCGAAGCAAATGAACCGGGTTGCGTAGGGTATGAAGTGGTTGCCGCATTATATCCCTGGAACCCGCCAAAGGAATGAGTGAGACTATCGGGTGTGGGAAGCGAGTATTCGCCTTGACCGGGAACAAAAAAGCCGCCCATAGTTGAACCACCGCCCCTACCGGGGATAACTATGGCATGAGGACGGGGGGGAGGGGGTGGTGAAGTGCCGGATACATGTGAACTAATGCTATTAGCTCGGCGATCACGACGGGAGGTTCGGGTGGGGCCGATGCTTGGGGGGCGTGAACGGCTACGACTGGGCGAGTTGGGGTTGTGCGGGGATGGGGTGTGGCGGTACGCGAAATGTGATGGCGGATCTGGGTGTGGTTCGTACCGCATACTGCTATTTAAGGCAGGAAGGGTACTGTTAAAATGGAGATCATTGGTATGTTGTTGTTGACTGTTTGGATAGATATCGGTTGATGATGGAGGTCGGTAATGGCTGGTAGTTGTAGGAGCGCTGATATCAAAGATATTGTGACGGTACGGGTCTGCATCATATGTACTGCGTTCGTGCGATGCATGGTGAGGGTGCGAGTCGATGAGTGTTGCAAGATCGTCGGTGAAGTCGATGGCACTACTTGGTGTTGTAGGTTGATGATGAGAATGAGCTTGAGCAGCGCTTGGAAATTTACGAAATGAGTCAGGAAGAAAAGATAGGTTTGGTGGCATGAAAAGATTGTTGGGAGACGTTGGAGGGGGAGAGGTGGGCGTCTCTGACAGTGAGGAAACGGTGTGTGCAGGTGAAGGAAGCTGAAAACCTTCTTGTCTTACTGTTGTTGTACTATAGCTGGACATGAGAGGATGAGGATACAAAGTGGAAGATATGGATACTATGTGATTTCGATCTGTCAGTCTATAATACTTCACTTTATTATCACTTTGATCTATTTCTCGCTCAATTCGGGGTCTCGGTCCGAGTATGGGAACAGGTACAAAATATTAAAACAAATAAATAAAAACAATTCTTATTACATCTTCATTCTATCCTTAGGTTTCTCTCTCTCAGGCCCTACTGCCCCCGATCCCTCGTAGCCTCGGCACCGTCAATCTCTCCTCCCAACCCTACACCAATGTACATCACCATATCTTCTCCCGCGACTGTCCAAGATCGCCACATTACTCTAATCATTAATATTCCTTGACACACAACCTGCACTGTCCCCCATCGCGACACTTTAAGTTTACTACATCCTCCGACTCGTCAATCTCCGCGATGGCGCCCGCTATTTCACTTGACAGAACACAAAGCCAAATTTCACAACACTAGACCCACTCCTCGGACAGTTTTCATTCAACAAACAATAGGATTCCCGACTCAAGGTCCGTTTTTTTTGCTTAACCTCAGGCCCCCCTCGACTTCCTAGAACCACCTACTTATGTATACTCTCTAGATCATAATTTCGCCTAGTCCAGGACCTATCGGTACGAAGCTAAATCAGTCTTACGTGCGAGCGCAGTGCCACCTACACTACAAGTTCCTCACCCTCAAATCTGATCGAAACGTCATATAGAACCCACCACCTGCCAGATCAGGAAACAACAGTTATTCAGACGCAGATGAGTTTACCTTTGATCTCGCGAACAAGATAGAGGGGACAAGGCACATCTTCGGAATTATCTTGTTTACAGATCCCCCCCGGGACGCCGTTGCCAGTTTTTATTGTGTTAGCTCATTTCACTGGGCGATTATAATCGCCTCACGACCAGTCGACACCAGTGGAGTTTTTAGTCACTAATCGACCATGCTCTCTACTCCCAGGCTCCTGCCGCCACATAAGCCTAACTTTCTTTTTTTTGGTATCGAATTAACTCTGAACTCTATGTCGCATTAACCTACTATAGCTGCTTCTGTCGTATATAAGTGGGATTTATCGTAATATTTTATCACACAATACTAGACTCCATCGTAAGATATAACGCCTTTCTAGACAGGGGTGAGATATTGAGTTATGGCTGGGCGTCGAGAAATTGTGTAGGCATGGGCCGCGTTGGCGTCGGCGGCGGTGCCTCCCTTCTATCTCGGCACACTGGTGAAAGCGACTAATTCATTAAACATAATATGTATCTCCAAAAAGCTTAGCACAGGTTGTCAACCGCCCAGACGCTACTACTACATCGCACGCTGACAAATACGCTCTTCTTATTGACCGGGATACGTCCCGTCCTAGTAGATAAGCCTGCAAACGGAAAGCCGTTGGGGGAGTTACATACATAATCCGATTACTGATCACTGCGGCTGGGCAATCATTGATGCATGAGGTACGAGCGACCAACGGAGGCGGAGTAGCATGTGGAGCGCGCAGTGTGTCGATCCAATCTGAAACGCCAACCGACACAGCCTACATTCCAACGAAACGAGAATAATAGGCGGGAGGCTTTGAATCTATCAGAATGAATGGGCGGGAGTATGAGCGGATGCAAGGAACCCGCCTCCACTGGGGAAAATGGAAATAAATGTGACAGGGTGGGCAATGATGAAGGTCCACCGCTCAGTGTGGTACCCGTTAGTATTAATAACGACACGCCTGCACAAGCGGGCCAGGCGGACCGGGAATGTACAATTCGATTCAATTGAAGGCTGAAAGGTATGGCATATGTGAGATACGTCGTGTATAGGTATCGACGGGACTGGGAAACTCTTGGCAAACGATAATAATCGTATTTGGTATCGGTGCTCGCTGAGTGGCCTGGGTGCGTCGCATGTCTGTGCCAGGATTCTCAATGACGATGAACTGGGGGTGGGTGCCCCCGCGGGCGTAAGGTTATAATCCTAAGATTAGATGTGATGAGATCGCGGAAGCGTAGTGAGTGATAAGATTGGACGCACCTAGGTCTGGCCTGCCTTATCGTGTTCCAAATTAGCGCACAATGTTATGACTGTGGTAAATTGTTTCATCCTTGTTATATCATCATCGCTGAAATGATCAGTAGACGCTCGCGGACTAGTGTTCAGCCATCCGACACGTTTTTAGTAAGAAAGAACACCCTTCGACTGACAGATCATGGAAATAATGAACGGAAGAATAGGTACCAAGAAGGCGCATTGATGGAAAGCATCAGTTCTTAGGGGTATGGCCCCAATTCCCACATACACCATAAAATAACATACCATAAATGGCCCCACGTATCTCAGGCGTTCAGTTTCCCTTACGACGTAGGTTAAGAAATTGTCGCATCGCTAATGCGCGACAACGAAACGGCATCAAGCTTGGTTGCGCAAGGCACACTCTTTCTCCGCTGGTTACTGACGGAGCCTGACAGTGACAGGAGGGCAAGCGATCCGACTCAGATTCGGATAATCTGGGAAACTTATCAAAAACGATATTTAAATTTGTCAAACCATACGACCCTGAGAACGTGCTGTAGGGTCTTGAAGGGGCGAATCGAGTTTAATAGAAAAGAGACACAGCATTATGAACAGCAACTAGGCCGGGAGATCACCGGAAGCACTACCGCGGATGACGGAGGATAGCATCCGACTAAAGCCGACGTGTAGGAGCATAGTTGAACCATATCTTCAGGGAAGCATGCATTAGAGCACAATGGCATCATTGACATGGCGCCCTGCGGATAGGGACGGCAATAAATCGGAGACACTGGTTAAGTTGTGTAAGTACGGCAAGGGAACTTATCATAGAACACCACCGCGGACAACAGAGGCTTTTCACCGGTAGAAGGATGGAATAGTCGCAGCAGTGCATGGTGTTCAAGGGTTCGGCCGGCGTCAGGAAAGTGGGTCTGACAAAGTGAAGTTGCTGGGGGTTGACAGAACAGCACGGTACACGACACCGTGGGAACCTCACTGGATCTGGGGGCTGAGCCAGTACGGATTCGCACGACGAGAAGCAACAGTATCGTGAGCGGCCCGTACGTCGTGCCGTCCTTTGCGGATTCGAGTAAGCTGTGGCTGACTAAATCATAGTTCAATGAACATATGCATCCACAAGCGCCAATCCAAAAATGACAACACTGACCAATCTGAGCAAGCAAGAAGCGTAGATTCCAGGAATAGGGTCAATTATCCGGTCCTCAGTGCCGGTCAATGGGAATACCATGGACCGTTAACCATCTGCGAACAGGACGGATCCCGGTCGAAAAATAATCCTGGCCGTCATTAGATGGAACGCAACGAGTTGATTGTCGAAACTGTGTATCAATGCGGAGAGGGGAGCTGATACGTGGCAGATTGCTGTACGTTCAGTAGTGGTGGTAGTGTACATCGGGAGGAGCATACTCCGCAGTTTTGTTAGGGCAAGTGAGTGCGAAATATGTAACTTTTGGATTTTGATTGATACTCCACAGGCCGATACAACGGTACACGAAGCTTCCGTCGTTTGTTTGAACCAAACGTTCGTCCATAAACGTTGGCGCAAGAGACAATGCCCCTGACGAGAAGCTGTAGCTCACCTTGAATTCTCCGAAGAAATACCGCCGGCTAACAGTGTGCCTCATGCCATCGATGCATCAAGGTTGCTTTTGATGCACTGGCAACGCTCATATATCGACTTTCCCCTGAACTTGGATAATCCCCACCCGCTAAGGAAGATAACTGCAGGGGAAGATGTTCTCAGGTAGTGCTGCTGGCTTTCCATTAAACTTGTTCCACGGTGTCGTTACGGCAATCAGCGCGAACCAAGGAGCGCAACTCAGCTGAAGTTTGAAAATACATACACGTAAATCCAACAAGGGGCGCAACGTATGGTCCGGTACAGATGTGCGCTCCGCTTTTTGGAAGCATACTGTCGAACTAGGTCGACCCAATTGAGATCTCTTGACAACGGGCTATTACGCCATATGAATTTGACAGCGTCTTCTAGTCCTGTGTTGACCGTCGTCCGAACTAGGTGGCGACGAGTAAAAGGAGTTGGGGCAACCTATGGCCCGAATGGATAGATAGGTCAATACGGCATTTCATGCAAGGATACATACCGCGTAAAGTACTGCATCCTTTTCCTCACGACCGTGTTCCTCTCTTCTTCTTACGGTGTTTTATCATATTAACGAGGTTATTATAGCCTGGTTTGGTCAACGCTGTCTTGGAGACGATGAGCATCGAAGTCGAACAGTTGGATTAATGTTGATTGTCAGAAGCGACAAGTGTACTTGGCCCATGGGACGCGAAGTTGGTTGGCGGGACCTGTCCCAAAAGAGAAAGAGATGATAAAGCCGAAAAGGCCCAAGGGAGTTGTCGCACTTGTTTGACGTAACGACAGGCTGGCCAAGTGCAAATATGAAACGGACCTAGAGCGATTCTGAAAGAACTGGGGCGTTCGGGGGACGACGGCAAACTACCAGACTCTTCACCAGGGTCGAGGATAGAATTGGTACAGATATGCCAATCGGAGACATCGCATTAGAATCCGATGAGAGGCGCTGAGAATGTAGAACTGTCCAATCGAAAGAGTAGAACCATATGCAGACATGGATGCGGGGAAGATATACTTATTTGATGGCGGCGAACGGACCGCAAGTAGCACTAGTGTTATTAGTAATTAGTTTCACATATGTAACCTTGTTTTGTTCAGCTTGGCAACAACGCGACCCCAAAGACTCTGGGGAATTGGAAATCAAACTAAAACTTCCAGTAAACTCACTCGACGCATACTACCCTCACACGCCTTAGGATTGGTCCAGTGAACTCCAGGCTCTGTCGATCTAGCGGATTCGGTGGAGTATCGTAACTAGGACGTTGAATTTCGTTATCAGAATTGTCCAGTCGTAACTGGCCCGACTAGCACAAGCAGCTTGATGTCGCAGTGGAGATGAAGAAGTCGGGAGAGATGATAGTGTCGGCAGTCCAGTCAACTACTTATAGCTTATTTACTAGGCAACGACGCCTTGAGCCCACTAAGGCTATCGCGACCACCTGACTCGATCATCGGTTGTTAGTGGCAAATCAGCTGGTTCGCTTCTAGCCTCGATGACGACTGTTCGGTGTCTGGTGATGGCGCTCTATCAGATAGGCTTGATCGCTGATATGAGCCCTTCTAGGTAACATGCTTCAGACAAGAAGCCACTATCAGTGTCAGGCGCTGGTCATCTGCCGAGAATATTTCCAGGAACAGGTCACCTGCTTCGACTACCTTGCAAAATAGTACTCATCTGACTCTTTTCTAGGCGGTTATCGTATCGACGAGGAAGGAGTATGATTGCGGTGAGTCTGTGCATCATAAGTGACCTGTTTCGCGAGCTCATCTATGTCATCTTTATGACATCACTTCGCGTAATGTTTAAACATCATTCCAGCTAGTACTTTTCGGCGATGGTCCAATGAACAAAACACAATAGAGACAGCTCATCCCGATCGGACAGGCATTGACTATTGAATATTGGATAACTGCGCACGAGCGCCAAATTCTAAATATATGCTTGGAACTGTCGCGCAGTCCATTCGACATCAATGGTGGCGTAAATCCCTGCTTATGATTCCGTGGCTGACGGTAAAGTGGTGCTGCGGAAAGACACGATGCCCCTTTCCATGGCGGGTTCGATCGAAGATGAGATATTGCAAGGAGTATGATGTCATAGGTGCCTGTTCTGAATTTCTTCAACGGGACACACTGCAAATGATCAACGATGTCGCGTTTGGTAGGCAAGCGCCCCAGCTCACCTTCACTCATTAAGATACCGTCATCGGGGCGGGTACGCAGTATTCTTCCAAGGTCTAATTCGGGAGCTTGTAAGAGCAGCAACTCGCATCCTTCTACATATCAACCAAACAGTTCTGAACACCATCTCACTAGAGAGGTTCCCTATGATCCGCGATCAGGGAGGCCTGGCCCTTCTCCGCCATGTCCTCTCCCTCCTTCTCCTCCGCGATTCTTGCAGCCCTTAGGTCGTATGCGAATGTGAGTAGGTAAAAAGTAAACCCGAATCCAATGATCCACTCTAAAATTGCTCCGACTTCCGAAGCGTAAAATAGCGCAATACCAAAGGCAATAGCTAAAACAATAAGTACGCTTCCAATGACGGCCTTCACCAAGTACGCATACCGAAGCTTTATAATGTCAGGATGATTTTGAACTAACCAGCGATACTCAAACACAGTGAAGATTACGGAGAGAATGACACCAAGGGCGAAGAAGAACAGGCATACGTAGTGCGCGGTGTGGTAGCGTTTTGTATCGAAGCCAGATAGGAAAACGAGGCCCAACATTCCGATGATGGATCCTACGATGGCAAGAATCTCAAACACGCGCTCTTTTTTGCGCATGGAGGGAGGGAGCCTGCCTCTGTGCCGTAGAAGACGTTCTAGCACGAGAGAGAGCATGAAGCCCACTCCGGTGATGCAACATCCAACAATGAATAGTGGTTTGAGGAATGATGCGGCAACGTCTGATATGTATGCAACGTTTCCCTCTTGAGAGACGTACTTGGGACGTCCAGAGATAAGCCAGGTAAGAAGCATGGCGAGCAGTGTTGCAAACCAGAATAAGCCAGTGATTAGTGGCACACAAATAAGCAGCCGATGACTTTGCGTCGAAAGGTGTAAACCGGTCATCGTACTTGGTATTGTGACTGATGGAAAGACTATCGCAGGGAAGTTTGGAGCTGAGGCGAGGAGTTTGGAGCCAAGCTCAGGCTAAATAGTATAGGGCCATGCCAGATCCTGTGGAGTGAGACGCAGCGTGGGATTGTCATGCATTACGCACTACAAGACTCCATCGTTCGCCAAAACACGTGTATAAGCTTCCCTCAGAAGTTAATGTGATGCGCTGCACTACATGACGTCGTCTCTCACTGAGTTGTCTCAACCATCTCTATGTACGATCGCGACCCCGGGCTTTGTCAGGCCCCCTGCCACCTCTACCCCTTAATCTAAGTCACTCCCACTACACCTGTTCTGCCCAAAACCTGCACAAGAAAAATAAGGTCGTCGTGTCAAAATCGGGCTTTAACTCTACCTCATTCAGCAGCCAACCAACGACATAACTCGAGCTCGGAGTCGAAAACAGAGCCTATCTCGGTAACTAGCCAGAGAGCTCTTGAGCCGTAGTAAGCCCAACTTGAACACGTGGTACAGTTTCCAGCGCTCGCGCGGCGAGCTTTACTGATAATCGTGAACGTCAAAGTGCAAGACACACTTAAAGCTCCCTCCTACTTTCTACCAGTACTTTCGAGTTGTTTCTCGACAACGCTCTAGATGAACACTGTGAGAGAGGAAAAATTGCTCCAAGCGATTTTTCCAGTCACACCGTACGCATCTTTAAATCCGTTCTTGATTTTGCGGCGTCCAGATAGGCCGCATGCACACGATGAGCGCAGAATCACTGTGAAAGTGGAAAGTCTAGGGTCAAGTCAGATGCTGGGTACGTGAAAAACGCATAGTACTTACCACAGCTCGCTTGCGACTTTTGATTTGTCACAACAGCAGTGATTTTGTGGGTTACGCTGATAGCCCCCTCTCTTTTAAAGGATTTTGAGAACCGGTAAAGTAAGCAGTTTTGATGTAGTGGCTGTGCACGCTATTCTTATTGTTCATAGGCTAATTGGCGGTTTCAAACTTTGTTCCAATTATTTTGAACCCTGACTCTACCGAAACTTTATGCATCTTGATTCCTTCAATATCGGTTGATTCTGTATTGAATGAGACGATGCCATGCTGCTCCTCGGCGGAACCTTTCAAGTTGTCGACGGTGGAAGTTCCAATAAGTAGTATCTGAACGGGGTCGGACTGGTGTATCGAAGCATCCGCGTCACACCTTCAAGCTAGTCGTCACTACACATGTGGCGCTGGCTACTACATCAGTACGTAGTCCTTTCTCATTTATCTGACTTTCATAGTGCAATATTATCCACCACGGCGTCTCTTGCGACTGGCTCTCAGAGTCTCGCGACGGACTTGTTTACATATAGCTAGGGCAGAGGCCCATTAGAGAAGAAGTTCTAATAGGTGGGAAAGTCCCGCCTTCGTGCCATGCTTCACACTGACATGTCATACAGGCGAAACTCGCACTCCTTTATCCCATTTGATATCAGGATGAACATGTCTTCTCGATCCCCTACTCGATCACGTTCACTCCCGCCTATAATTGAACGTTTGAACGCTGAACACCTCTTTCCGATCACACGGGTATCGTAAAAATGCTGCGCTGCTGCTGCAGTGTTCTAAATGGCGACTGAGTATCAACTACGCCTACTGCTAGCCACTGGGACCTCCTCCTCCAAACGAGTCACGGAGTTGAGCATATGGCTCACAAAGACGTGCGATATCATCAAGATCCACACTCCTGCAAGTCATATCAGGTCCCCTATGTTCTATTTCAATGACTGTCTTCCTCGTCGAAACGATCTATCATATTACGCGGTAGTCTGATTAATTCGCTTACAATGCTATTTCTTCTAGACGAGTGGCTACGCAGTCGTGGTCAGTGCCACCTTTCTCGAAGGCGAAGCAAATGAATGGTGCAGGGGTTATCGTATTGTATACACCGTTCTGGGTGGTTAGTGCTAAATTTGATGATGGACCTGTTCTACACTTATGTTAAAATACTACGAGGACCGTGTCATGGTACACTGTTTTTCTCGAATACGTTCAGTATCAAACTTCGACACGATGAGAAAGGAACTGGGTACGCTGTTTGATCTGTGATATACGTCACTATGTGATATGGGAAACAAACAGTCGGAACCCAGGCTGAATGAAACCAAGGCTTCTATTCACAGGAAGTGCTTAGCAAGTCGCCATCCTGACCTCTGGCTCGGACCGCTTCGGCTTGCGAGCATGGTCCCCTCGGTCTGAGACTGAGTTATTTTACCTCCGATGTGACTCCCATGAATAAATCCTACGCATTCGCACACCTCCCACGCAACTCTCGCATGGCGAGGCAACTTCAGCCGCCAATGCATCGTCTGCATCTGGCGCTTCTTCAGCGCAGTCGTAACACAGGCTCACGCGACGACACTCCTTGCATTGGTTGATGGAGGAGCAAGTGATGCAGAACGGCCGGTTGCAACGCGGACATCGAACGAAGATTCCATGTACCCGTTCTGCACAGAGGTCGCAAGCCCACACTCTTTCGCACAAACACATCACGCCACAGCTCGCGCATTCCGGGCAGATCTGATTAGACCAACATGTAGTGTTGGCGCAAGTCCTCCAGCCGGGTAGTTTACATTCCTGGCAGGGCTTAGGTTTGGGAGGGTGAACGCGTTCGTGAGAGTAGTATGCCATCATGAGACGCGAACTGGGCTGGCGTCCCCGTAAGAAAGACTTGGACTCGATGCCAACGGGACGACCAGTACATGATAGCTGATCCTTGGCGCAGCACCATGAGTTGCACTCTGGACACTGTTCCAGCCGCTGAGAATCCTGATGCTCGAGGCATGGGAGACATAGCACTTTGTTTGGATGCGTGATGCACTGCGCGAGCGGGGGTTCGAAAGATCCGCGGCAATCATGCGACTCGCACGATGCAACCTGGCAGCTGTTGCAGTGGATAAGATCAGAGGCACATATAGAGCACTTCCAGAAGGCTGGTGGTAATCTGGTGTCTGTGCCACCAGGAACCTGTCGCTGTGAAACACGTTGATGGTATCTCTACCACAGTCAATTCGCATTATGATAGTAAGAACAAATCAGTGCTTACCTCCACCTGTAATTGTCTCCATATCCTACGTGCAAAGTAACTCTCCGTCATTGTATCCCACTGGTGAGAACACACATCGGACCTCGCGAGGGCAAACTCATAGATGTCCATAATGACCGGCGTGAGCTCACTAGGGACGGGAATGCAGACATTACGCCAATGGTCTCGGATCTGCATGTCTCGGAACAGGACAGAAAAGCGATTAACATGGATGACAAGGCTTGATAAGTCTGGGGGTCCTGGATTTTTTTCGGAGAATGTATAAGGGTTTGTGATGATATCTCGTCGATCGTAGAGGGCTCGTTTGATGGGTACAACATGTGGTAGGCAGTTTTCATGACCCGGAATACATTCATCTGCATTGGATGGGCATACTGTTTCTCATACTGAGAGAAGATTGTCCAGATAGGCATGCAGAGCAGTGTCACGAGAGACGAGGTACCGACAAGCAGAAATTACATAATAATACGATGAGAACAGCACGTGATTCTGCCATTTGCACTACTAGTCTACTACTAAGCCTCACATCGTTACAAGTCACTCAATCCAGGCAATTCAAAGTTACAGTAGGTCAATGCAATCAGGTGGACACCGTCTTCGAGTTGGATGTTACATGCGCCAAGCTCCCGATGCAGCAACGATGTTCTCCAACTCGAATAATGTTTTTGTGTGCTAATGGGCGCAAACAGTTCTGACCGTTTCCACCGGAAGGGCCTAATCGATCGCATCACGCTTACAGGTAACCCCATCATTTACTAGTACCCACCCTTACCTGGGATAATCTCTGTCCCCGAATGTGCCACGCATTATTCGTTGAGGATATACCGTATTACCGGAGTCTCGTCCATTCTGTTATCTCACGAGACAGTCTTTCTTTATTACGACTTTCAATCATCCTTCGACGATACCGGATTCTGGAATTCTTTACACCTCACAACAGCAACTGAACCAACTAAATAAAGCTCCATAGTTGAGTTACCGATTGGTGGGAAAGCACTAGTCAAGTGAGTACTGCGGACCATCTGATAGCTGATAAGTTGCTCACACCGTAGCCTTCTATTGCTCATGTACCATAGGGCAGCGTTAGCTGAGAGTTCTCTAGTCATTCCCAGCTTTAAGGACATCGGTTTCATCTATATTTCCACGCCTGCCTTATATTCACACTCGCTATCTCCTGCTGTACCGACATGACTTCTTCAGAAGACCTTTATGCAATCTCCGCTGACTGGCTCAGAAGCCTAGAGGTTGCATCATCTACCGGAGATTCTAAGTCATTCGTAAGCCATTTCCTTTCGGACGGGTGGTTCAGAGGTCGGTGCTTGTCTAAGGAACCGAAACGCACTCACAAGTGTTCTCTCTCAGATCTTCTATGTCTCTCTTGGGATTTTAGGACGCTATCAGGTTCGGAAAAAATACACGGATTCCTCTCGGAGGTGATTGATGGAAAGCCGCGACTTGAGCATTCTGGTCTTCGTGACTTCAAGATAGACGATCACACCGCCAATGCGCCTTCACCATTCACACTGCCAGGTCCACAAGACATTGAAGGAGTGCAAGGTGCTTTCACATTTACCATTGCGAAACCGGCTGCACTCGGACGAGGTTTCTTCCGTCTGACGCAAGATGCAAATGGGAAGTGGAAGGCTTTAACTCTTTTCACAAACATGCAGGACCTCGTTGGGCACGAGGAGTCTTTTGCAGATCAACATGGACTGTATGAGGGTCGAGAAATTACCTGGGAAGAGGATGTTGATACAAAATTCCGTGCTATAGAGGCGGACCCCACTGTTTTGATTGGTGCAGTACAGTTTCTCCAGTTAATAATGATAACTTGACAAGCACAAAAAGTTGGTGGTGGGCAATCTGGCCTTACGTCTGCAGCGAGGTTGCGTAGGTTGGGCATCCGTGCGCTTGTGATCGACAAAAATGCGCGCGTCGGAGACTCCTGGCGACAACGGTATGTGTAAACACAGTGTTAGTATGTTGTTTTTGATATAGGTGCGAACTACAGGTACCCGACCCTTAAGCTGCATACTCCTACATATCAAAGCTCCAGTACGTCGTATCACCCCTCTAAGAGGCTTTGGGTTAATCTATACATAGTGCTTTACAGTCCCTATCCGTATGTATCTTCCGCTGTTCAACGATATCATCTATCTCAGTGATGCTAGGACAAACTTCCCGAACTACATTCCTAAGGGGAAACTTGCTAATTTCATAGATTCGTATGCTATGAATCAGGAATTGTGTATCTGGCACTCGACTAGCCTAGTCTCAACTCCAGTGTACAATTCATCGTCCGCAAGATGGACCGTGGAAGTCCAACGTGGAGACCGGAAAGTAATCGTTAACCCGAAGTACCTGGTACTTGCTACCGGAAGCGGAAGTCCTTACACTCCTACTTGGAATGGAATGGATGAATTTCAAGGAGCCTTGTATCATTCCGACTTTCATAAAGACGCAGAGCAATTCAGAGGCAAACGCGTTGTCGTTGTGGGTGCAGTAAGTCGTGTCTCCATTTCGTATTTGCGTGCACACTCACGAGAGCGTCAGGGTAATGCTGGTGCAGATATATGTCAAGATTTTGTGGCGCATGGCGCTACTGAGGTGCGCCTATGGATTGAACTATATCAAAGTCGTTATTTCATAAGAAAGGAAAGGTAACAATGGTCCAAAGAAGCGCTACATGCGTTATAACTTCAACTACCGCAGAGAAAACCCACTTCAAGCTGCCTTTACCTGACAGTGCCCCTATTGAGGAAGTGGATTTCCACAATAATTCAATGCCTCTGGCCTTGCTCCTGCAACTGCACATCGCAGGTTGGACACAACACATGAAGATGCTCGATAAGGAATTCCACGACGGTTTGCGCAAGGCTGGATTCAACTTAACTTGGGAACTTTCGCCCGGCAGTGGCGAGGTTGGGCTGGACGGATTTCTGTTCACCCGCCAGGCGTCAGGAACCAGTGCGTTTGGATTTGTTCTTCAGACGAGTGTCATCTTAAACACCCTACAGTGATTGACATTGGCTGTGGCAAGCTAATCATCGAAGGCAAAGTCAAGGTAGGACTTGTATTCATTTTCCGAGGGCTGTCTAATTGTTGCGATACGCCCAGATCAAGCAAGGCCAGGAAATCAGTCACTTCGATAAAGATGGAATCATGTTTAAAGACGGCTCCAAGCTTTCAGCAGATGTTATCGTCCTAGCGTAAGGTCTGACTGGTAGTTTCTCGTCAATCTTTCTCACGCACGTTGCAGTACAGGAAATGAACCCATCATGAAGACTGCGAGAACTCTTCTTGGCAATGAGATCACCGATCGACTTCTTCCGCAGGAGGTAATGGGCCTTGACTCAGAGGGAGAACTTAATCAGACATATCGTCCCTCTGGACATCCGGGACTTTGGTTTGCCTCTGGTGCATTTTTATTCTCGCGTTTCTTCAGTAAACACCTGGTGGGCTACCTTCCTCTGTCTGTCTGTATATCTCTTGATGAATGCCACGATACAGGGTCTCCAGATCTTGGCAAGAGAGCTCGGTGTAGCATGACAAGAGGGCTGTTGCGCATGATATAACTGTATTGCAGGTCAGAATCACAGATACCGACGTTATGACTACCATGTAATATAAATGAGAGAAGACTAACCACGCAAAGCAATAGCTCTGTCTGTACCAATCTAACACGTTGTTCTCATTCCGGCGACTGATACAAGGTCATTTTGATGAGGCTTGCGCAATCTCACTGGCTGTACACGTCGACAGTCGAAAGGAATCTGAGTCATGATTGTCCACAACTGGCGGGTCTCCAGCGAAAAGTAGAAATATTCGAAGTCAGGGACGAGTATTTAGGGTTCACTCTGTGTAAGGAACGGTTATCTTTATTCTGCATATCAGAATTTCACGGATTCCGGCATGTGACGTCAGATATGAGATGGCCATGACCATGCAAGGAGGATCTTCAACCCATATGGTTGCCGCAGATCTCTCCAGTCACGGTACTTTTGGTACCAAGTCAACAGCCGGGTGAAAACGCGAATGTTCAGGAGCTCCTCACCTGCCGATAGACTTGCTGGCAATATGCTGGCGTTATAGGTATGCCTTCATTTGAAGGCACATCCACGCAACACGAATGCAAAAGAAAAATATAAAAGCCAGCCGTCTTCCGACGATCGTCTTCAGCATTACCTGATCCCATATCGCACGATTCACAAACAATGCGTTTCTCCTCTGCAATTGTCCTCGCCGTCATGACTACTTTAGCATCATCAATCTCTGCCATGCCTCTTACCAGTGACACGGATAGCGCCGATCATTGTGCCAAGGCTTGCTTTTGGGACTCACAATGCAACAGCAATCAATGCACTTTTAATGACTGCGTAAGTATCAGCATTTTTCTGGACTTGATAACACGACTCACCTGCATGGCAGACCTTTTTCGTCTGCACAGTGAGCCAACTTTCTGCTTTCACATCGGTGCAGTATGGCTGTTGATACTGACGCGCGAGTTACTAGTGATTTGCACTGCGAGTTGGTCGACCCTAGATATTGTCGAGTGTTGTTGAAAAGTTGAAAGTCGATTCCCTGACAAAATAAGATAATTGTTTCGGCAAGCCAAGTACACGTTCAATGATAAAGAATGGGACAACATTCTAAAAAGATTCATGTAGACTCTGAGTGAGTCTGATCTGGTGTCGCTTGCAGTCTCTTTTTCGGAGCTCCGGGATTTTCCTGTCGTTCCGGAGTCCGGACATGCAAGCCGAAGGAATGCTGAACCGTTTCGTTCGAGAATGGTAAGCATTGAGCAGAGTTTGATACTCAAATTGATATGTGTGAGCATTAACCTCCATATATAGAATGTCATGGTACCGAGCTGCCGACTGAATGTGTCCTCTTCTTCCATACCATCACCGACTTTGATTGAGTTTTTCGCTCGTAAATCACTCAATCACCCTAACTAGTGACCACAGGCGCACGCCCGGTCTATAGGCATACCTAATCATAGGGCCTAGGTGGGAGTCATAGGTGCGGTGGTGACCTTCAAGTCCGAGTCGCACCCTTTGTATGAGACTCGCTTTCTAACATCAAAACATTTTCTCGTAGGCTACAAGTGGGCTATGTTATAGAGACAGAAAGGGAATGTAACCTGGGACGTGTCAAGGAATCACCAGTGCTTTTAGTAAGTACCGGCCGAGTCGACTGCTAATGAACCTTCACTGGTAAGATCTGCTGGCACAATAAGAATTTCAAAGAACAACATCGAGCCCATAAAATCCAGGCGTCTTCCTACCATCTTCCTCAGAATTTTCTAAATCCCACCCACATCACAAGCAATGCGTTTCTCCTTTGCAACTGTCCTCGCCGTCATTGCTACTTCAGCATCATCAATCTCTGCCATGCCCGCTGACGCGGCTGGCGCCAGTAAATGTTCCGCATATTGTAACGTTGACTCAGAGCACGGCGCGGCGAGCTTTACTGATAATTGTGAACGTCAAAGTGGAAGACACACCTAAAGCTCCCTCCTACTTTCTACCAGTACTTTCGAGTTGTTTCTCGACAACGCTCTAGATGAACACTGTGAGAGAGGAAAAATTGCTCCAAGCGATTTTTCCAGTCACACCGTATGCATCTTTAAATCCGTTCTTGATTTTGCGGCGTCCAGGTAGGCCGCATCGACGAGCGCAGATTCACTGTGAAAGTGGAAAGTCTAGGGTCAAGTCAGATGCTGGGTACGTGAAAAACGCATAGTACTTACCACAGCTCGCTTGCGACTTTTGATTTGTCACAACAGCAGTGATTTTGTAGGTTACGCTGATAGCCCCCTCTCTTTTAAAGGATTTTGAGAACCGGTAAAGTAAGCAGTTTTGATGTAGTGGCTGTGCACGCTAGTCTTATTGTTCATAATTGGCGGTTTCAAACCTTGTTCCAATTGTTTTGAACCCTGACTCTACCGAGACTTTATGCACCTTGATTCTTCAATATCGGTTGATTCTGTATTGAATGAGACGATGCCATGCTGCTCCTCGGTGGAACCTTTCAAGTTGTCAACGGTGGAAGCTCCAATAAGATAAGTAGTATCTGAACGGGGTTGGACTGACTCAGGATTGACTGCCATGGTAACTTTTTCTCTCGAATACGTTCTGTTTCAAACTTCGATGCGATGAGAAAGAAACTGGGTACGCTGTTTCGTCGATCTTTCTCACGCACGTTGCAGTGCAGGAAATGAACCCGTCGCGAAGACCGCGAGAGCTCTTTGGCCTTGACTCAGAGGGAGAACATAATCAGACACATCGATCCTCTGGACATACGGAACTTTGGTTTGCCTCTGGTGCATTTGTATTCTCGTGTTTCTTCAGTCAACACTACCTTCCTCTGTCTGTCTATATATCTTTGGATGAATGCCACGATACAGGGTCTCCAGATCTTGGCAAGAGAGCTCGGTGTAGAATGACAAAAGGGGTATCGCTGTTACACATGATATAACCATATTGCGGGTCAGAATCACGGATACCGACGTTATGACTACCATGGAACACAAATGAGAGAAGACTAACCATGCAAAGCAATAGCTCTCCAGGCTGTACCAATCTAACACGTTTTCATTCAGGCGACTGATACAAGGCCATTTTGATGAGGCTTGCACACGGCATCTATCTCACTGGCTGTACACGTCGACAGTCGAAAGGATATGAGTCGTAATTGTGCACAGCTGGCAGATCTCCAGCGAACAGTAGAAGTCAGGGACAAGTACCCAGGGTTCACTCTGAAGGGATGATTATCTTCATTCTACATTTCACTGATCCTGGCATGTGGCGTCAGATATGAGATGGCCATGTAATGAGAATCTTCAACTCACACGCTGGTTGCATACGGAGATCACCTCCAGTACTTTGCTGACATTGCAGATATGCCTGGCACATCCACGCAACACGAATGCAAAAGAAAAATATAAAAGCCAGCCGTCTTCCGACGATCGTCTTCAGCATTACCTGATCCCATATCGCACGATTCACAAACAATGCGTTTCTCCTCTGCAATTGTCCTCGCCGTCATGACTACTTTAGCATCATCAATCTCTGCCATGCCTCTTACCAGTGACACGGATAGCACCGATCATTGTGCCAGGGCTTGCATTTCGGACTCACAATGCAACAGCGATCAATGCACTTTTAATCAATGCGCGAGTATCGGCATTTTTCTGGACTTGATAACACGACTCACCTGCATGGCAGACCTTTTTCGTCTGCACAGTGAGTCAAGTTTCTGCTTTCACATTGGTGCAGTATGGCTGTTGACACTGACATGCGAGTTACTAGTGATTTGAAGAGTTGATCAACGCGCATCAGGAAATTAGATGTCCACTTAGATACAGCTCTTTGCATATTAGAGTTAGTGCGAAAATTTCGTGAAATACAGTGAATGTTAGACAAAGATGAGACGTGCGAGGACACATGAATACAATCAAGAGGGCAGATCAGTCTACAGCGCAGCCTCACACTGTTGGTGTGACACAGACGGGCTCGAAGATCAAATCTAAGTATGTATGCGCGTGATGGACCTGATAAAAAGTTAAAAACACACCTAGGTCCTGTATACCGTACAGCCCCCTACTCCAATAGTTGATTCAAGATTCGTGATACTCACGATGTGATTGGAAAACACGGCTTGAAGCAGGTTTTTCGCTCATATATTGCATGCCTGCCTAGATATTGTCGAGTGTTGTTGAAAGGTTGTCCCTGGCAAAATAAGACGATTGTTTCGGCAAGCCAAGTACACGTTCAATGATAAGGAATGGGACAGAATTTTAAAAGGGTTAAGCTAACATCATGTAGAGAGTGAGTCTGACTGGTGCGGGCACGATGGCGCTTGCAGTCTCTTTTTCGGAGCTCCGGGATTTTCCCGTCGTTCCGGAATCCGGACTGAGACAAGCCGAAGGAATGCTGAACCGAGAATTGTAAGCATTCTATACAAATTCTATATATCATTGAGCTGAATTTGATACTCAAAGGCTGTCACAAATGCTCTTGAGCTGCCGACTGAAAGTGTCCTCTTCTTCCATACCGTAATCACCGACTTTGATTGAGTTTTTCGCTCGTAGATCATTAAATCACCCTCTAACTACATGCGCACACCTGGACCGACTACACTCTAATTATTAGGTGGGAGTCGATCACAGGTGCGGTGGTGATGAGGGGTCGCACCCTTTATAGATGACTTTCTAACATCAAAACATTTTATCGTAGGCTACAAGTGGGGCCTGGGCTGTGCTACGGAGACAGAAAGGGAGTGTAGGGACGTGTCAAGGGATCACCAGTGCTTTTAGTACCAGCCAAGTCGACTACTAATCAACCTCAACTACTAAGATCTGCTGGCACAACAAGAATTTCATTGAGCAGTGAACACATAAAAGCCAGCTGTCTTCCTACTATCTTCCTCAGAATTTTCTAATCTCACCCACATCACAAGCAATGCATTTCTCCTTTGCAACTGTCCTCGCCGTAATTGCTTTAGCATCATCAATCTCTGCCATGCCCACTGACGCGGCTGGCACCGGTGCATGTCCTGAATCTTGTTACACTAACTCAGATTGTCACGTATGCAACAAGGACCAATGCGTGAGTATCAATAGTTTACCTGGATTTGATGACATGACTCACCTGCATAACAGAACTTTTTCTTCTTCTGTTCGGTGAGTCATGTTTCTGCCTTCAAGTCGCTGCAGCATGGGCATTGGCACTGACACTGTCAACGTGCGAATTATTAGTGATTTGTCTAGTTGACCAACGCACCGTCAGGATAAGCATCGGTGGAGTTCGTGTAATTTTCGGTTGATGGTTCTAAATAAATAGTTTCATTTATTAAGGTGTAGCTTCGGGGGAAGTGAAGGAAAACGGAGAGATGGGTCCCATATCACATCCTAACTCACAATGTGTTTCTCCTCTGCAATTGTTCATGCCGTCATTGCTGCTTTAGCATCATTAATCTCTGCCACGCCTATCGATGTTGACGCTGAGAAATGCGGTTTCTTTTGCTAGTTTGATTCGGAATGCAACACCTGCCTGAAGCCTGAATATTTGTGCGTTTGCGTGAATATTAGTACTAGTTTCCCTGGATTGAATCGATTTGATAACCTGATTCACCTATATGGCAGATCCTTCTTTTCTGCCATGTGAGTCGTGTTCGTGTTTCTGCTTTCACAATGGGTCACGACGCTCACGCGCCAAGTCCCTGACTCCCATCTTTCCTAGAATTCATCATGCTCGGGTTACTGCTATGCAGAGCATGATGCATGAATGCATGACAGCTCGCAATCAAGCAATGCAAAATCGGATATGTCACGGACCACGGTGCGCGTATGTATTCCATATCAGGCATGTGAGGATCCGCTACCGCTGGACGGCTATATGCGGAAGGGAGCTCTCGCACATCTTGTTAGTGATCACTAATGGCCCAGAATCCGTTTGCGTTCGACAAGGCCCTCCCTCCACTAACGTGGGAGTTGAGGACGACACAGTATGACCGCTGGCACTGACACGCGAGTTACTATTACTAGTGATTGACCGAGTTGATCAAGGTGAATCAGCTCTTTGCATACTATTGGAGTTGACGCAGAACGTGTGTCCATAGATAAGTGTTGGACTACGAAGCCGAGACGTCCGAGACGAGAGAAGCCGAAGGATCCGAGATAAGGATGTCCGGGAGGTGATAGGTACGAGCTCAAGCCAAAATGGACATAGGCGAGCGGTGGAGTGACATCGGCTCGCATCCTAGATTATTTTCAGTCTCTCATTCATATATTCAAGTTCCTGACACACTTACTATAAGACCAGTACCAGTAGCGCAGGTGCATCTCAGTTTCGTTCAAGACACTGAGATGTACGTTCTAAAAGTCACCTAGAGTTGTTAACACGTCTAACGTTAGCTGTAGCTTTCTCGTTCTAGGTAGACGCACCGTTTGTAATAGAGTTTCGTTCAAGACACTGAGATCTTTCTCGTTCTAGACTCCTCGTTGTTCTCGCGCTCGTTATAAACGCCTTTAATAAGACGTGTAACAACACCAAAAGGACGCTGCAGGTTAGTCCACGGCGCCATCTAGTGCTGTCTGTGTGATACAGATGAGCTTGTAGATTGTACAAAAATAAAAGTATACTAGTAGCACTGTAAAGGACTGAAGTAGATATGCACAACTGACCTTATTCTCGCTCTCTGAAGGATCATAGCACAACAAGTCGACACTGGACATCCAGTCATGTCTATTAATACTGCAAAAGAGGGCCCAAGGGAGAACTACTACGTCCAAACCGTCAACATGGACCCCCCAGCACCCCCTGCACCACAGATGCAGCCCTTTCAGAGGACGTATGGTAACCCTGTATATCTTTCATGTTTTACTGTTACAATGTCAACAGCATGTAATTGGATTTCAGGCACCTTTTGGTATGCTGGCTTATGGTACCGTCTTCCTGTGCTCGTCAGTATTGACGCTCGCCTCCAAAAGCGTTGGTCGTCCCAACTTGGTCTTGGTTTTCGCCACCTTGTCAGTTTTCGTTACTCGCAAATGATCTGATTGTAACCTAGTCATTTTCAGCTACGGTGGCATCTCACAAACGCTTGTGGGCATGTGGGAGATGTTCCTTGGGTATGGTTCTGACCTTTGGATGGAGAGCTATCACTGAGATTTTTCCACAGCAACACGTTCAGTGCAACAGTCTTTACTACCTACGGAGGTTTCAATTTCACTTTTGGTGCTCTCTACCTCCCTCAAATCGGCCTCGCGTATGTTGTTTGCAAGCATTGATGCATGTCCTCTCTCACATACCTTTCAGGGCTGCATACACTGTTGACGGGGTTGTTGGGCAGGAGTTCTACAACGCCATCGGGATCTACCTCGCCATCTGGGACTTGATTATGTTCTTCTTCTTGTGAGTCTGAGGAAGTATGCTTTGCAGACACATCCTTAAAAATCTGACAGCCTTGGCGCACTTCGTACAACCGCCCCCATCGTTGTAACGCTCGGATTCACCATTTGCGCGCTCACTTGTCTTTCCATAAATGCTTTTACCGGTGCGTTTTTTTTGCCTTTCTAGTATTATGTGCTGTCTGACGTGCGATACGTAGGCAACCCACATTTTGCAACTGCAGGTGGTGCTCTTGGCATCATCGCTTCCTTCGGTGCATACTACAGCGCCCTCTCGCTCTTCTGGACCCAACAAACAACGTTCTCGTTTATTCGCCTCCCTCTCCTCATAACAGCCCCTTCTAATGTTTAAGTACTGTGGTAGTCTTCAGCCGATCGCTATTTCTTTTCTTTGATTTTCATTCTCAATTACGTTTCCATTAGCGCGTTTGTGTTAGATTCTACGGCGGGATGAGGTTCAGCGGTGATGTGGGGTAATTTACCATGCTTCGGTTCTGGTTTGATTAGTATAATAAATACAGTCAGCCGTGGCTCGAAGTCCTATCTGGGGCCTCGACGACGGCGCTTGGAGGGGACAGAACATATCATATCTGCGCTAGTGTATGCTCAGGCACATTCGAAAATACAATACCTGGATTGGATTGCTCGATTTCAAAAGCGACTGAAATTATTCACTGGACGCCTTAAGAAGGAAGGAAATATGAATCGCCAGGACGAGGACAGTAGATAGTCGTGTGCGACTCGTGGATCGCCCACCTCGTGATTACAGAACCTGAAGCGAGAGGGGGACGTAACTCACTGTTGCGATGTGCCAGTGACTCTGGCTGCAACTACTCTTCAGAGTTGTACTCGCAGGTTCCTTACGAGTGTGACAAATGGTGAGCCATGGTGTTGAATAAAACAAATGGTCCGTACTCACAAGAAGCTGGTTACACGCATAAACATCACTGCAACAATCCGCGGTGGAAAAACATGGCTAGTGTAGGCCGCCGCATGAACTGACACTGGCAGGCATAGATGCTGTCAAGGCGACAATAGGTGTGATCCTCGACGAAAGCTGTATTAGCTCCAGAGGTAAAAATGATGACGGCTAAGTCGTCGCCGTCATGCAAAGCAAGGTAACCGTCGTATTTCCAATAGTGTCTGATACCTCTACGCATTTTGAAAACCGACTAAGCCATGGAAAGTGTAGGTGGTTACCAGCCATGTACGGTTAATAGTGTCGTGAAACAAAATGGAGGAGCAACTTGCAAGTCAAAGGAAGGCACGCAAAGGATTGCAAATACGCAGCAGTCGCATGCCGGCATTGACACTGAGCCGGCGGTGTGAATGAAGGTGAGACTCGCTACTTGTACTATCTCTTGCAAGATAATTGCGCAAGTCAGAGATCAATGTGAACTTGAACCACCACCCAACAAGGGTCACTTTGTCTCATCCAGCATCTTCTATCCTCGTCAGACTCCGATCTAAATAGATGTCTCACCACAATTGGCTTCTTCACCCTTCCAGGCCGTGTTCAACAGCATGGGCCGTGACAGCATCCAGATACCCAAACAACCCTCGACGAAGACAAATCACAGGGAGCTCAGGTGTAAGCAACGGCTCGTGCGCAATCAACCTATCCTGAGCATATCAAAAAATACTTCGCTTGCGATGCGCTTTCACCGGGAGGATGGGCAGAAGAATAAGTATGCGATGGTGATCGGAAAATGTGGGGAAGAGGAGGCCACATGTGGAGGTTGGTGCTGAAAAAGGATGGTTACTGCTTAGAGTTTCATTCCTGAAATACTATGTTAGGGCGGGGTATAGAGCCATGAGATAAAACCAATCACCGTCACACAGATCTTTGACATAAAAAGGCTCTCTGTTATGATACTTAGCGGTGCCTTGCTACCAGTCTGTGAAGGTGAACGGGGTAGCAACGCCTCATGATTCAGTTCGCTTGAGAAGGCGTCCTCACACACAATGCGTCTCTCTTCTGTGACTGTCCTCTCCGTCGTTGCTGTTTTTGCATCATCAATCTCTGCCACGCCCATGGATGCGGGCACCGATAAATGTTCTTGGACTTGCCAGTATGACGAAGAATGCATGGAATGCTGTCTCGGGTATTGTGTGAGTATCAGTAGTTTTCCTGAATTTGATACACGACTCACCTGCACGGCAGGACTGGTTTCTCTGCAGAGTGAGTCATATTTCTGCTTTCATATCGATGCAGTATGGGACGCGCAAATTGCTAGTGATCGGTCGTGTTGATCAACGTGCATCAAGAAAGTATCGGCCTAATTACATACCAGAGCTGGCGTGAAATTTTCGTTCAACTAGGAAAAGTTCGAGTCTGTAGATAAGACATGTTACTTGAAGAATAGTAGGACTATAAAGGGAGGTGTAGATCAATTCACGGCGCAGCCTTGCGGTTGTCAGTGCCATGACTCTGGAAGTGACGCGTGACGATACTATATGCGGCGTGCGCACGACGGACCAAATAAAAACACACCTATAGGTCCCGGGACCTGTACCGTACATTTCCCTGGTTCGACTTTCGGCTCTGATCATTTCAACAGGATCATCTAGATACGTACTATGTGGACCGAAAACTTGCCCAGGCTGCGTTACATTATTTGCGGTGATCGTCTCGGCAGCCAAAGTATATGATAAGCGCAGGATCGCGTATATTCCTAGTAGGTGTGTTTGGCAGCTATCGTTTCATATCGTGTGCACATAATTACGAATGTACTACATTCTACAGGTGTATATCGATTCTGCACGTGTCACGCACTTGGTCTGCCGGGACAATCATATTGTTTTGCCAAGGAATCAATAGTTGATTCAAGGTTCATGATGCTCACAATGTGATTGGAAGATACGGCTTGAAGGAGGTCCTCCGTTCAGATATTGCATGTCTATCTGAATCCTTTCGAGTGTTGTTGAAAGGTTGAAAGTCGGAGTAGGGAGCTGTACGGTATTATGCATGACCTAGGTGTGTTTTTATCAGGTCCATCGTGCGCATACATACTTATATTTGATCTTCGAGTCCGTCTATATCACACCGACGATCGACACGCCCCCTGATAGTATTATTTTTGTGTCCTCGCACGTCTTATCTCAGTCCAACATTCCCTATATTTCACGAACATTTCACGCCAACTCCAATATGCGAAGAGCTGCATGAAGTGGACGTGTAATTTCCTTATGCGCATTGACCAACTCTGTAAATCACTAGTAATTCGCGCGTCGGTGTCAACTGCCATACTGGACCGATGTGAAAGCAAAAACACGACTCACTGTACACAGAAAGAAGATCTGTATGCAGGTGAGTCATGTTATCAAGTCCAGGAAGATGCCGATACTTACGCATACATTGTAATAGCAGTCCAAGCTGTCGCATTGTGAGAAAGAAGTGCACCATGTGCGACATTTATTGGCGCTAGCCTCATCACCGGTAATGGGGCCGGCAGAGGTTGATGATACTAGAGCAGTAATGACGGCGAGGACCATTGTAGAGGCGATACGCATTGTTTGCGACCCGTGAGATGGGATCAGGTAGTTCTGAAGGCGATCGTAGGAAGCCAGCTGGCTTTTATATTCTTTGGAATTCCTGTTGCGTGGATGTGCGTGCATTCAAAAAAATGAATTTCTACGGTGCCAGCATACTGCCAGCACTTAGGGTCTATTGGCTGATGTGGAACTGCTTGAGCACTCGCATTTCCAACCAGAGTCATCTCCATATGCAACTACATCACAGGATACAGGCAGAGAGAGATATCTTTATGTCTAATAATCCTCAAAGTCGGGTACATAGAGTCTCCCTGCCACCGAATAAATACAAGAATACGTCGCATTTCTTCCAACAAGAGCTGGCCCATCTCCTCCGACCACATATTACGACGTTCTCTGGCTTTACATCACTCATGATCTGCCTTCATATGTTTAGCATAGCTCCATTCGCCTTCATTCATCTCACACGGATCTCGTTCGAAACACCACATCATTTATTTGGGATGGACTTGCTGTAATCAAGAGCCGCTTGGGAGAGCGTTAATGAGCTTTGTCATACGATCCTCAATTGGTCAGAAATATCGTTCAACTTGATCCGTCAGTGGAGCACTGGCAGGAGGGACCAAAAATTCCGATCCAGAACAATTAATGCCCGATCTCGCTAATGAATGTCTGGTGATTCTCCGGCCCACTTATGCACCTTCGTGTACATCGTATATTCGAAATGCATTTTCCTCGGTACTGTATGTCTTGGCCTCCGTCGTTGAGGTTAGGATGCTATGTAAAGGGAGATAAGTCTATGCGTTTAAACCATGTTTTGTACAGAAAGCCGCTAGCCCAACGTTCCAAGTGCTGAATCCACAACCATTTTGCTTGATTATCCCATTGACTGTTTTTGTTGATAAGAAAATCCCGTATATTGGTCGCTTAAGTACAGCGCACGAGAGTCTTTAGAATCAACTAGAGTCTAGACCTTCGTCCAATCTACTGTATCCTGAATGAAAGTCAGTATACTAGACTTCTGATATCTGCTTCCATTTTGAAGACCAACAACGCCGTAAAATGAAGCAGACGTCGCCATAGTAGTGAGGAAAGAACTGTCAATAGGAGAAAGAACTATGAACGCGTAGGAACACACCACGACATCTTTATTGCTTCCTTGGCGTTGCATGCAAGGTGGCTGCACACAGCGAGGACCTGTGGGATGCAGCGAGATTAATGGGGTTCGGACGTTCAGATGAGGACGGAATGTGGGATCGATGTCTTCAAATTGGCAAAAGACCTTTCGCAATCTGCTGGCATTGCAGATTTTATGTGGCGTAATGTGCCATAACCACGCAAAATTTTCAGCAAAGCTTGGACATTCGCTTGACATGAAGGCAGTAAGCGGATTCCAGTCGATAGGTTCCTCATAATACAATAAACAACGTCAGTATATAAAAGCAAGTTGTCACTAACCCTTCAGATTTATTTGATCTCATATTCCATCCTCACACACAATGCGTTTCTCTTCTGTAATCATACTCGCTGTCGTCGCTGCTTTGGCATCATCAGTCTCTGCCACGTCCACTGACGTGGACTACGAGGACTGTCCTTGGTTTTGCGGGTCTGACGGAGAATGCGCAGACTGTTATTACGGGGTTTGTGTGAGTATCAGTAGTTTTCCTGGATGTGATACACGACTTACCTGCACGGTAGAGATTTTTTCTCTGCGTAGTAAGTCGTATCTCTGCTTTCACATCGATGCAGTATAGGACGCGCATACTAGTGAATGGTCAAGTCGATCAACACGCATCAAGAAAATATGGGTCCAATTACTAGATATTGGAGTCGGCGTGAAATTTTCGCTCAGCTAGGAAGCGTCTGTAGATAGGACATGTAACTTGAAAGACACAAAAAATAGTAGCATTATTAATGCCCGTAGATCGTACGATGCAACTAATAAAAACACACCTAGGTCCCAGACCATACAGCTCCCAACTCTGACTTTCGACCTAGACCGTTTCAGCATTGTTCGACAATCCATCTTTTCAAACTCCTTAGAGGGGGGTGCTGTACATCTGTGAAAGGTGCTGCGAGTGAATAACCATACCCACTGTGGGCTGCGAGCACCTCGATCCGATTCTGAATTATGCGACTAGGTGGTTGTAGTTGCAGTTGTGGTTGTCCAGGCGCCACCGAGTCATATCAGGCGCAGAATCTGTAGATCGTATTGTTACACGTTGACCGTACGTGCGTAGTAAGCTGTTTAGCATTCTTCTATAGTTCACACGGCCACAATATCGAATTCACTGATGACAGAGACGCTCTGAATGCAGACCGTAACACATCGCGCATATCTCGTTCAAGGTGACCTGCTACCAAGTCCATCCATTGCAAGTCCATGGTGGACATCCTTGATGCTGGGTTTGCAACAGTGATGCACAAACCCTATTCCTAGACTCGGAGGTGATGTGTCTTCGGTGACAGAGGCACTGGGAAATCTACTAGTACGTTTGAAAGTCATTTTGAATCTAGAGACCCTCTGAGATGTCCAGGTTAGAGTTTGGAACGAATAATCTTTGATTGACTGCTTCTCGGCACAAAAAGGTTCGGAAGTATATTTGAAGTCTTGAACGTTTCTAAATCCGACGCAAAGTCATCCAGTGAAACACCAAAACATCATCGTAGATAGCCAGTGTAAAAACGTGGCACGACTCGCGAGTGCTTGTGGTATCGGTCACACCAAATTAGTACTCTCAAGTTACTAGCTGGCAAGATCTGCTGGCATACTAGTATTGCAGGTATGCATGCACAACCACGTACACAAGAATAGCACATAAAAGCTAATCATCTATCTTCAGAATGATCATCGTCGCCCCATATCACACCAGTCACAAACAATGCGTTTCTCCTCTGCAATTGTCCTCGCCGTCATTACTGCTTTAACACCATCGATCTCTGCCATGCCCGCTCAGAACCCGGCAGGCGCCGATCATTGCCTCATGCTTTGCAACACTAATGAAGATTGCTCAAGTGCCTGCAACTTCAGGACATGCGTGAGTATCAATATTTTTCTTGGATTGGATAACATGACTCACCTGCATGGCAGATCGATTACACCTGCTTTTTAGTGAGTTGTGTTTCTGCTTTCACATCGGTGCAGTTGTGACACTTAGTATTAGTGATTTGTAGGGTTGATCAATCACCGTCGGAAGTTGGCATAATTTTCTGTCGATTTAGAGATGACTTGAAATACTACTAAATACTTTTATTTCCTAGCGTCGAGTGTGATTAGTAGTGTAGCAGAAACGTGACAGAATGAAAAGTTGTGTCAGAGCAAGCGTGTCAGAGACTGAGAGACAATACGAACTGTCGTCGTCGCGAACAAGAACAAAGAGACATCATACATTCAACAAAAGTGAAAGAACAAGAACAAGAACACAAAACAACTCAAAGACAGCAAACACAAAAATCGAAAACCGACTGCCACATAAGTCCTCGAAAACATCTCAACAGGAATCGGTCTCCTCAACCCCCCAGACGACTCCCACTATACGATCACCCAAAAGACATCGACAAGCGCGAGTCCTGGTGGCGGATGTATTTGGGTGTGGGTACACTGGGTGGGGAGGCATCATGGGGAACACCATTCGTTTTTCATTTTTACGGACTCTGCACGCGCGTTTGGGTCTGGGTGCTGGTCCGCATTTGTAAAGTTGGTGATGCACAAGAACAAGAGGGTGTAGACATGATCGGAAGTGGAAGACTGATCTTGATCCCAACTTCAACTTTGATTTTGACACAAACACCCTATGCAACGAATTCAGAATCGTGCATGGAGGATCAGCAACAAGTCAAAATACTGTGGAACAGCTTCGTCGACTGCGAAATTGGTGGTTTTCAGGTCTTGGCGTGAGAGGGAGAAAGTGGGATCGTGGCGCTTTCTTCAGACAAGCTTGAGGATGAAAAGGAGTAGGAGATCCCATATCAGATCTTTTCCTGGATGTGATACACGACTCACCTGCAGTGTAGAGATTTTTTTCTCTGCGTAGTAAGTCGTATCTCTGCTTTCACATCAATGCAGTATAGAACGTGCAAGTTACTAGTGAATGGTCGAGTTGCTCAATGTGCATCCATAAAATATCGGTCCGATTACATATTGGAGTTGACGCAGAATTTTCGCTCAACTAGGCAGTGTCTGTAGATAGGACATGTAACTTGCAGGACACAAAAAATAGTAGCACTATTGAGTAGTGCATAGATCCGAAGTCCACGGTGTAGCCATGCAATGTCAGTGACTCTTGCCCTTGTTGAATTGCCGAAGACAGGCCTGTAAATCGTACGATTATGAGTATACATGCGTACGATGGAACTAATAAAAACACACTTAGGTCCCGGACCATACAGCTCCCAACTCTGACTTTCGATTTAGACCGTTTCAGCATTGTTCGACAATCCATCTTTTCAAACTCCTTAGAGGGGGGTGCTGTACATCTGTGAAAGGTGCTGCGAGTAAATAACCATACCCACTGTGGGCTGCGAGCACCTCGATCCGATTCTGAATTATGCGACTAGGTGGTTGTAGTTGCAGTTGTGGTTGTCCAGGCGCTACCAAGTCATAGCAAGCGCAGAATCTGTAAGTCGTATCGTTATAAGTTGACCATATGTGCATACATGGGAATCAAAGGGTAAAAGTAAAGAGTTGAAAACACACCTATAGCTATGGCATGGCGGCCCTCATTGGTTACAACTCGCTCGCATTTCCTGTGACATTTTCCAATTTACACTTACACTGTGTTTAACTCTTCCAAAACATCAAATCCAGCATGATATTTTGGAGGATGAAACATACCACGAGTCCAGTATGAGAGCCACTAGGAAATCCACGTTTGAAAGTCATTTTGAATCTATATACCTCTGAGACGTCCAGGTTAGAGTTTGGAACGAATAATCTGCTTCTCGGCACAAAAAGGTTCGGAAGTATGTTTGAAGCTTGAACGTTTCTACTAAATCCCACGCAAAGTCATCCAGTGCTAACAAAGGCAGTGTAAAAATGTACGTGTCACAAGTGCTTTTGGTATCGGTCACACCAAGTTAAGTACTCTCAAGTTAGCTGGCAAGATCTGCTGGCATTGCAGGTATGCATGCACAACCACGTACGCAAGAATTTCGACAAACAGCACATAAAAGTTAATCATCTATCTTCAGAATGATCATCGTGGCCCCGTTTCACACCAGTCACAAACAATGCATTTCTCCTCTGCAATTCAAGTTGTCCTCGCCATCATTACTACTTCAACATCATCGATCTCTGCCATGCCCGCTCAGAACCCAGCAGGCGCCGATAATTGTCCCTTGCTTTGCGCCACTAATGCAAATTGCATAAACACCTGCGGCTTCAAGCTATGCGTAAGTATCGATATTTTTCCTGGATTGGATAATATGACTCACCTGCATGGCAGCTCGATAACGTCTGCTTTTTAGTGAGTCGTCTTTCTGCTTTCATGTCGGTGTAGTGTATGGTCGTTGTGACACTTATTGGTGATTTGTAGGGTAACTAGGGTTGATCGTCGATCGATGCACCGTCGGAAGTTGGCGTATTTTTCTGTCGATCGAGAAATGACTTAATTGTGGAGTCTGGACTTCGACGAACCGTCTGTGCAGTGCCGTGATCTGTACTCGTGCATTTCGTACCAAACCCTTACTGAAAATTAGCCAATGAGTTGACAGGTTGCCTCGGTTGCTTATTTATCAACGCAGTGGCAGCGTATGTTCTGGTAAACAATCATTATGCAACAAATGGAGAAGCACCTTATGAACATCCACACAGTGACGAAGATATTATGCGCACAAACGCTCCTCGTTTAAGTGCTTCAGGAGACATTTTGTCTTGAAACTCCGAGATAATATCCCGCTTCTCTTCAAAGGTGTGAATCAACGGAAATTCAACACCATCTGAAGCAGAATGAGCGTGCTCTCGATGACCTTCAGAATGTGAGTCTGCATCTCGAGCCAAAATCTCTAGGCGTTGTGTTTCACAAAGCCCTGCGCGAGTCTCACGATGTGCGGCCGCATTTGCCTGACAAGAACTGTGGCAAAAAGGCTCAAAAAGGGTTTGATTCGAAAAATCTCTCCGGGGAACCTTCAAGAGCTTAAAAACAAGTAGATTAGATATACAATGCACGTTACATACATGCACACGCAAAATATAATCCTTATGATGTATGGACATGACACGAACCGCATGTGCAAACGCAATCGAAACATATTGCTCCCTGGTAAAGATTGAAAAATTCTCCATGAGTTGCTGCAGACTTGCAACGGCAACAGGCAACAAAACACCCGCAGGATACTGTCTCGATGCCCATAGATGCGCTCGAGAAACCTCAAAAAAACCGTAAAACGCACGATGTCACTATAGAGTTCCTGTCGTCTGGAAATGCTTGATCGGAGACCACAAGCGAAGCAGGAGGAACCAAGAGAGAAGCCTCTGCAATCGACGAACTCGAAGCCATGCAAAAAACAGTGTTGTGTGCTGAGAATATATCACGGTCCACGGACTAGGCTCGTAACCAGCCTGGCCTAATACTACCACGGTTGCACAAGTGGTGTAGCCAGGCTGGTCGATGAATCTCCCAATGGACTTTACGAAGGCCCTCTCAACGACACAATCCGAACTGTCACACCTTTGAAATTGCTGCAGTGAGATCATGTACGCTAAAGATACAACACTTTTACTCACTCGAGGCATTAAATTTGTCTTTGTAAATAATAGGTTCAGGGGTTCGAGCAGTTTGTCCTAATCAATTATTAGTGCTCCGGCGTGATGTACTGTACATTTCACGGTAAGAGTTGTTGACAAGTAATGTTACCCAAAGCGGCGTACCAGCATCTGCCAAATTTCAAACTCCTCGCTTCGCCACTCCGAGTTCGACCAGTCTGACTACGTTAATAAATTGTCACCATCTCCTATAGTCAGACTGGTTACGAGTCTATCCACGGACGGCAAAAGCTCATGGTGAGAACAAAACGGATGATGACTGAGAACGGATCATAATTTGTTAGCTGGCAAGATCTGCTGGTAATAGTATTGCAGGTATGCATGCACAACCAGTGCGCACGTACGCAAGAATTTCGACAAACAGCACATAAAAGCTGTCTTCAGAATGATGTGGTCCCGTATCACACCAGTCACAAACAATGCGTTTCTCCTCTGCAATTCAAGTTGTCCTCGCCGTCATTACTGCTTTAACATCATCGATCTCTGCCACGCCCGCTCAGAACCCGGCAGGCGCCATAGTCTGTGATGTGTATTGCCTCGTTAATTCAGATTGCACAAACCCCTGCCCCGACTTCACGCTATGCGTAAGTATCAATAATTTTCCTGGATTGGATAACATGACTCACCTGCATGGCAGCTCAATAACATCTGCTATATAGTGAGTCGTGTTTCTGCTTTCACATCGGTGCAGTGTATGGTCGTTCTGACACTTATTGGTGATTTGTAGAATTGATCGATGCACCGTCAGAAGTTGGCATAATTTTTTGTCGATTGAGAGATGACTTGAAATACTACTAAATACTTTTATTGCCTAGCGTCGAGTGATTAGCAGTATAGCAGAAACATGACGGAATGAAAAGGTGTGTCAGAGCAAGCGTGTCAGAGACTGAGACACTGGAAAGACGATACGAATCGTCGTCATCGTGAACAAGAACAAAGAGACATCGTACATTCGACAAAAGTGAAAACAAAAACAAGAGCAAGAACAAGAAAATTAAAAAAACTCAAAGACAGCAAACACGAAAATCGAAACCCGCCCTCCATCAAGGCCTCGGAAACATATCAACAGGAATCGGCTCCCTCGACCCCCAGGCGACTCCCACTTTCCAGCCACTCAAAAGAATCGACAAGCGCGAGTCCTGGCGGCGGATGTATTTGGGTGTGGGTACACTGGGTGGGGAGGCGTTGGGGAACACCATTCGTGTTAGGGGCATGTTGTACGGACTCTGCACGCGCGTTTGGGTCTGGATGTTGGTGATGCGCAAGAACAAGAGGGTGTAGATATGATCGGAAGCGGAAGAGGCGCCACCGATCCTGATCCTAATCCCAGCTTCAACTTCGATTTCGACACAAACACCCTACGCAACGAATTCAGAATCGTGCATGGAGGACCAGCAGCGAGTCAGAATACCGTGGAACAGCTCCGTCGACTGCGAAATCGGTGGGTTTCAGGTCCTGGCGTGAGAGGGAGAAAGGTGGGTTCGCGGTGCTTTCTTCAGATAAGCTTGAGGATGAAAAGGAGGAGTGGGAGCTGCTTAAAAACGAGTCAAGAGATGACCGGGGGGCGTCAGAGTCAGTGCTTGCACGGAGGAGTTACATCTCGTTTCGGGTACTGCAGGTGAGATCGGGTGGACATCTCGGGCTGATGCGAAGGAAGGTTGGGGGTGGATCAATCATTGGCTGCGGAACAGTAGGGAGGCAAGTATGTAGTAGTGTATCAGCTTGTCCACATGTATCAATATCCCTTGGCGTTATGTGAAGATGGTTGCACACACCGAGCCGCTGGAAATACGTGTCTAGATTAGTGCATGGAAACGATGACTGCTAGTGCAGATGGAGTTTGAATGTTCGGATGGGGTCGGAGGGGGTGGATATTCTGGGATCGAGATGTCTTCGTTTCAGGGAGTTTCAAACGTTGTATCCATACCAAATTTCCAGAAGATACTCTGCTGGCATTGTAGACATTATGTGGTCGAATATGGGGATATTGAGAGGATTCTAGTGTATCAACGGTGGACGAGTTCTTCCTAGAATGTATTCAGCATATAAAAGTGAGGTTCCTTCGTACTAACCGTTAAGATTCATATCACATCCTCACACACGATGCGTTTCTCCTTTGCAATTGTCCTTGCCGTCACTGCTACTTTAACATCATCAATCTCTGCGACGTCCATTGAAGATAGTGCCCAGAAATGTCCCTGGTTTTGCTGGATTGACGTAAATTGCGAGGACTGCACTTGGGGGCTTTGCGTGAGTATCAGTGATTTCCCTGGGTGTGATAATGTGACTCACTTGCATGACAGGAATTTCCTTTCTGTACAGTGGGTTGTGTTTCTGCCTTCACATCGGCGCAGTATGGCTAACGCGCGAGTTACTAGTAATTTGTGGATTTGATCGATGCATCGTCAAGTGGAGTGGTCGTGATTTTTGTGAGATTGGTAGATACTAGATAAGACATGCAAAGACAATATTATTTCCGTACAGGTCAGTCCACGATGCAGCTTCGGTGACTGTTGCTCCTGCTGAAACGCCATAACGGACGTGAGCCGGTGGATCATACAATTATAAGTATCTGCGCCTGATAAAACACACCTAGATCCCTTGTGAAACCCCCTACTTCGACTTCTGATTCTAACTGTTTCCGAAAACGTTCGACAGGATCTATATAAGCACAATGTGAACGGAAACGCTGTTTCACGTCATGATCGCCTATGGTATGCCTCTGTAGAGTATACATTCGTAATGGCGGTTGTGCTTGTTCAGGCATGTCACACAATGATGGCCGCAATTCATAGGCAGAGACTAGGAGCTGTGGAACGGGTGGGACAGTTGTTGAATGCGGGGTAGGGAAAGGAAGGAGTAGGAAAGCTTTTGATGAACGACTCCGTCCGCATGGTTTTGGTGCTTGGGGTGCTACCTCGTGTGAGAGGATGATGGAGTCCGGGCGGGCAGGTGTTGATTCAGGGAGCATAGCGAGTATAGGGGAATGAAGTCCTCGAATTGGCGTATGTAGAAATCGTACTCATCTTCCAGTTCTTCTTGTACATGAGCATCTATGATCTCTGAGACATCCTCGTCATTGCGCAGGCGATAGAACGGGTCTTGATTATGGACAGATGCTGATGCGCTTGGGTCTCAGACGGGGAGTTTGGAGAGTGTTGGGAAGTGTGGCTTGGCAAAGTCGTCGTCGTCTGTCGCACCTGGGGCAGCAGGCATTTCGGAGTTACTGTCATCTGTGCAAGATGATGCAGAGTGTGTCGACGGTGAATGTCTTGGGTGAGCGAATGTTATTTTCTGAGCACTCTAGGATTATTTAGAGGGTTGAATGCGAATGGGATGGTGGACAGCTGACCAGTATCTGATATTGAATGCTTTCTGATGCGAGTACGAGAGCTGCGCTTCAGTGATGCGCGAACGAAAACTATATTAAGTTATTACTCAATTGGTCCTAAGTTAAGAGTGTTTAACTCACGTACATGTATTCATGTTAAGTATCTGAATCGAAGTGTGCATAAAAAGCTGCAACTACCCATGGCCAGGTCCAGGTCTATGTACAGTGCTAGTATTTTATGACGAAAACTCGAGGGCCAGGTGAAATTGACGCGGCCCTGCCGCGCCTGCCGCGGTCGTGACGCGCCTGTGACGCGGCACTGACGCAGCATATGTGACGCGGCACTGTAACAAATTCCAACGTACAGATCATGTTTACACAACTTCATATCACATTCCAAACACTTTGAATCATCGTTAATGATCAACATATGAGTGTCTGCCTGCGTACAGCCTCTATAGTGCTGTATTCACCTCTCACCAAATTTACAGTGCTTGTCCTCTGCGTTCATACTACTAGTATGCATCTTGCGCGTCAGTCCTATATTGTTGCATTACCTCTAATTCGTTCATCTATGTTGGTTTTCAGATGCAGTGTCAAATGTTGTCTCACTGCGTCAAGCCTCGACCTCACCCTGCCAAGTTTGATCCACTCTCTATACCCTGCACCACCACGTCAAGCCCCAACCATGGCATGTCAGAAGCCTCGTTTAGGCTGCGTCAAGCACTACTCACACCATGACAAGTTCTCCCAAATATCTTCGCAAGTCTCTGTACTAATATCAACATCCACACTCTATGCCGCGTCAAGGCCTACTACAGTGCCGCGTCAACCATAGCACATACCGCGTCAGTTGCCGCGTCACATGCGCGTCAGTGCCGCGTCAAACAAGTTGTGCCGCGTCAAACCTCCTCCATGCCGCGTCAGTGCCGCGTCACAGGCGCGTCACGCCGCGTCAAACTTCATTCATGCCGTGTCAGACCTCACCACCTCAACTGTCACACTGTCCGTATAACTTAGGTATATTTTATTTTAGATCTGTCATAATAATTGATATTCTAACAGTGTTCCTTTTCATCCTGACAGAATTAGACGTCGTACACTGTAATTGTCCATAGGCAGTAATAAATTTGTTTTACTAAGCATTCTTTCGTTTTGTCTCCTCTGGGCTCGAGAACTTCGACGAGAAGAAACCCTTATTATCACAGGCGATGGAATGTGTATCTCGGAATTCCTGATGAATGGGTTTCTGTAAGAGATTATAGCGAGAGTGAACTTCAAGTGAGGAAGACATTACCTGCTCCGTTCGATAGATATCTAACTTACTATGTGATTGACAGCGCGGCCCCTTATTCAGTGATAACTCTGATGCTACATCTTTGGAGTCTGCAGACGAGCTATCCGAAACTGTAGTTCCTTCTCTGCCGGCCGAAGAATGTCTGCCCGTTAAACGTCGATGTGCTCCACAGGCTCGAAGGGTCCAGAGAGGAAGGAAAAGAAAATAGTCATTGGCTTATGTATACCTAGTTGTACATGGCTCTGAGGCAAATAAAGTAACAAAGGAATGGTCGTAAACTCATCCAACTTGATCTGGAAGTGGAATATAGAATATAGGAATGGCGTGTCAGTGGCCGCGTCAAAGGCTGGTTAGTGCCGCGTCAAGCTTTCAAGGCTCGTCAGTGCCGCGTCACATCCGCGTCACGCCGCGTCACGGCCGCGTCACGACCGCGGCAGGCGCGGCAGGACCGCGTCAAAATAGCTACGCCCAAAACTCGAGCATGACAATTATGTAATTTGCCCAGAAGTCCAAAAACACTAGTCAATGCGCTGAGACCACCATGGCTTCCGAGTGACCGAGTCAAGTTGCATCTTTATCACAGCTCGTCTGCCTTGCTCTGGCTCTGGCCGTTGGCCCCTGTTCCAACGTGTAAAATTTGTAGTCTGCCAATGACTTCTTTGCCTATCCGACGGACTCACTCGTACAGGATGAAAGCTTACTGCAACACGATAGTATCTGGTAGTGCAATACATCACCATCACATTAAGCGCATGATGCATTGAATACAGTGCGTTCTGGATCAGATTCGCTCCATCCTTGTTCATATCTTTGTTCATGTTAGTGCGTAACACTGGTTCGGAAATCAAAATTTATTTTGATTCGATCAAGGGATCCCACCTGCTTTTTTCTTCATTTTGAACTGAGGCTGTTCCACCCAATCAAGGGTCATGCAAACAAACGCGTAGCAACATAGCATCATGTGCAGTGGATGCCATAGCCACCAAGCCTGCTGTTACTGAGGGATCAAGTGCCAGCATGCCATAGCTCATAGACAGTGTCGTCACCCTCTACTTGAAACCCTCAAACATGTATATGAAGACTGGAACTAAAGAGAAACAAATTTCCCGACGTCTTGTTCTGAAACATGGACAAAAACGGGTCACGGTTAAACGGCAAAGGTCGTATAATGTGAGTGGGACAATTATTTAGATATTTAATGGCTCATAGATATCATAAGCTCATGCTTGACTCTGCCTGCAAACATTTCCCAAACATTCCGAAAGATGTGGTCATATTTCAGACCAATCAGCTCGATATTTGCGATGGCTACTATGTGGACATCACGGCTGAGATATGGTCCGATGTCATTGACTTGCTTAACATCGTTGAAGTGACGCAGCGCGCGGAAATGACATTGCCCATCCCACTGCCACTTGATGCTTCGGCTATTTCACTGCCTGACAATCAATCGGCACCAAGTCAGGTTAACGAACAGGACAGCTCGTACGCACCTAAAATATTCTACAAGTGTTTCCAGTACTGAAGTTGAGACCACATAGCAGGAACAATGACAAAGTCACAATCAAACTTGTTTTTCCATCTGGCGAGATCCAGACTGCTAAAATCCCGAGGGAGATGAAGGTGGACAAACTTATTACTGATGCTAGTCGGATATTGGGCCATCATCCCACTGATGTCGGGGTAGTTTTGGGTAGGGTTTCCGATCCGCGGGGTAGTGATGCAAGCAAACCGGAGTATCGGATCATATCACATCAAGGATGGTGACTCCGTCAATCTTGAAGTCTATGATGATGAGCCGTATATTAAAAAGCCAGTCATTTATCTATACTCGCCCTCCGACATCGATGTTTGCGTCAAGCTTTCCCTCATTCCTGATTGGAGCTTTGCTGTCATCTATCCTGTTGTTACCACGGAAGAGCATGGACAACGTTTAGAATGGAACGTCTGCACCCATCAAGATGGGAGTCTGACTGAACATTATTCCGGTTTAGATGTGTCATACTTGTTCTGGGAGGCGCAGCAAGTCCCCTGATGATACATAAATCGCTCTTCTAACTTGTATTCCTCTTCGCAGGATAAATTTGCAAGCATTTCCCCGATCATCGGCATCCCGACCGCAACCAGTGGATACATTCAATCCAATATCCATCAGTCTCGATGATATGGATTCAATTGTCATTTCGGCGGACAAAGTAACAGTTTATCTCGATAAATCACTGAAGGTTTTGGGACTTCACACCGAAGCTAGAACATCATTTATAACGTGCGTACACATGCGCTACTACCTCGGGCTGTCAAATTGTGAACACGTTACTAAAACTGCCGTGGTAGCTACTGGCTACCAAATATCCTCAAGCACGAATATATTGCCCTCCGATTTGTTCCTCAAGCGGCATACGAACGCGCTGCTTCTTTATGCATATCTCCGCAGCCTAACGTCGTGACTCGCATATGCATGTTGTTCAAAGGTATCTGTAAGGAGCACTTGGCAAATTGTTGTTGTCGATAAGTTGACCGTGACCGGTACACGTCATCCTCAGCCGTCCCTCGGACTCTAAACCTGATTTGGCCGCGTCGGTTATGTAAACCTTTGCATGGGACGCGAACTTGAAGTTCGTGCCGTTCTCCGCGAGATTTGAAACAATCCCAGCTCCGCTCGTCTACAACTGTTCTGGCAACCTGTGGTCCTGCTCGCATTACTGCCGCTTATCGCGCCTCATCTGGTGGCCACTCCTACTTATTCTGATTGCTAAAGACACATTCTCATGCAGTAGATGCTTCGTATATATGATTCACTACCTCCTGGGACTGCAATTAATCTCGGACTGCAAACCTCGTCCAAAGGACCGTCATCAATGTTCCACATGAAGTAACCTTTCCGATGTAAGTCCGTGAAACCTCAGGTCTCAGGCTGGACTCGGACCGACCCTGACGATCACTAGAAGGCATGCTATACACGAACAGAGAATCTCTAGAAGCAGTCTGTAGTATGTACTTGCGCTCTCCTTTTCGATATATGCTAAAGTTTCAACCGCCCAGGCTGTGAACCATATAATATGATCATTTTGCGGGCACACCGCTTTGCGTGTTTGTACCATGACTGAATGTTCTGTAATAGTAGGCTGTCAGCTTCACAAGCTTGTGGTCCAACGGGAGGCCATAGGAACTGTGCTCGGCCCGATGCCCCCCATTTATCCTATTTTTCTTGAACGCCTAATGCTCGAGAACAGCTGTGGGAGGCTGTATGCTGCTGGTTTTTTCCTATGATACAGGTGCAGTTAAAATTCTCTGTCACATGTGACATGCGACAATTCAGGGTTGTTTTTAGAGCACATGCACTTTGCGCCAACCTGCTGCAAAATCCGCCGCGTGGATTGTAGGCAAGTCTCCACCGCAGGGCTTAAGACCCCTCGATCCCAGTCGTGCGAGGGCACGCATGAATTTGAAGAAGGGCCGTTTGCTGGCAAGTCTTGACCTGTCTGAACCTTGTAAAATTCATTTACCACTAGCTATAGTAGCAGCTGAAGATAAGATATGATCATTGATCTGCCATAGATGAACATCATAAGCAGAATCTGCCGGCATCAGTAAATTGGATTTCATTATGGACAGTCCCAGTGTAGGTTTACGACTAGCCCATTTTCTGGGACACTGTTCAATTTACTCGTTTCTGATGCAGATACAGTCAACGTCTATGGGGATACTATGGATATACATACTTTAGAGGTATACTTTTACAGACTGCCAGCCACATTCCTGGTCCACGGATACAAGAAACCACTAACTGACACCGATGTGAAGGCCGCCAGCTGGCTGCACGTTGCGGTCATAAAGGTCAAAACTACGGTGAGATGTTGCAACTCGGAGATGGCGCGCCCCATGACGCGCCTTATTACGCGCCTCCTCCGCGAGTGAGATTCCAATGATATGAGTTTGATCGGTAAGTTATCTCTATGTTTAAATGCTGGTAGCTATATGCTCATCGTGTAAACAGCACTGGGAGGCTATGTTGTACCTCCAAATGGTAGACCGTATCACTCCAATCAGATGCCGATGCTGTACAATATCATATAGGAGCTGCATGGAATGGTAGATGCCATTATGTTAATACCTCTTCCAGCGAAATTATCAGATCTGCCTGAGCAGATTTACGGCAAGTCCAGGGAGAAGGAGCGATGATGCCCTCTTTGTAACCGTGCGGTGCCTGGCCTGCCGGACACTCATATATCTAGTATGAATCGTGGTTGGGTTGAAGTCTTATCTCTTCCCTCCTACTCTTCTCGCTCACGAGCGCTCGCCACAATGGATACTGAAAAGACGGGCGCTGCTGCTTATCACACTAGCAGAGGCGAATTCTCTGACATCTCAAACCATGATGGAGAGTCTATTCAGGGGCCCTCGCGGAACATCCTGCAACGTAAACTCAAGAATCGTCACATCACCATGATTAGGTCTGTTATATTTTCTTCTTTCTTCTGACAAATTCTCACCTCCGTCAAGTATTGGCGGTGTTATCGGTACTGGTCTTTTTGTTGGAACTGCAAACTCCTTAACGCAAGGAGGCCCCATCGGTCTGTTGCTCGGTTACACAATCATGGGCTCCATCGTCTATTGCGTCATGATCACTTTAGGAGAAATGGTATGCTTGCTGCACGCCCTAGATCTAGATCACATACCTGATCTTTATGTCTCGTAGATTTCTTACCTGCCTATACCTGGTGGTCCCATCAAACTGGCCGAGCGCTTCGTCGACCCTGCGTTCTCTTTTGCCGTGGGTTGGAATTACTGGTACAACTGGACGATTACCTGTAAGTCCCATTCTTCCTCTTTCATTTCTCACAATTACTGACCTCTTACTCTTTAGCACCTGGTACTTGAGTTAAATACATTTTCTTAGCGTACCCACTGACATTTTATCATCTCAGCCGAGTTTTCTGCTGCTGTAGTGTTGATAAACTTTTGGAATCCCGCTGTCAATAATTCAGTGTGGGTCGTCATATGTCTTGTCGTCGTTCTCGCCATTAACATGCTCGGCGCTGGCGCTTACGGCGAGGCGGAATTCATATTTGCGTGCGTACCAAGTACTATATCCCAATCTTGTATTCTGAGATCACCACAGATCCATCAAGATCATCACAATCACTAGTCTTATTATCATCGGTATAATCATCGATTTAGGAGGTGGCCCAAACCATGACCGCATTGGATTCCGCTACTGGAAAAATCCTGGACCATTCGTTCAGTATAATGGCATCGAAGGTGTCAAAGGACAATTCCTTGGCTTTTGGGCTGTTTTGATTCAAGCTGCTTTCTCGTTCCTTGGAACCGAGATTGTTGCTGTACGTTATACTCTAAACTTGTTCAATAAATCCATTACTTACGAATCCCACCTAGATTGCTGCTGGAGAAGCGAAGAATCCTCGTCGTAACTTGCCCAAAGCCATCCGTCGAGTATACATCCGTATATTGCTTTTTTACATCGGCGGAACATTCATCATTGGTCTGCTTGTACCATCCAACGACCCACATCTCAAATTGGCTGGTGAAACAGCCGCCAAGTCTCCATTCGTCATTGCTATCGAAAAAGCGGGAATCAAATCACTTCCTTCGGTAAGCCGCATTTGGCCTTCCCTTGTTACCTAGAAATTTGTCATTGGTATTCAAAACAGATCATTAATGCTTGTTTGTTGACCTCGGCATGGTCCGCCGCATCTAGTGACTTGTACACTTCGTCTCGTGCGCTTTGTGCGTATACTGATCTGGGAGTCAACTCGTCGAAATAAACGATTTTCGTAGATGGTCTTGCAATCTCAGGAAATGCTCCCAAGGTCTTCCTTAAAACCTCACGCAACGGGCTGCCTTATGTCGCTATCCTCTTCTCCGCCTCTTTCTCCCTTCTTACCTTCATGGCTGTGTCCGCCAGTGCGGGCTCAGTATTTATCTGGTTTGCCAACATGACATCCGTCGCTGGCCTTATGACGTGGTTTGGTATCTCGGTGACGTACCTTCGCTTCTACAAGGGTACACAGGTCCAAGGCATCGACCGCAAGACGTTCCCTTACTACACAAATCTCCAGCCATACGCAGCGTGGTGGGGAGCAGTTTCAACGGTCACCATCTGTTTCGTATGCCAACTTTTCGTATCCACTAATGCTATTGAGACTAACTGTTCCTCTACTCTTTAGTTCAACGGATGGAACGTTTTCCTCAAAGGAGAGTGGGATATTGCAAATTTCATCACCAACTACATCCTTTTCATCACCTGGCCAATCATGTACTTTGGCGCTCGCTTCTACTATGGTACCAAGCCTGTTGCTCCAGAGGACATGGACTTCAAGACCGATATAGCTGAAATCGTGGCGGACATGTATGATGATCCCCCGCCAAAGAACAAGCTGGAAGCATTCTTGCAATGGCTGGTGAGCATAGCTGCTTCACTTTGCAATTTTTGACATCACTGACGTCACCTCAGTTGTAGATGTAGCAATACCTGCAATAACACCTGGGGCCCATTGATTGGCGTCAATCACATCACTTTTTTACAAGTCCTCGATTATCTGATATACTTGGCTGTTCGTTGATGTATGTCGTTACCAACTCTACTGATATAATAATATCCGATCAATTTCAAGTTTTATCATGGTCTTGTGTATCGCTTACGATGCTTATACTTGGACTTTTATTTTATTTTTCTCATCACTTGAACCACCATCATCTCGTATCTCGGACCTTAACTACCGTGAATACAACGTTTTGTTCCGTTGCAAGACCAGTTGTCTCGACAATGTATCTTGTCACACAACGAGTTTCCATCTTACTGAACCAAAATGGTCCTTACTTGTGGATGAAGCACATTGCACCTTGTATCCAGTGAACCTTGCAGAGAAACGGGTTTTCTTTTGAATTCCAACCTTGTAAAGACATGTCTGTGGGAAATTTACCGGGTCTCGCTCGTCACGAACATTGTTCACCAAACTTTACAATGGAACGTCAAAACATCGGATATCATTTCATCGTAGTATGAACTAGGCTACAAGTGGACCATGCTATAGAGACAGAGAGGGTGCGTAGAAACGTGATGGAATGCAAAGACATGCAAGAGTTCAGAGACAAAAAAAACGAAAGACATGTCAACGAGGAAATGCAAAGTGACGGAAAGATGCAGGTACATTATGGATATTAATATGCATGAATGAGCGAGCTGCGAGTGATGATGATGGATACAATAATCATAAATCGTCGTCGTTAACGAGAGCAAGGAGACATCGAAAAAGGTAAAACAAAACCTTTGAACAAAAGAACAACGGAAAAGACAATAGACAGGAAGATCGAAACCCCACCCACGCTCAGACAATTAAGCCCTCAAAAACATCTCAATAGGAATCGGTTTCCTTCTCAACCCCGCACTGCCTCCGCTCTCACAGCTCCCGCTTTCAGACGACTCAGAAGACGTCGACGAGTGTGATTGTTGACGGCGGATGTGCCTGCTGGGCGTGGGCGTTGTGGGCGGGGAGGGCGTCGTGGGGAATAACATTCGTGTTAGGGGCATTCTGTACGGACTCTGTGACCGGGTCTGATTCTGGGTGTTGCTCCGCGTTTGTAAAGGCGATGAGCTATGTGATGCACGAGATCGAGGAGGCGTAGACATAATCGGAAGCAGAGGAGGAGGCGCCCGCCTCGACCTTGAATTCAACTTCGATTTGGACACAAACACCCCACGCAAGGGACTCAAAATTGTGCGTGGAGGTTCAGTAACGTGTGAAGATATCGTGGAACAGCTCCATCGACTGCTGAGTTGGTGGGGTTCGGGTCCTGGAGTGGGAGGGAAGGAGAAGGGGGAGATGGGGGCGTTTTCTTCAGACGAGCTCGAGGATAAGAAGGAAGAGTGGGATTGACTGCTTGAAAATGAGTCCAGAGACGACCGGGGAGTGTCAGAGTCGGTGCTTGCGCGGGGAAGGCTGAGTATTTCCGGGACTGCTGGTGCAGTGGGGTGGATGTCTTGGCTTGGTACGAAGGAAGGCTGAGAATATATGGATTCTTCCTCATCGTCAAACCATATTTGTTCGATGACGATTGGGCAAACTGGCTGTTGCTCCTCTTGTTCGAGAACATCGAGCTCTTCGATGTCAGAGGGGACAGCCATACGAGGAGGGGGGCGGTTTTCAATTGGGGGTGGGGGTGGTGGGTAGACTGGCAAGGGTGGAAGGACACGTTTTTTCCGGATAGCTGAGATTGGTAGCTGCGGAACGGGTGGAATAGACGTAAGAGGTGGGGTAGGGAGAGGAAGGAGTGGGAGAGCCTTTGAGAAACGACTGCGTCCGCGTGGTTTTGGTGGCTGGGGTGCTACCTCGGGTGAGAGAATGATAGATTCTGGACGGGCTGGTGCTGGTGCAGAGGGCACAGGCGAGTATAGGGAGATAAAGTCCTCGAATTGGCGTGTGTAAAAATCGTACTCGTCTTCTTCTTCAGGAGGATTGGTGACGTCCTCGCAGACTATAGAACGGGTCTTGGTTATACACAGAGGACGAATGGTGATGCGCTTTGGTGTTAGACGGGGAGTTGGAAGAGGAAGATCTTCGTCATCTGATGCACATGGGGTAGCAGGCATGCTATCATCTGTGGAAGAGGATGCAGATAGAGTAGGTGAACGAGGGGTGTCATTGAGCATGACCAAGGCATCGTCGATCGAGAATGTGAATTCGGATAGAGTGAGGCGTGAGTCATTGTGAATTTCTAAGCACTCTGGTATTATTTCGAGGGTTGATGGACAGCCAGCGTCTGAGGGTTTTCTGGTACGAGTACGAGAGCTACGCTTCAATGAAGCACGATTGAAAACTGTAATGAGGTTAGTTACTTGGTAGTCAAAGACAAGAAGATATAACTCACGTGTATTCATGCTGTAGGTGAATGGATGAAAAGCCTTGAGTGCATGGCTGGTATATATCTAACTTTGAATAATAACATGTCTTTTGTGCTTCTAAACCATTGTCCTCTTTTCGTAGCATCAACAACACTTGCCTATTTCGAAGACCGCTGACTTTAAATTATTGTTTACATTCATTGTTTATATACCCACGTATCAGTACTAGTACTGTCCATATCTCCGAAACGACCTTCTTGATGTTTGCCAGCGCATAACCCACGCTTCATTGATAGGCTCCCAGTGTTATGTGCTCAAAGATTCCATTCCTGGTTACAAGCATCCCCGCTTCTCACCGCGTTCCACGTCTCGAGATGTGGGTCTCACATCTTTCGAGGTGCACATCACAGTGTCTGAACGACCTCAATGTAGCCCGCGTCAGTCCTATCGTCATCTCTCCAGGCCAAGTTTTTCCCGCTTTATGTCGTTGTGGAAGGCTCCAAGTAGCTCAGCTTGTCTTCCCACTGCATCGTCCTACCGGATGTTTTGGTGACTGTTTCACCCTTGGCGCCTGTGTTGTGTGCTCCGTAGGCTGACGATACGATGCTTGTTTCGGCATTTTACATTCTTTGTAGTAGCCTCTCTTGAAATACATCAACTTCTCACTGCGACATCGTACTGGTTTCAATCGTCTGTTTGTTAGCGCCCGTGCTACGTACTTCTCCTTATCAGAAACAAAAGACCAATTAATCGCCGCATCATCACAGCAATTAAATCATCGATCAACTTCTATTTCTCTGCTCTGTGAACCGAGTCTAATCTCATCATCTCCACCTTGTACTCAAAATTGAAGTTACTCGATATATTGGGCCGTTAGTATGTTCGTATTACGTCACGTTCAACCCGTGCATACAATGAAGCTCTTCCATGTCGGTGAGTCGTGCGGTTAAATCCAGGACACAAACTACTGAAACTCACGCAATGGTTGTAGATGCAGGTACTACATTCACTCTGTTTGTGGCAAAACATGGGACAGTACCCAATGCTAGTATCAGTGGGCATGGCAGATATTGATGATGCAAAAGCAGTAACGAGGGCGAACACTCGCACGATTGCAAAGGAGAAACGCATTATGTATGATGAGGATGCGATCGAATAAATCTGAAATGTCATCTTCTTCCTTTTATATGCTGAATAACTTGTATATGCATTTTAGGAAGAACTTATCTGTTGATCCACCGCAACCCTAATTGAACGATGTGAGTTTGAACTTTTTTGCAAGACTCTCGGCCTGTACGCTCCTTGCTGGCATACATCATGCTTTCCCAAGGAACGTCCGGAATACACGGTGTAAGTGATTCCGACTGCAATTGAGTACTGATACCATCATGACACAAATTTAGCTTGAGTCGAGTCGAGAACTCTGCTCTTACTACGCGATCGTTTCTGTTGGAAATACAGCACAACAGCCAGATCGCAGTTGCTCACTTAAGTCATTTTCATCTTCAGGGTATAATTATCGCGACCTTCTGAGTCTTAAGTAGGCAGACCACGACGTTAGTGCGTATGTACCCCAACACCTCGTACCGACAGCCTCGAGAGTCGAGACAGGCACTGACTAAGCATCAAATCACGTGAGGTTCGTTGCAGCAGTTGAGTAACTGCGTTCAAGTTGACACCGTCATCCTCAGTGCCGCTGGTTGATATCCCTTCGTATTCTCCGAAGCCTTGCTAGCATGACGCGACTAGCTTCATCCGTCACCTGGGAAGGGGAGATCCGATCTTGTCATGCCACTGTGACAATAGGTAGCATGTGGCAATTAGTGATGGCCAGGTCCGGTCCTGAACCACGGTTCGAACCCGAACCGTTTCGAACCTGACCGAAGTCCGGTTCAAAGTTCGGGCAATAGGGGGAACCGAACCGTCGGTCCAGTCCACGGTTCGAGGACTTGCAGAATTCTCGAACCTGGTTCGAACAGGTCCGAACAGGTTCGAACCGATTGTCAACGAGGGATGGGTGAGCGAGTCGCCCAGCATAGAGGAAATCATAGCTCCCAACGGATTATCAGGCTGAGTGCGTGGCGGAGGAATTGCAAAGTACAACGTTGCTATCTCCTGTAGTGTCTAAACAGTGCGGTTTGTCTTTAGAAAATCAAGCAAGCAATAATCATTTGACTCATCGTCCGAACCTCCCTGGTCGCTAAGACGCCACCTTTAGATTGATATGTTCCACAAAGCCTCACCCAGCTCTCGTGCATCACTTTATTCTTCTCCCCATTTGCACGTTGACATGTCAAGACAGCAAGCTGACAGAAGTTGAGCACAGGCTCAGTCGTATGTGTGATTTCACCCGTAGGAGTGACAGGCAATGGAGATGATTGCAGTGGCGAAATCAGTTTCGGTCAAGATGAAATCACTTGTGCAATGAACTGCGAAATGAATGTGCGAGCTCCGACGATGTTGCCATTTTGTAGATATCTGTGATGAGAAGTCATGAACCGGGGAACGAAGGAAATGGTATGGACATGAGTTCCAACTTACAGAAGTGTACCTCGAAGGGCAAAGTTCCCTAGAGCTCCGCCCGCTGCTGACCATTCTATCATCATGTTCGCTAGTGAACGTGCGCTATCCCTTTTTCCTGACGCAAGGAAGTGAGGTTCTGCCGCATCGAAAGCCCCATCTACACATCGTGAGCACGACAGTCAGTTTTGTAGATACTGCCGCATATACCTTTATATAAGAGCTCTCCGATATAGTGATGCAGGTCTTGGTCACCTGCGGGACAATGCTGGCTAACTTTCAGGAGTTCTCTCGCACTCTGGAAGAGCACGTCGATGGCAGTGTCGTACTGTCCAGACTTGCTGTACCGTGAAGTGAAGGTGCGTGTTTTCTGGTGCGCTTCGTAGGGCTGCCCAGACGCAACAAGCGGTAGGATCGCGTTCAGGGCGCGAGAAGATGAACCGGATTGTATATGAAGTTTGACATTTTTTGGGTCCGGTTCTCGGTTCAAACCCTTGCTGAACCGGAACCGGACCATTATTGGACCGAACCGATGGTCCGGTCCACGGTTCTCTGAATTTCCTAGAGAACCGGACCGAACCGGACCTGTCCATCACTAGTGGCAATAGCTACAATATACCTCGTGAGTGAGTTTGAATCCCCGGTCGGGCCTCGAGCCATGACCTGTACTTTTGTTGGCATGATTCAGGTCATACTTTACAATCTTATAAGGAATGATGTCTTTCAAGGTCTGACTCGGTGAATCATCAATCAAGGGTGCATAGCATATACACAGAATAAGTGATGATGACACCTTGAGGCATAGGCTACGTGTAGCGCGAAGAATCATGTATGTCAGATGAAGCTTGGTGCGGGACTAGCACTCTACTAGTATGATGTCAAGTTGCACCATCACGGTGCATATTTACGGTCATTCGTAAGATCTTGATCTTCGGAAATCGTTTATGGTCTGTAAGTTTCTTCTAGTTGATGGGTTCCATCGTGCTAATGATGCGATAGTGTTCATTCAGCCGAGAGCAATCAGCGTCTGCGTGGCTGGTGATCATCCCATCATATGCTACAAGAACGCTCTTCATCTACATCTATTTGGAAATATTACGGGCAAGGTCAGGTCTTTATTACGTACAGAACTTATGTACACCATACAGGTCGATCAATGTTCATTTCTAGTTTGAAGTCAATTCAGACAGACAGGCCCCGTGACGTTTCCTAAAACTTTCAGAAACATCTGTCTAAACGCACCTACCTTCCGAGAAACCAGGACGCGGAGATCCACATTCCGTGCTAATTCCATGCATATAAGAAGTTACTCCGTGACTTGTCCTCGTCATCCCATTGCTGTTTGACTACGTGATGTTAGGGAAGTTCACAGACAACAGCACCTTTTAGCGGGAAAACGATGGAGTGGGGTACCCCTCCAGCGGGGGGTGACACAGGCGGGTGTTTGCCACCATTTGCTAGCTTAGTCAGGCCTTCGGGCGTTGTCGTAGGTAGCATGATTGTTAGGTAGAGGCCACACCAGCTTCCGTCTGCCAGAGGCAAGGACATTGTCAGCCGCGCCAGTCCAACGATGCAATTCGACGTTACTTACAAGTACAAAATGATCAACATACACTCGCGTGTACATAAGATATGCACATTCAAATGTGTTGCAGATGAGCTGACGACTATCGAGTAATTTAAAAGTGAGTCGTCTATTCCAATTCCTCCATTATTCGAGTAACAGGAAACTTTATTTAGTTGATCAACTCAGCAATCGATCACTAGTGACTCGCGTGTCAGTGTCATGAACCATACTGCACCGATGTGAAAGCAGAAACACTACTCACAGCACATATAAAGGCGAACTGCCGTGTCGATGAGTCATGGTTAAATCCAGGACACAAACCACTATAACTCACGCAAGTTTTCCCAGGGCATCTGCGGCATTCGTGTTTGTAGACGCAAAAGACGGGACAATCTTCGATCCCATCCTGAACAGGCGTGGCAGAGCTTGATGACGCCATCTGAGCTACGACGACGAGGAAAATTGCAAAGGAGAAACGCATTGTGAGTGAGGATGTGATATGGCCTGAAGGCTGAAATAAATCCTGACAAGTTAGTGAAAATTACAGATACCTTCCTTTTATATGTTCGTCATGATTATGCAAGATAACTCCATCGAACTGCAATGCCAGCAGATTGAACAAGGTCTGTGTGCAATTTGGTGTGGAACAGCGGAAAATCTTTTGCTGGTGAATCGTGCGATCCCCAGTGAGAAACGGTCCTAGCCATATCTCCGGAAAACGACGGAAATATTGCGACGATATTCGCGTCGATTTTCGGAGAAAGATGAGACTTATAGTCGATTTTTAGTGACTCGCATCGAGCGAAATATTGTATCGTCGATTGTGTTAGTGTACCGTAGATTCTAGTATATTCCCGTAGCTCCCAATTGACTTGTCCATATTTGCTCAGGATGACGTAGCCCGCCTGGCGCCAGCTTCTGGCACATGGGAGTCCTTGACAGAAACAAATCATTGTTAGATATACTTGTAAGGTAAGCAGACAGTACTTACCGTGTGATGGCAGCCGCCTCATTCTCGTGTTTCTACAGCAATAGATATCAATTAAAATACATTGGGTAGCTTTTAATGGAACTCACCAATTGACTGTCTTGTAACGATGTATCTGTTGAAGCCGCTGGACCTGTCGGTCATTGGGACAACGGTATTGAGCTAGTGATGTAAAACAGTCAGTGAATGAATGTGACAATGCCAGATAACTCACAATGTTCAAAATGTGTGCATATATACACCGTAAATAGCACTTACTTGTCGCAAGAACAGACGACTGTCGAGTGAGTGGGATCAGTAAATGGATTGGGCCGTGAAAAGGCCTAGTACTTATCTTGTTAGTGGCCAAGCGAGAAAGTCATGTGTCAGAGAATACTAAAACAAATCTATCCGGGGCACATGCTTGTCTGCGATAAAAGAAATAAGCCCCAGACGTGACGATCTGCCCAAAGTGTTACATAGAGACTATGTAATCAAAACTCCGCAATGCCGAAATGCTTTACACCATGCACGACTTCTCCGCGGAGCGTGAAAAGGCATTGCGGCAAACGTGTGACATAGTGTGACGAAGTGCGCGAACTCTAGGGAAAATGCACTTTTCTGTGCGGTAACTCTCCGCTGGACTCAACACGTCGATTTTCGAAATAGAAACTAGCAGACCTTGTACTTTCGATGTCACGCTATCGAACTGTCAAAGAATTAATTTTGTTTGTTTGTGCGATGTGGAGTAATAACCGTTTTGCCAAAAATGTGCGAACTCCCGTGGAAATCTAGTACCTTCTCAGTTCTGAGAAACCAGGACGCGGAGATCCACGTTCCGTGCTAATTCCATGCATATAAAAAGTTACTCCGTGACTTGTCCTCGTCATTCCATTGCTGTTTGACTATGTGATGTTAGGGAAGTTCATAGACAACAGCACCTTTTAGCGGGAAAACGATGCAATTCAACGTTACTTCCGAGTAGTGCTGCCGTGGTCCAGTTCCGAACCGTGGTTCGAACCTGACCATTGGTCAGGTTCGTCCTTGGTTCGGTCCATGGTCCAGCATTTTGCACGGACCAAACCGGAATGAGGTTCGTGGTCTGCTAACTCCTGTGCGGTTCATCTATAGGTTCGGACCTTCCCGAACCGTTCCGAACCCCGAACCGAATCTTCCTTGCAACACCTTCAAGGCTCAATCACACGCTTATGGTCATTTTGACTTCTCGATCCTCAAGATTCGCCATGGTCACTTTGACCTTTGGCATTCTCAAGACTTTTTTCGACTTATCCTGTCCGGAGGTTCGCATCCCGCACACCCTGCTGTCCGATAACGCCTACCTGTTCAATCAAGCTCAAGGTATGACTTTTCCGTCAAATCAAGCGCAATAAACTGATTGACATATTATATTTCTTAGGATCCTTCAATGCATACTATGAGTTAGTAGGAGATTGGGTATTCACATATAAAGGGAGCAAGGTGAGTGATATATTTTGACTACCGGTACAATGTCTGAACCTGAAGCACAGTGTGCCCTCAACCCAGACGGGTCTCTAAAGGACGCCAAAGACATCGTTTTTTACAACGATCCTGATGATGCCGTCCCCATTTCCGCTCCATCCTCCTCTGCCCAGCCACCCACAGACGCCTTCTCTGTGCTACTGCAGACTGGACACAAACCAGTGCCACTTACTGCAGGTGCCAGTGCTCGACGCTCCATTCGCACCTCTAAACCTTCTGCGCGCCTTCGTGATTCCGACAACGCTTGTTCTTCAACAAGCCGCAAGCGCGCATTATCTAGTGCAACCGAGCAACTAGTTAGGAAGAAGGTTGTGTTACAGCTCTCCGCTCCATTATCTGACGACGACACGGATATTGATACTGACCATGGTGCTGGTCAATCGGATGAGGCCGAGGACGAAGATGTACCAGCACCTGAGGACAAACCTGAGGACGAACCCGAGGATCTTCAAGACACCACCATCCGAGCCGCTTTATCAAAGAGTGAGCGCAGCGCTGATATTCGAACAATCTTCACTCGCGACGACAAACATTGGGTCTGCAAACCTTGCAGGGATGCCGGTGAACTTGAAAGCAAGTACACGTTTCGCGGAGGTATCTCTACACTACGCACGCACATTTGTCGGTATGTTCATGTCTTCTTTCTCTTGAATGATCACTAATATTATATATCTATCAGTAATAAAGGCCATTTTCAACTTTACAAGTCACGCTGCAAAGCCGCAAACATCACCATGCACCCTCGAGCGGTTCCAACTGGTGAGGTTCAATCCCTGTGAGTTACATTTGCCGTATTGTAGTGTGTTGTACTGATTCATAGATAGTTCAAGGCAATCCACCCTCGATGGCAGCCTTGCCCCGAAAGCACCCATGTTTACCAAGGCAGGGCTTCTGGAGTATATTATGGAGTTGATTGTGACCGAGGACGAGGCATTGCAACTCGTCGACAAACCAGCCTTCCGCAACTTGCTTCGTTATGTCCGCCCCGCCCTTGCTGAAAGTGACGTGCCACACCGCATGAAACTTACGGAGACTGTTAAGGCCCGCGCAGTGCAGGTGGTCAACGTCATTCGTGAGCATCTCGCAAAGGTAGACAGTCAAGTCTCGATGACCTTCGATTCATGGACGTCAATCATCGGCGACCCTTTCTTCTCCATCACAGGCCACTATATCTGGAGCCCGGATGACAAACCCCAGCAATGGGAGTTACGCCGCGAGCAACTCAGTTTTGCGCACATCCAGGGCAATCATAGTGGTCAGAATACGGCTCGCTTGATTGTTGATACCATTGACAAATATGAACTACGAAATAAGGTAAAGTTTAGTCTACTACTTTGCTGTGCTGAATCTAATCAGTGTGTTGTAGGTCGGATGGATGACCTCTGACAATGCCACCAATAATGATACCACCATGAAAGCAGTTGGACAAGAAATCGATCCTGAGGGTACGCGGTGGGCACCTGATGCGCGCCGCATCAGGTGCCAAGAACATATACTTAATCTTGCAGCACGCCACTTCGTTGACGCTGTCGCCCCCACACCTCAAGCTGCTCTCATGAAGAAAATTTGACAAGCGCTTGATAATGGCAACGACGCTGACCTCGACACCTTAAATAAACAGCTTTCTTCCATGGACGTCAGTAACGACGACGACAACAACAACACCTTATTCGATACTGGCGATTCACTTGGCAAAGCTCTTGCCCTCATTGAGCAGGTACGTGCTATATTTTTTAGACTATTCTTTTGCTGATCGAGATCCTCAGATCCGAAAGTCCCCTCAAGCTCGCGCATTTTTCTGTAAGGCTTGCAAAGAGGAAAACATACCTGAACTTGAGTTGTTGCAATGGATCCGGACTCGCTGGGCGTCGCTATATAAATGCCTGGACCGCATGTTGCTCTTGCGTCAAGTGAGTTGTTTTTTCTTTCAATGTTTAAAAGTGGTCTGATTTTAATTAAATAGGCCATAAACCGTTTCACCAACCTTGCCGAATGAAAGCAACGAAGTGCCAACTCTTCACAACAAGACTTACGACAACTTCAAGCTCGATTGAAGTGATTGGAGACACCTCAGGCTTATTCACCAAGTCCTCAAGGAACCAGCCATGGCTCAGCAATCGTTCTCATCAGCAAAACATCCAACCGCATGGAAAACAATCCCTACACTAGAGTGCCTCACTGATCGATGGAGATCCATGGCAGATAACCCACAATATCTTCCGATCACTGATGCGATTGAGGCAGGACTCAAGAATGTCGACAAATACTTCAAGAAAACAAGTCAATCGGACGTTTATTTTATTTGTCTTGGTGAGTACTATCAATTTTTAAAACTCGTTCTTATCTAATATAATTTAAGTTCTTGATCCACATCAGGAAAAACCCCCTTTCTGTATTGGGGACAATTAGAGCCGATTGTATCAAACTTGGAAAATCCTTTGCCGTTTTCTCAAATGTGTGCCGAAAAGACCCAAATATCCGACAGTCCGAGCCAATGTGCGCAACGAAAAAAAGAATTCAAATGCATCAGTAAATTTTGAGATACAGAATGCCATATCATTATACTAATTTACGAATGCCATGCGCAGCAAGCAGCACTTCCAATAGATGAGCTTTTCTCGCCTCCTCGCACTGTTTGATTTCAGCGTCCCAACGATCTCCTACAAGTCGATAGATATAGTTTTGAGACACCGTCAGAGGGGCCGGAGTCTGACGGTAGGGGGGGACGGGAGTTTCAGGGATTTCGAGTGGGGGAGTTGCCAATATCCCCAACTCCGGAATTGGAATCCTGCGGGTCAGTGGTTTCTTAGACCTTGTACTTATAGTGAGTAACTGCCGACAATCAATGGACTCGGACTTACTTTTTGACGGGCGACTTCTTAATGGGTGAGTTCCCATCAACGCTAAACCCAAATGAAAGCGAGCGTGGGCTAAACAGTCATCAGCTTTACATCCGAGAAGCAATCATTACAGCATCCAAACAACCCACCGCTTCCCCGGTTTTAAATTCTCTTTGTCTGATTCCTGCAACAATGTAAGTCAAATTTTTTGTAGTACAGACATTAGCATCTGCGCACCATAATAATAAGACACAAGTTGATAGATAGCAGTGCACGATCAAAACAAGAACGAATCGATGACTCGGTGTTGTGAAATTTTCGTCCATCAATGTGACCAAGCCCGTGAGAATAAACCTGTCAGTCCCATCACGGTGCGTCTAAAACAAAGTTACATATGCATCTCTATCTGTAAAGGTATTAACGAAAAATGTGCTACACCTATCTAATACATTGCTTGTTGTCCATTCCCGAGGAGCCACAGGTCCAAACTTCGGCATCAAGTGGATAGAACGTCGGATATTGCGGACAGGCACGATGCTCGCCTGCCTCTCACCATCACGAAAAGCCCGCAAAACTTTATACATGCCATGGTTGGCCTGTGGTCTGTTGGCAAATGGCGTGAACCATTCGACATATGCGAGGTGATCAGGGACATTTAAGTTGCGAAACATTGCTATTTTTGCTTTCGCCAAAAGGGAAAACACAACCTGGACCTGTGCTACACAGTATCCTAATGGCGGGTTGACTTGTTAGTACAATTCCACTGAAAAACGGCCCATACCTACCTTCCACACCCAAAGGTCCACCATTACCCAAATTCACAAGTGCCGTGTCAAACCTAGCAGGCACGTTCCTATGGTGGCGGTCGTGTCTGGCTGGTCGAGCATGAATTGAGTCGACAGTAAGGTTGTTCGGTGTTCCGTCGTCATTGATGATGTTGTAATGGATTTTATGAAACACGGCCACAGATTGAAAAGGGAGTATCACATCCACGGCCATGTCCTCGAGCTGTCGTGCAGTCAGATCCGGCTCTGTGACCTGCACTACAAAATGTGTGAGGGCTGCACGGAAATGCACTGCACCATACTCGGCTGCAAGTGCCGAGAAAGTCACTCGTTTAGCAGAGGGGTGCTTTGCGACTTTGTATTGTCGGGAATACAGAAGATCAACGTGTGGTGGGGAATAACTGAACGATTGGTGCTGATTTGAGGAAGCTAAGGAACGACGCCACTGAATGAATTGATGGTGCCAAAGAATCTTTTCTCGTCGCTCGAGCCAAAGGGTCATCTGCATATACTCATCTTTGTGGTTTGTTGCGCGGTAGGCATCCTTTGCGAGGTCGATATGAAGCCGTTCGGTATACTTGGTATTGTAGTTGTTGGTCGTTCCAAAGTGTTGAATCATTGAAACATAGTGTCGAAAGGAGTGGAGCTTAGGCAAATTGAACGACGAACGGATACCAAGATCCACGAATATTGACTTGTTGTCATGAAAGCGATTGAGCGCATCGTCCAGAAGATCCAAGGTTCGTTGTGAGTGACAAGGATAGCGTGAAAGATACAGGAAGTCAAGCAGGCCTCTTACAGCACGGACCAGTCGGAGTGGTGATGCGCCATTTGGCAGGCCAATATCAATGATTATTCCCAGCAGGAACCGGCAAATTTGTTCGTGCTCCGTGCCACTAACTCGCGAGAGAATGGATATACCTTTCATGAAGACTCGCACATTGTGGTTAGGAGGCAAGCATTTGCATCACGCATCAATTTCTGCATCGCTGAATGCAGATTTGATCCATGAGATCAGGTGCTTGACGAGTCCTTGGTACAGTTGATGCAAGATGTCGGGAGTGATGGCGCGAAATATGTTACAATGCGGTAGGTCTTCCCAGAAAGGATGATAGAGGGGTTTGATTCCTGCACTGCGACAGGCCTTAGTAAACTCATAAGGGTCTTCATCGACAAGAGCGAGTGCATCAAGAATGTCACCCAGATCGCGGGTGTGAAAAGGCAAATCCTTACTGCCAAGTTCGTCCGATGGAATATCACACTTCGGACATTCACCAGTCTTGATGCCTGTGACAAGGAGCTGTTCGGGGTAATCTCCAATGTAACAGGCAACCAAAGGATGCCCACGCCGTAACGCACCATCTCCGCTCATGATTGCCATCCCATTGATACCTGGCTCTACCAGTGGCTCAACAACATGGCGCATGCAGGCATGGAATAGATTCGCGAGACTTCGGCGTCTCGCTGATTTGTTGGTAATATGTTCTAACTTGGTGGTGGGCAGATAGGCGAGGAGTATCTGAGCACTGTGAGAGGGACGTCGACGGATCTCCTTGGGCAAGTTTCCAATAGTCATGTACAAGGGGTAGGCAGCTTTATTCCGAAACATCGTTACTTGCGTTTTGTCAGATGACAACAAGATTGGTATAACGGTGGCGCCCGGTTTCTCTTTCTCAAGGTGCTTCTATTAATAAACTCCGAGTTAGCGGTAAGTAAACAAGGCTAACTTAGTCCGTTACCTGTGTATTCCACCACCATTTACCAGTATGTAGATCGTGGTATAGCCTTTGCATCTCGTCTTGATCTGTATAGTGCCGCTCTGGGACAAATACAAGGTAAGGTGCAAACTCTGGGTCTCCATAAAGCGCTTTGACACAGTCGATGATATCTCGACAGTACACATCAAAAGCTTCACCCGCCACCAAAATCTCCTTGCGCTGGAAGCAAGGCCGGCGTGCAGGTATCTTTGTATCAATTATTTTGTTTAGTTCGCGGGAGTTCTTGTATGACAACCCTAGCTTCTCGCACACCTGGCTACAGTGAGTATCCCTCTCGAACTAAATATCATTCCATAGTTATACTCACTCCTTCGATTTCGAGAAGGTCCGAGAACGATGTAGAACCAGGGCCTCATGTCTTGGCCCAGTGCGCAACCTCATAGTCGATTTGAGATGTAAAAGGTGCCCAAATTCCATCCTCCTCGCCAAAGGACACCTGCTGATGATAGTGATGGTAGCCACTCTGATGACATCCTTCATCTGGGTCCGAGTCTGAATCCTCCAAGTCCTGGGTAGCTCCTGCATTGCGAAGAGGGAACTTAACAATATGTGGTCGTTGAAATAGTGGGGCTTCTGCATCGTGCCGGTGAGCACGATTTAGATCAGTGCCGTGAGTGTCGGAAGATGTGTCTGTGATGTGCGTGCTATCTTCCTCCATAGGCAAATCCTGATCTTCGATGGTCTGCTCTGCAACAGGAGGCTCCCAGTCTCGTTCTTGCTCAGCTACAGCTCCTTCAGCCTCCATATCCTCTTCCTCTGATTCCAAACCATCACCTTCAGCGTCTTCTTCAGCATCATCCTCAGGCCATTCCAGGTCCTCGGCTGCAGTGTTAAAGTAGTCGCCCTCAAATATATTAGGAGGTGGGTTTTCGAAGTTGTCCAATTCATGCTCATAGACTGCGCCATCAGATCGGTGTTGTACTTCGGATACCTTTGCAGTTGTTGGACTCGGAGGATGTGACTCGAAATGTAGATTTGGTGCCGAAGGTACATAGTTTTGCATCTGCTCGTATATGATGATGCAAGCAGGATTCTTAGATTGAGCTAGGTGGCGAGAATAACCATTTTTAGTGAAGAGATGCTCACATCCATCGCAAGTAGGCATGATAGTAGATTGGCCTATGAAACTTTGGAACCGGATTGACTTGGTGAGTTTGTGTTAACGGCGTCTGCCGGATTTGTGACTTTTTTTTTTTTTGCAAATCGATTCAATCGATCAGTTCTCTTCCTCTACTCTACTGTGATGGCAAAAACCAAAGGACCCACTCCCAATGAGAAAGCTGCAGCCATGCGTGCAGCCAACTTGCAAAAAGCTGCAGCTCCGAGTCCTGCAACATCGGATGGCCGGCCTGTAAGACAGGCCAAATCTACTGCCTACAAGAATCAAGGTCCGTTGTTTGTTGTGCCTTGCAATCATTACTGTTGGTGTGCGCTGACCCACTTATTTAGTTTGGATGGCAGAAAAGAGTACTAATCGGAAACGTGCTGCATCCAACAATGCCAAATCAGAACACATCAAGATGCCTCGAATCGTGACATCTGACGCGAAGTCCAACACCAAGGTCGTGTCTGCGTCTGAACTGTTCGACTCAGACAACAACATTGCTGCATTAAGTGGCGACTCCGACGAGCATGGCACCGGTGACGACTCGGACGACAATTTAGATGTGTCCGATGATGATCTCAAATCCCTCAAGGCAGACAAAAAGAAACTGAAAGAAGTACTGGATCTTGAAGTAAGTTTTTCATTATGGTTGGAAGTGTCTGCTCTGCTGATTTCATCTCATGTCAAGCGACCTCAATTTGTAAATTGTGCACGGTCCAAGAGCACTGGCTCTGAATCGCGAGGTTCTCATCTTAGTAAGGGCACAAGTGACACTGATGATGACTCGGATGAGCCTCGCATGACTCATGCAGCTGTCTCCGATAGAGACGATGACATGAAGGCCACGCGAAAGACTCACTACCGCACACTGGCACCAGACAAGTCAAAAAAAACGATTAAACATAAGGTATTGTCCTATTCTTACTCTGTTTGCTTATTGTATGTACTAAGGTAGGTTGCAGAACACTTTGACCGAAGGAGTTCGAAGCAAACGCCAGGAGAAACGAGAGCAGGAGGGGAGTTCATGTTTTTTTGTTTCTTTTCAGACGGCGCTGACTGCTAGTTTCATGGTTGATAGAAACCGACTTGGCGGGATAGTACTGAAGACATGAGTGATACGCTTGTGACTGCCTCAAATCCAAAACTTGTGCGAATGCGCGAGGAGGATTGGCCTCTGAGCAGCTGGATTATTTATAGTACATCAGGCAAGGTTAACCTAACAGATCAGCAGGCCCATATGCAAGACATGCTGCGCGCTTCTATCACCCGCATCCTCGAGTACCTCGTGTTCGAAAATGCGTATCCTGACTTGGAGCATCGGCGGAAGATTACGGGGGACATTTTGCTCGCATGCACCGACGATCGACCTGAATTTGAGGCTGTCAGGTCACGATTGATGAAGGATGCAAAATATGTACGAGCCCTGGCTTCAGTGGTACGTCTTCGAACTGACACTTAATGCTTCACATTCTAACAACTTTTCATAAGCCTGAAGGTCGTATCAGCCATTTCCGGAACAATGTGCGAAAAGTGGCTCAAGCGCATGTAGCGAGTCACTACGGTCTCATCAAAGGCGCTGACACGAAGGTCGCTGACCTCTTGAAAAAAAATATGTTCATATATCCTGTCAACAGTAAGGTATGTGTGCTAATTGATTGATTCATACTATCAACTGATGTGTGTAGGACGAACCGATTCGAAGCAAGCCGTACCAGGCACCTGCCATCCTGGACACCATAGCGGAGGCCTTTTTTGTTGACAATGCGAGCGTCGGAGTTAAATTTCACGAGAAATTGGTGTCGACTGTCGAGGATCGTCTGGACGAGAGGGAGCTTCCAGTTGCTATGGTTGCTCTCGCAGGAACAGCGGTGAGTTCGATTTAGGACTCCCTGAGCGAGTTACTTATTGCTGTCTAGGTGCGCAGCGTCATCATGCAATATTCATCCGAAAAATACGACCGTGATTTTAATTGTGAATTATATAGCGGGATCTACAAAACACTCGTAGGTATCCTGAATGGTATCTTTGACACTAGTGAGCGCAAGTACCACGTACTGATGCATTCTGTCTATAAAACTGTCTAGTATGTGCTCGTTCGATTGATTTTCTCGTTATTTTACTGATCGTGTATTGCAGTGGCTCCAAGGCCAACGTGGTGTGCGATCTCGAGATGGACGAGGCATTGATGTTCCTTGACATTGATGCAATGCCAGAGTCGGAGGAGTAGTAGGTGATGAGCGCTAGTAGTAAAATTGACTAGGATTCACCTGAATTTGATTGTTTTTGCGATGTTTGAATTGGATCTATTGTCTAATTTACGCTTTGGTATTGGTAGTAATTAGGGTGAATTGTCTACAATTGGGAGGGGGACTAAAAAAATCAGTCATATCAATGGAACATATCGAATCCTCGACAATCCGCGAGAATTCGGTGATATTGTGTCAAATTAGGAATCACTGATTTCCCTGATGCAAACTATAAGCTTGCATACGTTGAAGGCTGGTGGGATTTTGGAGATGTTGCAGATGGCAGAGCTCGTCTGGAGGCCGTGGTGAGTACTCGTCTATGTTGTTTTCCTGCTCTAATCTTTTTTTTTTTTGTAGTTCGATGACTATTATACACCGCCGAGTTGAACACCTACTACCAATGAGCAATCCGCTCCGCCGACGAGAGCTGCCAGTGTACGCAAGCACTATGGCGACGATTGGATGCGCGAGGCTATTAGGACGCGTAAGACATCAGACCACCTTACTCACAATCCTCGTCAAGAGCTCAACATGTACTTGTCTTCGCCACTAGAGGAGACTGATGACATTGTGGCCTGGTGGGGGGTAAGTTTTCTTTTTGACTTGTTTTTTCGCTACTAAATCTACTTAATAGCTTCACTCGCTGCAATACCCTACACTCGCGCGCATCGCGCGAGACTATCTACCCATTCAAGGCAGCTCCGTTCCTTCCGAACAAGCATTCTCAAGCGGAGGAATCACTTCGACTATCCGACGCAATGCACTCGCGACTGACACGTTCACTGCACTACAACTACTGAAGGGAGCATATAGGAATGGGCATCTTTCTGCAGGAGTAGAGGCTGAGGGACATGCGGCTTCATTGGACATGTAACTACGAGTACAAATATCTTGCCTATGTTTTTTTTTCCTGGCTGTAATTTTTTTGCGTTCGGTTCGCGTTCAGACCGAGAAAAAACCGAACCTGACCGCTGCGAACCGTTCGCAAAGGTTCGGTCTAAGGTTCGTTGAAATAACTAGAACCGAACCTTGGTCCGGTTTTTGGTTCTCGTCCAACCACCTCTGTATTGAGAGTATAGCGAGACGGTCACGCGCAGCTAGACACAAAGGTATGAATATCTCAGTATTCGAGTTGAAACTCCGATTAACAAACGTTGTACCTAGACACAAAGGTACGAATCTAATATAACGTTAGACCTCGAGTCGAACATTACGAAAATACTAACTTACATCTCAGTATTCGAGTTGAAACTGAGATGTTTGGATGCGGGTACCTGGGCTTATAAGGTGAGTCTCCCAGGTACAGTCATTTACGCTAAGCTAAACTAAAAGATGGACAGCGCACGAGTTGGCCACGACACGTCGACCTCATTCTCCGTTTGGATGCGCTCGCACTTGGTGTCCTCTCCCTTGGCTCTACGCTTCGGCCGGTTGCTGCCTCTCCCTCTCGGCTCTCATCCTTTCGGCCTTGTCTCCTTCAGATTCGTCGGATCCCAACACTCCCCCTCGAGCGCTATCCAAACGCATCATCCCTCTCAGTCGTTGGAGTCTGGGTCGCGGTAGAGCCTTGGTGAATGCGTCGGCCACGTTGTCTTCGGTGGGGCAATAGAACAGCTTGAAGATGCCGTTCTTGACGTGTCCACGGACGAAGTGATATCGTAAGTCGATATGCTTTGTTCTCGATTGGGATTTGCTGTTGGAGGCTAACACAATGGCTGCTTGATTGTCGCAGTATATGGAGGTTGGGAGGCTTGGGGCTTCGTAGAGTTCGCCGATGAGGAGCTGTAGGAAGAGGAGCTCGCGCGCCACACTGGTAAGCGCGATATATTCAGCCTTTGCCGTCGATAACGCTATTAACGGCTGCTTCCTTGCACTCCAGGCTATGGGTGCACCGTTGAACATGACGACGTATCCCGACATCGAGTGTCTATGAGGCTGCGACGCCCAATCGGCGTCGACAAACGCCTCTAGGCCGGCATCTGTGGCTCCCAAGGTAAGTTCCATGCCGTCCGTTGCCTTTAAATAACGGAGAGCTCGTTTTGCAGCTTCCCAATGGGCTCTGCCGGGGTTCCTCATGAACTGCGACAACGTTGCGACTGTGAATGCAATGTCCGGTCGCGTACTGGTGGCAGCATACATCAAGGACCCAATGGCCCTTTGGTAAGGTACGTCACGCATATCCTGGATTTCGGCGTGGGTTGCAGGGCCTTGCTCTACTGACAGGGTTGTTGTAGCCTCCATTGGGGTCTGTACGCTCTTGGCGTCGCCCAAACGAAAACGTTCGACGATGGTCGCAACATATGCCTTCTGAGACAGCGTGATGGTACGTGCCACTCTATCCCTTGTTACCTTCAGACCTAACAACCACTTTAGCTCTCCCAGGTCCGATATCTCGAAATGCTTCTGGAGTTCGGACTTGAATCGCTGGATGTGGGCTACGTGGTTCGCTGTTACGGCCATGTCGTCCACGGACACTGTGATGACTGTATGCTCGTTGGAGGTACGTTTATAGTAAACAGCTTGATCGACTTTGGACCTGCTGAATCCCAACGTTAGGAACATGCCCGATAGTTCTTCGGCCCACTCAAATCCTGCCTGTTTCAGGCCAGGCAAACTCCTCCTCAATCTCAGCACCTTTCCACGCTGGTCCTCCTTCAAGTAGCCGGGCGGGGCACGCATATATATTTCCTCCTGGATGCTGGCATATAGGTAAGCACTTTTGATATCAACCTGGTGTATCTCCCAGTTTCGCTGAGCTGCCATTGCTAGGACCATCCGGATCGTTATCATGCTGGCGGTGGGGGCGAAGGTGTCGAAGTAGTCGACGCCGAGCTTCTGCCTCTGCCCATTAGCCACGAGTCGGGCCCGCAACTTCAGCTTCTCGCCGTCCGGTCCGCGTTTGGTGGCCAGGATGTAATGGCACGGTATGACGTTGGCGCCTCGAGGTGGGTCCACTACCTCCCACGTACCTAGCTTCTCCAACTGACTTATCTCATAGTCCACCGCCTCTTGCCATTCAGCGGCATCAGGACCATTTAGGGCCTGTTGGAGTGTGGGTTCCGGCACTGCGGCAGCCAAGGCAAGGTGAAGATAATTTTCTTCATCCATTAGGTCTACCTCTGACGCCTCTAACAGATTCTCCATCGTTAGGGCAGCCGTCTGACCCTCGTTTAGGGCCGCATAGTATCCGGGGGGTGGTCTTGCCCTCGTCGGCCTCATTGGAGGAGTAGATGGCTGAGGTTGCTCAGGAGTAGATGGCTGAGGTTGCTGAGGAGTAGATGGCTGAGGTTGCTGTGGCATGGTGATGGGCTGGACGCTATTAGGTGAGTTATTATTACTGTTGCCGCTATTATGTTCGTTAACAGCAGTAGACTCCCCCTCGTCCGGCATACCATCGGCTGCCAGGATCGGTGTGAAGGTGACATTCCTTTCCACCGTGACTCGACGCCTGCCGGGCCAATATACCCGGTATCCCTTACTCTCAGCGTCTACCCCCACGAAGACTGCCTCCTCTGCTCTCGCCTCTAGCTTGCCAGCCTCCAGGGCATGGACGAAAACCGTTGCCCCAAACTCGTGGGCTCGCGACAAGTCTGGTTTGGACTTGCGCACCATCTCGTAGGGCGTGCTACCTGGGATGGCTCTCGAAGGTAAGCGGTTCTTGAGCCATGTCGCATAACTAACGGCCTCGGCCCACAGATACTTTGGCATGTCTTTGCCCAGGAGCATCGCTCTCGCATGCTCGACCAGGGTGCGATTGAGTCATTCAGCGACACCATTCTGTTGCGGTGAGTCGTGCACTGTTAGTTGACGTTCGATGCCTTGCTGACGCAAGTATTGCTCAAACTCAGTGCTCAGATACTCCCCTCCTCTGTCCGAACGGACTTTGCGCACGCGCACACCTGGCGACTGCCGGGTCACCCATGCCTCGTAGGACTTGAACGCTGTAAGTGCGTCACTCTTTTGTTTGAGGAATTCCAGTCGTGTTTGGCGGCTGAAGTCGTCCGTAAAACTGACATAATATTTGCAGCCACCCAAACTCGTCGTCTGGGCCAGTCCCCAGAGGTCCGTATGGACTAGATCCCCATAGGTGAGTGCGCGCGTTTTCGTCTCTTTGGGAAAGGATTGCTGCACTGACTTAGCTTTCACGCAGGTATCGCAGAATTCGGCTTTAGATTCCGGGTCTAGGTCCACGCCCACTATCATCCCCTTCTTCACAGCGTCCGCCAATGCGTTTTGGCCAACGTGGCCCAGCCTACGATGTAGCTGGCCAAGGGTAAGCTTTTCTTTTGCTACGTTTGCGTGGTGACCCTGACGCGCTTTTGTCATCACGCTGTATAGTCCCTCGACCTGTGGGATTTCGGCTATGACCTTTCGTTTAGGGCCGTGCGACAAAATTTTGCACATCTTCCCTTCAAATAGCACGGCCAGGCCAGCGGACGCAATTCGGTTCGTTGATATCCAGGCTATAATGTCATATTGATGCATCACAGCAGGCTAAGTAGCCTGGTTTTGTGATGCATCAAGCTTGCTCAATGTGTGATGCATTATTAATGCATCAGGGATCTGACAGTGATGCATCATCCATCCAGTACATATTTGGGCTGTGCCGTCCATATTTGGCACACATCTGTCCATATCGAGCGGGTTGTCCCGCTCCCGGTTGGACCTTGCTTACGTACTCCTTGCTTCTCACTTCCTCCTGGTAGTACCTTGCTTACATACTTGTGTCCGGCTACTCATTTTTCACTTTAGTAGGCCTCTTACTATTCCAGGTGTCCTTTTTGCTTACATACTTTAATACTTTGGCATCTGCGTACTCAGTATCGACTTAGTTAGCCTCTTACTGTTTCGAGTAGCCCTTCGGGCTTAGTAATATTAGGACAATGGGATCAATGACGCAATCTTCGAGTTTTGAATTCACCAAGTCCCTCGCTGACGCAATCTTTCAGTTTTGAATTCACCAAGTCCATTCCACCACTATTTTTCATCTTATGCATCTCACATTTATATTTTTGTACATAGTTAAGACAATTTTCTGATTATGCACGGAGTCAAATTGTTTTTTTGAGGTCAAAACAATGAATTGAATTGTCGGTGTGATACAATATTTGATACGGTGCAGTACAAGAATATACACTACTACACCAGTCAATCAAGCAGTGTGCGATTATAATACCAAAATATAGAATGACATTGACAAAACTCTCCCAACTTTCAAGAGTGTCGAGCCCTTCTGTAGTGTTTATTAGTATGATTACCCTTTGCACTGTGATAGAATTGACGTACTTCCGTGAGTCTGCGGGACAAGCACGACGTGTTGGAACTCCAATGTCATTATCACGCTCTCGTGGGTTGAAGGGCACATTGTTGCGTGTGCGGAGACGAGGCACATGCGCTGCTGGAGGGTCCGGCAATGTAGATCGGCCCATAGATAGTGTAGGAGCCGGAGATCTCTCAACACGTCGTCTACGCACTCCACAATGAGAACGGACCTCTGGCTGGTCAAGGAGTGGATCATTGTCCTGTTCTTCCTCACTATTTGCAGATTGAACAGCCGGAAGAAGTACCTCCACCTGTGGATTCGGAGGTAAATATGGACTATCACGGTTGTCTGGAGATGTCAGGTTGGCGAGAGACAAGTCAGATATCGTACCCCGAGCATTATCGAGGGCACCAGGATCGAAATTAGGATTGTCGACAATATTGGTGAAGGCGTGGGGATCGAAGGCAGAAAAATTGATGGTGCCCGCTATGATCGGGTCAAAAGCGGCAGAGGTGCCCCATGCAGTATGCAAGTTGCTCTATGTGTGCAATGAAACACATTCTGCTGCATATTGATAAGCTATTACTCACTATGTTATCCCCAAGAATTTCTTCAGGTTGCGGAGTCATTTGATACAGGCCGCTTGTATCAAAGGATGGGACATCCTTGATGACTCGACTCGTACCCTCCTCGACACTCTTTTCCCGCTCATTGTTACAATCTTCATCGCTGTCCCAGTTTGACGACGACTCGTCGTCTTCATCCATTGCTGACTCATCATGTGGTAGGGTAGACTCGAATGCTGATTGGGGGAAAGGCTAAGTCTGGTGTCTCTGTATTTAGAAAATTCAAACATACCAAGAGTGTTTTGCACAAACGCTAGGAAGGCAGCCTGCATTCCATCGAAGTCTTTGTATACATGATTGAACTGGGCGCCGCTTTGAAGTTCGCCAACGTGGTAGCTTAATTAACAATGAGTACGCCTGAATTCCTCGTGTTTGCAAATGTTGCTCACTTGAACACTGACGTTTCACCCGTCCCAGGATCACGACCCCCCATGAGAACGGTAAATTTCCATCCACCTGTAATATGCGCAAGATACTTCAGGATGCGGTCGAGCATTGGACCAAGCTGCTGGATAGCTCTACCCAGAAGATCCAAGTCAGTGATGCTGAGATACAATCGAATAACAGTACGTACTTCACTTTTGTGGCATCATCAATTTTTAATGCCTTCCCAGACTTCAGCTGCTGGCGCTTTTTTGCAAACTTTGCTTTTGCCTTGCGATATTTCCTATTGATATCCGCTTTGACAGACTCACTTTCCTCCAAGTACATTCGCCGTGTAATCTCACGTCGTTTGTTCAGCTTCGGACCTTTATTGGTGATATTTTCTGCTGCGATTGCATCATCTGCAGTGTGCTTAACCTTCGCTCCATAGAATTCGTGTGAGTAAATATCGATTTTTTGTGGTGCTCGTGTCCCTTTGAGTTCCACGCCCCCACCTAAGATGGTATCGAACTTCAGGACACCCCTGGCGCCTTTGGAGCGAGCATGACGTGCAGGGTTCATCTGCCACCTATACCAAGTGACCAATTGCTGTCAAATTAATCAGTACATGTTTTATTCGATTTTTGCGCATGTGTCTTACTTGCTGACGTGTCGCAACTGCGGTCGCCAGAGCCTTGATGCCATCCGGGGTGCGAACATAATCGTCTGGCATGTCTTTGAAGATAACGTGTTCCTCAGGCCACCTTTCAAACCATAAAGCCCAGATGCGCGTGAAAAAATCGTCATAGTCCTTGGTCGCGGCAGTCTCGCGGTATTCAGACATGAAGCTGAGGAGAAACTCCTCTTGTTCTGGAGTAGCCCATTTCTTACCCGCCATCTGAAACAAGCTGTAGCAGGGTGAGTTTCCCAAAATGAAAGAAATGCTTGCCAGCGCACTTTCACGGGTACAGCGGTCAATCTTGGGTAGGCCACGAGAGACAAGATTCAAGCACGGTGATCTTCAACTTCTTCAGACCGGTTCCTATTGATAATATACGTGCCTAGGATTTCACCAATTCGTCTGATTTATGCGCGCAAGGCAAGTTCTCAATATCTACGCTACATTACACATATGATGACACCTGCATCCCGCATACACAGAATACTACCTCGTCTAGCTCAGCCACCTTCTCGACTTCTTCACAGGAAAGTACTCCTTCATCGTCACACGTGTCTCCTGGTACAACATGTTCATGAGTATAAAAGTCTGGATGCGCTTCTCCTACAGTCAATACATACCCCCTTCAGATGAAATGAGTAACGACGTACTCGACGACGGCACCTAGTGGCTTCAACGAGCAATTCCTGCTGCAGGCCAGACAATGCTTGGTCGTGCGGTATCTCCACAAACTGCACAGCACGTTCAGGCCAAGTTGCGAACCACTGGGAGTAAACACTCTCCCAGAATTCTTCCTGCTCTTCTACTGACCCTGAACGAACAATTTTAAAAGCAGGCAAAAATGTTTTAAGCATGTCGCGTTGGGCACGCGTGAGGACTGCCATCTGCGACATGGACATAGCGAGAAGAAAGCAACAAGCTCTGGGATACCGCTGTGAATCACAGAGCCGAGCCTGGACATGTCTTCGCAAATAGATCTGCATATAGCCACACCACACTTCAAACTGTCGCCGCTAATTGTATTCTGGAGGTTTCACAAACAAAGATAGAAGTTCTGACTCTACAGGGCAGGTACTAACTAAGCGCTAGTGGGAAATTTGTACTCCTGGTACCATAATTCGTTTCCCGTGAAAGCAATCGCTAGTTCGCTGTCGCCGCCATCCGCCAGATGCAACAAGATGTCTTCAACCATCCCTATCATCTCCCTCATGAACCTGCAGACACTATCTGCAGCGCGCCACTCATCACTCACGCCACACATCTGAAGAATACCATCAAGCCCACGGTTGGCTCGGTGGAGAAATTCTTCCAGGTTTGTGATAGCGCGTTCAAATACAGACTTATCTCCATTCTCGGTAGGGTATAACTCAGGGTCGGGCATTGTCTTGGAGTACTCATCGACGAGGAGGTCGAAGAATCTTCGTGGAACTTTCACATAGGCCATGAAGTCGTCCTTGGCGTACTTAACTACGGCAATGCACTCCTGTAAGGTTTCGCTGGTGCAAACGTCAGATGCCTTAATACAAGTAAGTCTATACAGTACGCACATTGGTTCATCTTCATCGTCTGAAGGTTCATTGTCTTGACAGGATTTTTTTGCTTTGCGTGACTCACGCCGCTTGGCCAGTATAGCGTCTCGAAACCTGGGGAGTCTTTTGGTCAACTAGAGTCCTTAGATACTGTCGTTTGATCACTTACTTTTGATAATGGCGACGACACTTTTCTCTTGCAGCTTGCACTCTCTCCTGATGAGTTTTGTACAATGTTGGGCGCACCATAGTGAGAACGGAATGACTGCAAAAGTAATGTTGTGTTGTGAGGAGCAAAAGAATGAAGAAAAAAAATAGACCCCTACAGTATTTGGACCCAAACAATGAGTCTTCGATTGGTGAAGGAAGCGGAAGCACTTATGCAGACGGTCGGACCATAAAACATAATGGTAAGATGGTAAGTCCGAGAGAGACTTGGAATCTCAGATGGAATGGTCTGAAGATACCTAGGAGTAGTATATACATCATCCCAGTGTTTTTTTGGGGGTAAATACCATTGTAGACTTACCTAGCGTTAAATGGGATCCATGAGGACCCCTAGATTTGAGTTGTCACTGAGCATGTGTTAGCATTCATTAGCATCCATGTGAGCGAGTGATGCCATCTAGTGCTGGTTGGATGCAGAACTGAGTGCATAGTGACTCATATGCAGGTCAACACGTCAGTATATATTGTTCTATAAATCACGGTGATCCTTAGCTGCGAAATATAGAGAATAAATTCGACTATAGCTTGTGAGTTACAATTGCAAACTGCATGGTTGGACCGATATAGTTGGTCGGACCATAATTAATTGGACAATATGAGTACATCAATGAATATCTAACCGTGTAACTAAATATTCCAACGAAACAGCCAAATACCTTGTGTAGAATATTGTGGTCCTCCTTGACCAACATTCATTCAAGTGAACGAGAAACAGCGAAATAATATCATATGCAGTAGGGCCATAGTAGGACCATAATCCATAATTAGTAAGATGTGCGCTCGACTATTATGGAAATTACACACCGCAAACGAGACGACATAAAGAACGGGGAAAGACTCAACAAAGTCATACAGTGCAATTGAGTTGCTGAAAAGGAAATGTGGTGTCAGTCATAAGCGTGAAACGTAGTAGTCTTGCTGCAAAAGGTGGAGTTGCGCTGGCGAGAAGCTCGCATGCTCGACTATTATGTAAATTACACACCAAACTTGACCAAACAACGGCAATTCTGCCGTTGTTTGCGGCAAGTCAGTTTGGTGTGTAATTTACATAATAGTCGAGCATGCGAGCTTCTCGCCAGCGCAACTCCACCTTTTGCAGCAAGACTACTACGTTTCACGCTTATGACTGACACCACATTTCCTTTTCAGCAACTCAATTGCACTGTATGACTTTGTTGAGTCTTTCCCCGTTCTTTATGTCGTCTCGTTTGCGGTGTGTAATTCTCTTTAGTTCCTATTACACTAACGATCATGTCATTCAAGATACCATTCTTCATTGAAAGTGTGCACAGCTCGTCTTATGTCTATGTCAATCACGCAGTCTCCACAGCGGCACCAGACGTCAGCACCGTCCACAAACACAGCTTACATTACCAGGCTGTAGTGCGATCGATAGCGGATGAGTCTCTTCTTCATTGTTACAAGGGCGTCTATTACAATATGCCAGGTGGGCTGAAACCTGTACTTCGAATGTTGCTAAATGTCACTAACACTATTTTAGCCGAAGTCAAAGATGGGCAGTCGCTCTTCTATGTTGTTCGTGGTTCCTACATTGGCGTCATGGCAGGCTGGTTTGTACTTTTTTATTTGCAGATATTGTTTTATACTTATTAGCACAACTAGGGAGAACGCATTGAACTGTGTTCTGGGTGTCAACGAACCTGCTTATCATGAAGTAGAATCTGTCGTGATTGGGGAGCAGCGGGTTAGGGAGGCAATTGATCAGGGCATAGTCGAGATGGTGGAACCTTGGGGATTCTCTTATGTTGTGTAGTTGTTCTGTACAGTTTTGTTGTCGTTGTCAGCCTAATTTGCATCTTGATTGTTCAAAACCTCTATCTCGACATCGTCGAGCATAGTGCCAAAGTTTCTCTCTAAGTGGACGCCGCAGGCTCATGAACATTGTATTACCTTGTGTTAATTCCCACAGCCTCAGATTGAAGCCAACCTCGGTTGGAATGCCGGCCAATACTAGCCTTGTCAACAATAAATCATCGGGTCCTTCCTCTCATACCATTCGCATGCCAGGCCGAAAGCGAGCTCGACTAAACCACTATACGCCACCCAACCAGCATTCCCGAGCACCAATTCACCCATCTGTCACGTTTTCCTCTCGCCGAGACGGTATTCTAGAGGTCTCTACACAGCAAATCCGGGGATCTGTGTCCACATCGCCATCTTATGAACCTGACAGCCAATCTGCTGTTCCAGGAGAGGATTTCTCTGATTTTTGCCATGATAGCCTGGAATCAGATATATTTGTACTATCAGATGAGAATCCACTGAGGCGCAAGCGAACAGCTGCGGTATGTTTAATTTGGTGATAACTATGTGTTTCCATTAAACAAGACATTAGGACAACCCCCTTCTGATATGGATGGACGAGCGTGATCTTTTTCTAGCAGAACTGCTGCGGCACGAGGGACGCGGAGATCACATTTCTGATGCATGTCCCGGATGTCCATGTCTGAAATCTACTCCTCCTCGATATCGGTGTCAAGACTGTCTAGATTCACAATTATACTGTGGTCTCTGTATCGTCCAGAACCACTTACGGTTGCCTACCCATCGTATAGAGGTCAATTTAATTTCTCAATCGTGAAAGCCCTGATCACTCATTAACTTCCTAGGAATGGAATGGTCAATTTTTTGAGCGTCTTTCATTGAAAGCCATGGGTCTTCGCATACAACTGGGTCATGCAATCGGCGAATCCTGTATTCTTCCAAGGAGAGCATTTAACGATGATTTTGTTCTCATTGACGCAAATGGCATACATGAGATTGGGCTGGACTTCTGTGGCTCCATGACCTCTCAGACACATACCAAGCAACTACTACGTGCTGGCTGGTTTCCGTCGACTTCTACTAATCCACGAACGGCTGCTACATTTCGCGTTCTTCATCACTATCATATCTTGTCCTTCGAGTCAAAGGCCTCTGCTTACGAATTTTATCATTCGCTGGTTCGTTTAACGGACAACACAGGCTTGATCAGACGAAAGGTAATGTTTAATCTTACTGTACTTGAATTTTTCAGTTCACACTGTCGATTCAGGATCGTTATGAATCTTTCATGCGCATGGTCCGTGAATGGCGTCACTTGGTGATGTTAAAACGCTCAGGGCGTGGCCATGATCCAAGTGGCGTGGCGGGTACTTCAGAGGGTTGTCGATGCTGAGAGTCCGAGTCAGGCTGCCAATCTGAGCCGAAATTCAACATATCTGAGTCTGGATGACGATGTCTTGCGAGTAGTAGGAGTGTGGTCACGATACAGGTAGCGTAAATTCGAGTCGAACACGGCCGCGGCGGGTACAAGAGGGCCCCACTGATCAAACCCATGCCGGCTGCGATAACAGATCTATTAGACAGTGTCACGGTTAATTGGATAATGAGTGCGACTTACTCTTCGATTTGTCGCAAGATTTTCTGGCCTCGGTAGGCAGACGTGTCCGACTGGAAGGAAAAACACGTATTCCTGCTTTCAGATGCGTACAAGTTGGGCAATCTACGTTAATTCCCGCTGTCATGAGGCCAATTAAGGTTTGGGGTGGTACTCATGTCGTCGATATATGGAGTTCAATTGAATTGTACCTAGCCTCATGTTACACACATGAAATTCGAACCATTGTCCAGATTAGTCGTGCCAGCCAACTTCGGAAACGTCAGCCGCTGCAACCCTGGGCCGATTTACGCCATAATGACTCAGTAGTACTAGCCCAGTCTAACGTCAGATGCTGGCAGTACTATAGTACTATGATCCCAGGCGTCGGTAATCTAACATAGTCAAAACCATGTCCCATCAAAGTAATCTGGTAGCCAACAACTATCGATGAAGTACATGTGTAACCTATTGCAACAAAAGTTCGAAGTGAATGTTGTAGATCTGATAACGATACTGTCACAGGGACAAACAGAAGGAAAGAATAACAACTGGGACCTCATGCCCCACATCACAATCAGTAAAGCTACAGGGGAAACTTTGTCTCCGAACTATTCCTATCGCATTGCATATGTTGAGACAATGAATCTAGTACATGGTCAGCGCAAAGCCAGGCGAAAGTCATTTATACTGAGTACTTTAGCTGTTACACGGTGATGAAATTGCTGCAGTTCTTAATGTCTCACCCCTGGATCGGTCTTCTTCCGAGTGCGTGAGAGCGATGCCAGAGTCGTCAGATTCATCTGAGTCTGTGGCTTTATGATCATCAGCAGCGACATTGCTTGTAGGTAAATGAGCACACTTACATGTATTCTCGAGGTAATCCAACTGTGTGTCTCCAACAGCGAATGATGTTACATCATGGCTGTATGCAGCGACACCGAAGTCTATCCAATCTTTAAGTTCCTCCTCACTACAGCTAACGAGCCCTTCAACTGACGTGCCAAAAGGCTCACTGCCAGCACTGGCATATCTTTCACCTTGATCTTCAAGAACCATGTGAAGGAACTTCAAGTGTTCTTCACTCGCATAGATTTCCCAAGCCGTTGCCAGACAACACACGCGCCTCCATTCAACGTCAGCATGCATCGTAACGACAGCTTGAGCTGCAGCTTCTGAAGACAAGTTCTTCAAACGGCGCCAGAGCACATCTTTGGTCTGGTATGTTTTTCTCAATGAGCAATCTGTCCAATTTATATACAAAATAACATACCCGCTGAGCATCTGATACACTCAATGAGCCACGGTGAGATAACTGGTTATTAAAAAAGCGGCGATCCTGTGTGTTGGAGCTATCCTTTATGCGAAGCGTTGGGCTTAACTTTGCACGCTTGACAAAACGAGCAAGATCGTTGATTATGGGTGGAGGAGTTATAGGTCTAAGAATGCCGTCGTCGGTTTCGTCAGATGATGGCGACCTGGCACGTTTGGCTTGTGAGATATGTCGACTGCGAGTCTTACCAATCGTCCGAACAAGAGCTGGAGAAGGCTCGAGTATGCCCAAAGGAGGATCAGTCTCGCATTGACTAGGCTCATCTTTGTACTCGCATTCCTGACTCGACCCTCTGGTCAAGCTTGGAGAAACATGAAAGGGCATTCTTACTGTGGGCTGGTGAGTAAGTGGGAGGGAACTGGGTTCCGAAGGGTTGAACATGGTTGCTTATGAGTACGTGTACGTATAACACTTGTTATTATTAGCATTTCCATATTGATTCTATGTCGTATAAGGAAAAATGATAAGGAATTTGAAATTGGAAACAAAACTCCGGAAACATGTGTACAATGCTGAGTGCTACGGCGACGATTCGAGTTCTCAGATGCACTTACCGAGCTGAAGCTTGTATTTGGCAACATACCCATTGTAATCCATGCGGCTTTTACAAGCTTTCTGGATCCTGCTGGTTTTTTCGATGGTGTCTTGTGGAGCTCGAGGTTGTTCTTGGCAGAAGGCAACAGACAATCGAGGACTGAATAGACATCGAGTGACTTGCAGTTTTTTCAAAAGGTCTAGCATTCTTGCGAGACAGAAAAGACTAGAGCTCGCGAGAGGTTCGACTTTGTCTAACTTAGTTGCAAACATGTCAACGAAGGCCCTATCACAAGTGAGTTGGTTGGCTTCTTGGTCAGAGCAGGACTTAGTAAACTTGTCGCTAGGGAACCTTACCACTGAGGCCTTCCAGTGGGCATGTAAAGGCCCATCCAAGACCGATTGCCTCTTGTAAACCCTTAGAAGCCAGGCCGAGTTCTAGCATGACTCATACTATGTCATTCGATGTCATCCCCTCTGGCAGTCCCACAGCGTCCGAGTCGCAGCACCATTTCAACGACTCAAACTCAGAAAGGGGGCAAACTGATGTTGACATGACATTAATGGACAATACCCTTCATTCTGGAAATCGATCTGACCGTGGTGAGATCTTACGTCCATATATTTATGGAGCAGCCGGATCTGATGTCTGCTGATCCCTCTATGGTTTCAGAGGATTCTAATGTTCCTCAGAGACGTATTCCAAGGTTTTTCAATGATATTGAACATTCAGCTGAGGACCTCAATGACTGCGATAATACACCACCAGCCCCACCCCAGTCCAGGATCCGACGTGTCCTTCTAACGCTAAGAGATACTCTTCAAACCGCTTTCAACTCTGTTGGGATTTGTCGTCTATACCCGCGGCGTCCGTCCTTTGAACCAAATAGATTCATCCCGTCTTCATTGCTTGCCAAAACGTGTCCAAGGGTCGTTCAAGGAACCGATTCCCCGGCAAGGATATTTTCGCCACCCTACCCCTTTCCAAACATGACCGTTTATCGGCTCATGTCTTGGATGAATTCTGGTAGTCACCAGAAATCGGAAACCGAGATCCAGCGACTCGTCCGAGATGTTCTACAAGCGGATGATTTCGACATTAAGCATCTTGAGGGTTTTTCGGTGAAGAAGAGCCTGCAAGATTTAGATAAAGATGAGGGCAAGGAGAAAGTCAGCTTCCCAGATGACTGGATCGAGACCGACGTGACTATTGGCATACCTACGAAATCAAGAGAGGAAGGACCAAAGGCGTATAGTATTTCCGGATTTCATTATCGCCCTCTTGTTGAAGTGATCCGCGCGGCATTTGCAGATATGCAAGCTGGCGCATTCCATCTGTTGCCTTTTAAACGGCTATGGAAGGATCCATTGGATGCCCATCAGGAGCGAATATTCGACGAGCTCTATACTTCTGATGCCTGGCTGGAAGCTCAGGACAATCTCCAGAAGCTGCCAAAGGAGCCTGGCTGTACATTGGAACGCGTAATCGCGGGTCTCATGTTTTTTTCTGATGCCACTCACCTAGCCAACTTTGGGACTGCTAAGGCATGGCCACTTTACCTGTATTTCGGAAATCTGACAAAGTACGCGCGAACATTGCCTCAATCGGGAGCATGCCATTTGGTAGGATTTTTACCTTCAGTGAGTCATCCTGTTTGGGTTCTTGTCTATTACCATTGACACGAAATGTCCTTGTCAGATTCCCGACAGCATTAAAGATATATTGAGCAAGCTACCTGGTATATCGAAGACTGGGATAGCCTCACTTCAAGCACACTGCCGTAGGGAGCTATTTCATGGGTGCTGGGAAATTTTGCTCGATGAAGAATTTCTTCGAGCGTATCGCCACGGTATCATTCTGACTTGCCCGGATGGAGTACTGCGAAGAATATTTCCGAGAATCTTTACATATTCAGCTGATTATCCAGAGAAGTACACCGTCCTTTACCTGAATTAAAACTTTCAGATTATTCATGACTGATTTTCAGGGTTTTAATCGCAACCATCAAGGATATGGGCTTGTGCGCATGTCCTCGCTGTTTCACGCCTAAAAGTATGTTTGGTTCGCTTGGTTTACTAAAGGACATGAAAAGTCGTATAGCCACGCTCCGAGTGTATGCTATGGCGAAAGTCGAAAAGGCGCGCGAGTTCATCTACAAGTGGGGAAACACTGTAGATGGTTCAAAGGTCGAAAACACTCTTGGAGACGGCTCGTGGGTACCTACTATTGTAAGCGCGAACAGTTCCTTGCAAATTGCGATTAGCTGAGGTAGACTACTCCTAGAATCAATTTGTAAAGAAGCTTGGACCGCTTGGTCTCGACACATTCCGGATGCTTGTTGTTGACTTGATGCACGAGTGCGAATTAGGCACTTGGAAAGCTCTGTTTACGCACCTCATCAGACTTCTTTATGCTCTTCCTGGGGGCAGCCAGCTAGTTGCTACTCTTGACAACAGGTATGCGAAGTTCGCATATAGAGTGCTGTCATCTACTAACGAGTTGTCGGCTCTCAATCTTACCATAGATTTCGCCAGGTCCCGACATTTGGTAATGGTGTAATTCGAAGATTTGCGAATAACACCTCCGAGATGAAAAGATTAGCAGCGCGTGACTTCGAAGATATCCTACAGGTTTTTTTTTCTGTTATTCATTGTCTTATGCTCGCTGACATCTTTGCTCGGCAGTGTTCTATCCCGGTTTTCGAAGGGCTGTTCCCAAAAGACCACGATGCAATCATACAGTCTCTGTTGTATCGATTTGCACAGTGGCATGCGCTCGCTAAGCTTAGAATTCACTCAGAATCTACACTTACTCTTCTCGAAGATACATTGAAGAAGCTTTGTCAGAGGTTACGGAAGTTTCAACGGGACACCTGCGCTGTCTTTAACACTGTCGAGTTACCGAAAGAGAAATTGGCTCGCCAACGAAGACTCGCTCAGTGCTCGGAATCCAATACCACCTCTGAATCGAGTGGACCGCGGGTAAAGAAACTCAATCTCGGTACTTACAAGTTTCATGCGATGGGCGATTATGTGAGAATGATCAAGCTCTTCGGAACAACGGATTCTTTCACCACTCAAATGGTATGCGCCTGTTTTATTTCTACGATGCAACTGACATTATATTTGGCCAGGGAGAGCTCGCGCACAGAGCCCTAAAGGCATTTTATCCGCTAACCAGTAAATTAGATACACCAGCACAGTTAGCTAAGCATGAGCGTAGGCGCCGTGTACTTCGACGCGTGGCAGAATCCGGAGGCATATCATCTTCTGATAGTCAATCGCCCGCTGATGTCCCCCCTTTTGCCCCCTTGCAAAAGCATCACCATATCGCTACAAATCAAAACAATCCGGTCAATATATTCCCGTTCCTTCGAGAACACAGTGGCGATCCGGCAGTCAAGGTATGCATGATATTGCAGTTGGAATGCTTTGTTCACAATGGATGTCAGAATTTTGTACCAAGACTGAAGGACCATATCCTCTACAGGCTGCGCAAGCTCGACATCAGTTATTGCGACCACAGCTTCACGGACGAGGAACATAACTCAGTCATCATTCCAAACAATACCCTCTACTCAACCCAGACCATGCAGGTATGTATATATGTGCGCGTGTATTTGTTTTTTTAATCCTTGCTTTTTCGCAGGTATATTATAGTACATATGACCTCAGGCGCGAGTACGATACCATTAACCCTAGGACACATGCTGATGTCATGGTACTTTCGGGGGAGATGACGCCTACTCACCCATACTGGTATGCTCGTACACTAGGTATATATCATATGGAAGTCTGGATCAACAAGGGAGAACGACCTGTCAAGCACCACCTCGAGGTTCTCTGGGTCAGATGGCTGGCACCATTGCGGAGCCATAAATGGAGCATGAAATGTACCTGTCTCCCGAAGATTGCGTTCGTTGAGGCATCAGACCCTGACTCGTTCGGGTTCCTCGATCCAAGCCAAGTTATTCGAGGAGTCCACTTGATCCCTGCTTTTGCTGCAGGACGAGGTATAAGCTCCCTTCCTCTTGGCAAATCATTGGGGCGTCCTGACGGGGAACTTGATGATTGGGAAGCATACTATGTTGGGATGTGAGTGCGAATATTACCTCCTATGATGGCAGATTAACATTAAGCCTCGGAATTTTGGTCAGATTCGTTGACCGGGATATGTTCATGCGATATACTCCCTTCGGTATTGGACATCCTCTAGCACTACAGAAGATAACTAGAGACTGCCTTGGCCCACTGGCAGCACCAGCGGCTGGCTCGGACGCTATGGATACTACTATCGTCGATGATGTAGGCCATGAAGATGGAGTTAGCGATGGTGAAGATGGTGAAGAGTGCAACGACGAACGGGAGGAGGATCCCGATGATGAGCTTAGTGACGACTGGGAGGAGCTGGAAAGTGAAGATGGTGAAGATAGAGATGGCGATGAGGACACGTTTGACGATCTTTCTTTTTAGAATTCATAATCATTTGTATTTCACGACGGCAGCCGCTGTAACGCTACTGCCGCCTAATGTACTTTGTTTCCCCGCTTTATCAACCATGATATACTGACCGTGAGTTTTTTGGACCCGCTGGGTACCAGTTTGGACCATCGGCCAAATCAGTGCTAAACTGTTAATTTGTTATTACGTTAGCCGTACTTACCATTTAGTGTTGACGAGACATATCCAGCGTAGTACGCCTATAATGGAAAGGGTCAATATTGAACGTCAACGCTCTGATAGGCCTTCGCATGGAGTTACGTTTGCCGACATTCGATTAAATACAGCAGGACCCGCCAGTGGATCATGAAGTCAAGTAGGCTACCCTTCCCTTACCTTCTTCTCTATTTCTTCCCCCTCGTTCATATTCCAGATGGAGGATAACCCGCATCCTGGAGCATTGTCCCAGGCGGACTCGGACACCCCGCGACATGCTGCAGTATCCAAATCACCCGTAGCGGTGGTATCAATGTCTGAGAATGCTCGACGGAAACGCAAGATTGTCAACTTGGAGGGCTGCGAGAACCTCGAGTCGGTGAAAAGGTATGGGCACCAGTTAAATTTAGTAGTAGTAGTTTACTATGCTTACCATTGCCAGGGAAAAAAACTCACAAGGACGGGCTATCATCAGACGGATGATTGACTTACTCGATAATGTCGAGGAATTGATGAGCGAGAACGACCGCGATGACTTCAAGGACAACGATCATAACCTTGATTTAACTCTCATCCTCGGGTCAGTGTTTCAAGTCCGTCCAGTGAGAGTGGCTATTCATGGTGTTTCCAAAGTCGGGATCGCGTGCGCGTCGGATACGTGACGCTTAAAAAGACTTCAGATAATAATAATATGCAGCACGACGATTACTTGCATATGCCAAAAAAGGTGCGCTTCGCCAGTGTCAGTAGTAGCTGGTCTTGCATTGAACTGTTGTCCAGCTTAGTATGCAGCTGCAGGGGTTTGATGGTGCTCCAGAAGACATCGATGATGATCGGACCACTCAACTCATGGAACAAGCCCAGCGGCAGCTGCGGGACTCGCAGAACCGAATCGACACCCTTCATACGCAACTATTTGATTTGCGAAGCAGGTTGTATGAGGTCGAACACGCGCATAACATGGCAGAAATACAGCGCCTGGATACGTTGCAGACTCAAAGAAGAGGATCGCGCGATCATCGCCGTACTATGAAGCTGCATTCCCCACCTCCGAAAAGGAAGTCTATGGTCCACGAATATTACTCAGATGGTGGGCAGTCGATTAGGTGGCTCACAGACGAAGAGTTTGAGCCGTATGATGAACTGTCTGCTAATGAAGAAAGCTCACCTGTTGTCAAGGCCGTTGGAGGGCCATTGTCATGTGGATTGGCGGATAGGCGACGCATGTCTTTATCTCGCCGTTGGGCTTTGCGTCGTTTCCAAAAAGTCAGGGATGCTGCCGACTTGAATGACTCGGACGGGCCTGTCAGTGCGGCTGGCTCTGCAGAGATCTGAAGGAGATACTGTTAGTTTGGCTCTCCCTATAATATATATATATTTTAATTCACTCGACTATGCGAGTCTTGCTTCATACTACTAGTACATAACAACGTCCGGGTCGTTATTGTTACCTACTACTACTATGCATCCAGTGTTTTGGTCCAAAAATAGCATATGCGGAATCTGTGCGGCGCTCTATTTCAATTAACAAGGCCAACATCTGTGCAACTTCACTGGTTCGTGACTTTCTGGCTGCGGACATTTTTGAAAGATCTGTGCACAACTTGAACGTCTACTAGTTCTTTCCGATCTTATATATGCTGAAGCATACATCTATAAGGACTCATTCAAGTTTACTTGGTGTGTGCATTTCCTTGCTTAGATGCCACTTTGTTGACCATCCTTCGTACTAGTACTAGACGTGCTTCAAACACTCAATAACCTCTTTTTCAAGGTATGCTGAAAGAGGTGCGTGAGATGGCGTAACGTTGAAATCAGATCTGACGACACGCAGGTATACCGTTCCGCCGTGGATATCTGTTGCACGGTGTTCCTGGAAGGTTCGTATGATTCATGTGCTCTAGTTACCACCGGTACTCATGCTCCATTGGTCATAGCGGCAAGACTTCATTGATACATTCATTGGCGGGTGAATTAGGTCTGGATATCTACGTTGTCAGCTTGTCATCAAAGGGGTAAGAGTGGCTCGAGCCTGAGTAACCGACTATTAATGTTTGCCAAATTCAGGATGAGTGATAATACACTGACAACATTGATGGGTCATGTACCATCCAGGTAGGGTTCTCCGTCATCCACGGTCATTTCTCGGTATTCATTTTATCATCATAACAGATATATTTTGCTTCTTGAAGATCTGGATGCCGCATTCACGCGCTCTGTCAGTCATGATGCATCGTCAACTGGTGCTCCCACAGCATCTAACACCAATAGCACAACCACTGAGACTAGCGATGGATCAACATTGAGCTTGAGTGGACTTTTGAACAGCCTCGATGGAGTCGCCGCTGCAGAAGGCCGGTGGGTTACTATGGTTCCCCTCTGAAACTGCGCCACTAACATGCCTCACCAGACTGCTTTTTGCTACGACTAACCATATTGAGCGCCTTGATCCAGCTCTTAGTCGCCCAGGACGCATGATGTCTAGGTGAATTTCACACATGCGACAAAATGGCAAGCCGAGGGCATTTTCAAGTGTTTCTTCCCCTCGAAGCCTGCTGGTGTCGCTACCACATCTCCACCTGAAGAGGACGTTGACACTTCGCAGAAAAACCTTCCCCTGCCAAAGCGCAAGGCGCGCAGTCACACTATTCCTGTGCTTGATGAGACTGAAATTTCTGAGCTTGCTAAGCGTTTCGCAGATGCTATCCCAGAGAACGAGCTAAGTGTAAGTTTCCGGAAGCGATAATATATTTGCCGTTGACGTCGTTTCAGGTTGCCGCGCTTCAAGGTTACTTGTTAAAGAATAAGGTTCGCCCGCGCGAATGTGTTGATGAAGTTGCACAGTGGCACGTATACATAACTTGGGAAGTGCATCACGAACTCAACTATTTTACAGGATCATTGAAGAACGCGAGACTCGGGAGAAGCTCAAGAAGGAGAAGGCAGAAGTACGTGTGGTACAATATCTGTGTGACTTATGCTGAATTTATTTCAAGCGCGAGGCGAAGGAGAAGAAAGAGGTAAGCTCCTGTGACTCGATCGGTCCTATTGTGATATCTGACCATGGGATAGACCGAGGAGAAAGAATGCAAGGAGGTATCGTGCTTGGTTCTGTCCCGCTGAATGATGTCACTCACAAAGCTATTCAGAAAGAAGAGAAGGTTGCTAAAGAGGTAATGTCCCATCAAGTACACTCGTCAGACATCTGCCCAGGGAGTCGTAAGGCAAGGACGCTGTAAAAGACGACACTGGTCTCAAGCGTACATGGTCGTTGTCGCTCGCATTCGCCACCAGATCTCAACGTGTTTCTCTCGGGCCAAGTCGCACGGAAAGTGCTAGGAGAATGTTGGGGGGTGATGGGGTGAGTACTGCCTCCTCAGGCTCTGCTGGCTTTGTTGTATGGGCACGACTGACTTGGGAGTTTAAATTTTCTGTGTCGTAGAGCGGAGCTCCACAATGTTGTTCTTTCGCTTCGCATTGCGCAGCAACCTTCTTCAATTCTCGCATTCATTGGAATGTCCGAGTCCAAGCCATACTAGCCACTGGACGTGGGACTACATTGACACTGACCCAAGTACGTGCGTCACCCTGAACCCGAACAAGTTTTACGTTGACCACGAGCTAGAAATAGCATCATGCAACCTTGAAAGCTGCACATCGCTGAAAAAGGTGAGTATTGACATTATTAACGCCGTTGCCTGTGTGAAACTTTCCATTATAGGCGTACAATCATATTTAGGGTAGCTGCCCTTGCCGGGGATAGTACTACCAGTGCAAGGCCGTTAAATTGAGTGGAAGTTGTTTGAAGTCAAATCCATCCCTAGTCTCCTCCCTTTCCCTCGATCTCTTTTCCCTTTACTCGTCGTTGAAGCTAATGTCGCAGGTGGACGATATCCCGCAGCCCGAGGCATCCTCCCAGACCTCCGTGGCATCGTCCATGGCGGTGCCGACGTCTGATAGTGCTCGACAAAGGCGCAAAATTGCTGAATTGGAGGAGAAACTGCAAGTGCTTGAGTCGGGGCATGCGGTGAAACAAAGGTATGAATGTCGACATTTATAATCATGTAGTTCTGCACGCTAACCGTTATCAGGGAAACAAACTACTTCATGTCTCAAGGACGAGCTATCAGGCGCATTGTTGCTCTATTTGATAGCATCGAAGACATGATAGCCGAGAACGATAGGCGGTGCGATCTCGAGAGTGATGACGACAATCTAACTCTTGAGTCAGTGTTTTACCTCTCCATCTCCTGAGTGTTACTCACTAGTTTGGTATCAGTCAGGATCGTTTGCAATTCAGTTATATAATCCTCAACAATAGCCTTCCGTGGTTTCACAGAAAGGTTTCTGACATGGAATACAATGACTATATGCACATGTTAAAAAAGGTGTGTTTCGCCATTGTCGATGAGTACCTTGTAATGGATCTTCATTCAGCTTAGACACGGGGCCGACAGTGCTCGAGGGGATGATACCTCGAAGCTTAAGACTCTTATCCCAGATTGGGTCAATCGTGAGTGGAGGCCCGATCCCCCCGTCGACCTCGAAGACAAACACTGCCGTGGATTTGCCCACGACACGTGCGGTAGATTGCTCTGTCCAACCGAGCTAGACTGGAATGATCCAACGTAAGTAGTATCACACTTATGACATCTCAAGACACTAATCGTTCACCAGCGTCAGAGCAGGAATCCGGGACCGCGCGGACGGCTATGTCGTGACAGAAATGTCTTGGCCGGCGTTCCTTTATGCAGGATATACTGCCGATCAGAACAATCTCGAGGAAGGTCTGTTCAAAAGCAAGCTTTTAGTTCAGGTTCGTCGTACATAGATAGCTTCACAAAGACCTCACTTTTTGCAGGCATTCAAGGCTATCTTTACATCCCCCTCCTCAGCAAAGGACGTTTCCGGCGATGGTGATGGCGCTAACATCATCGAAAATAACAGACGTGCGAAGAAGGATCCCTTGGGCAAGAAAGTCAAAACACATGTGGCGCAAATCATCAAGATGAATAAAGTGTCAGCCCGCTCGATCGCGTATGTATCGTGTCAAGTAAGTGGTCAATTTTTCGTGTCCTTACGAGGTACTAACAAATTATGTAGTTGCGATTCGCACTTTCATCAGTGACTTCGTGGCGATCAATAGATGGTGATTTTGATTACACGCAGTTCTGGTTCAACATCGTAGACTTTTTTGAACGCCCCCCTGGCCGAGTAGCGCAGCGCAACGTTGACCGGTTGCTTACATGGTGGACAAGGTATATTATTTTCAATACTTTCAATTTGACAAGCCGTTGACTGTTTATTAGGAAAGTCTTTGGTACCAGTCATCATACAGAACTTAGTGATGCGGCAAAAGGCAAGATGTCCGTCAATGCTCTCGCGATGCAGAGGGTGCGACTGGATGATGCGCAGTTCAATTCCGAGTAGTTTACCCCTTCGGCCAGTTATTCTTACAATAGATAGCAACCTGCCCAATATAATGTCGATTTGCATTTACCACTTGTTTGACGTGTAAAGACCTACGATATTGGTGTTCGTACCATGAGAAAACAACACATAGGGTCCTATGTACCTCTCTTGACATGTTGTTAATGTATCTGCATAATACACGTATGTGTTTAGTAGGCTGCACGAGGAAATCTAGCGTGATAATTGGAAAAGCCAGGATATTCTCTCCTTCTATGTACACGTTAACAATCACAAGGAGGCTGACAGGTGACGGCGATCTTAGAACATATCGAATTAGTAGCCCAATTCACGAGACATGGACAAATCATCATATTCTCTCAGTCTGGTACAGGTCGGTAATTGCTAAGGCAGAGCGGAATGACATCGGTAGAAACCTGATATTACCCAACAGCAGCTTTGTCATTAGATGAGGAAGCTAAGCCGCTCGTCTCGTGAGGTGCAAAAAGTGCAATGGTTTTGATGGGTGGCGTGATATATGATATACTCGACGAGTGATCAATAAGGGCTCGAAGTAATGTATGACCCACTACTATATTGTTTTAGTCTATGCAGGCGTCAGCAATTGCTGAAGCAAAATGTAACTATACCAATTATTGTAGACAATAGCACAACTTCGGTCATAAATACTTGATTTCGCCCATTAACACCTTGATGATTGGATGGGGGGCGGCTGTCACCAGGGTCCCGAATTCACTTACACGGCACTACACAGCATTTGCGCAAAACCTTGGACCGCTGTGAGACGCGTGGCAAATGAATACAACTGCTAGTCGTTGGGTATTCATACGATTTCGCGTGACAATTTGAAGTAAGCTGTACGTTGTATATGTTTGCTTGATGGACACATTCCGGCTGCGATACGAAAGTGGCACTTCTTTGCACAAATTCGCAATTGATATATAGTAGACAAACATGAACAATTTAAAGAAGGTGGCGTTAAAATTCGCACAAGGGCATCAGTTTGCACTTCGTAAACACTTCGTGGTACTCTGCAAAACACGAGTTTTTTGGTCTGGCTTGGGACGTTGCACGATACTCGAAGAAAATCAACTTTTTGGAGAAGAGGGCGTCAAAATTAGCACGAGAATATTAATTTAAACTTGTGCACTTGGTAAACACCTTGTAGTTATCCGGAAGATTAAGGCCTTCATGCCTGACTTTGACACGATGAAATTCACTTCTGAGGTGCCGATAGTGTCTCATGCAGTTCGACCCTTTGATTTTACTTCATATCACTTTCGAGTTAGAATTCCAACGATATGTAGGTGTTCTCCCGATCAAACGCTGGTGTAGGAAATTTATGCATTGTCCTTTCCTGTATAAAGTCAAACATCACTATGTGATGATGGATAGCAGAATTATACAGATGTTTGTGATTGTGTACTATGTATCGTCATATATACTCTTATCATCTTTCCTCCAGTTCACTGATGGGTGGGCGCGCAAACTCGCTATGCGGGCTGCTTGGATCACTTTACGTGCATACTGATATACGAAGATAGAAGGGGTGGTGTGCGTTTATGTACAGGTAGTCTAACGTACTAACAAAATAGACAGATTCCAAGAAGCGGATTCTAACAAATTCAGGGCGGGCGTGTGGACGAAAATAAATATGCGAGCGAGCGAGAAAGTCGGGAGAAAATGAGCGAGCGTATCGTATGGTTCGTAGTGTCACGAATGTACTAACACCCCAAAGTTAAATGTTTGAGGAACTCCACTTCTCACCATCATCTTCCCAACAGCTTGCTTGTCTGCCGCCGCCTTCTTCCAAACTTCAGTATCCCCTTTCAACGACTACGAACTCTACAAACATTAGAATTTCCTCTCCCACTAACAGTGACGTCGTCAATGGTCCCATGTCTCAAGCTTTTACTATCACTTACCTGCCATTGCTTGTGCTTGTCTTCCCGCTTTAGCCTAAATGTTTCTCGCGGTTTTTCATGCATACCTCCAAACTTAATATCTTCTATGCAGTCGGATGTAGTAGAAGAGACCGGCGGGGGCATCGCCCTATAGACTATTCTAATGTGAATAAACTTATACATTTGATTTGCAGTCTACGTATCTCTAACAGGGGCCAGGCTTGGGTCAGGTCGTGAGTTTCCATGAAAACATTATACACGTCTTGATATATACTTGATATGACAATAAAGAATTCTTCACACTTGCATGCTTTGTTCCTCAGTAGGACTAGAAGCAACAGTCGTGTCGCCGTCCCATTTCTGCTGTTCAGCCTCGAGAATCTTACGAGAGACCTTACTGCGAGAGCGAATTTTTGAACCATAGAAGAAAAGGACCTGCGTGAAAAATAAAGTGAAATCTGTGAGCACTAATCGCCGTGTAGGTAATTTACCCACCCATGGAGTTGGTGCCATTAACACGCATAGCAGCGCCATAAGCGTCAGTCCCCATTTATATGTCATACTAGCAAACATCTGCTGTGTGAACAATGGGAACATCAATCCCATTAGATTTCCTTCGGTTCCCTAGTGAAATAGAATAAATAAGCAAAAAGTGAGAGGACTCACGAGCCAAGCTCTGCCCTGCTTGAGCCGAGGAGGCATATGGGCCATAGCTAGGTTTACTCATGAAACACGTACAGGATAGATGTGGCGAAGCACATACCAGTCTGCAACATACAAAATTGAAACTTGAAATATCACGAAGACGCCAGACATAAATGCCTGTAAATCCATCAAACGACCAACTTTAAATACTGTTGAGAAATCAACATACAGTTAATGCAATCAGAGGCACTATCCAAGGAATGTTAGGTGATGCCGTCCATGCGTAAATCAACATCGAGACGGGCAAGACAACAGCAGCGACGCATGGCATGTATAGCCGTGCTTCTTGGCCCTTTATCGAAAAGTGTTTCCTGGATGGCATGAGTCACGACGAATGTCATGTGTTGAATTTGTTACCGGTACAAGGATTCCTGATACATGTTCGCCATAAAACCTATGATAGCTCCAACACTGTTGATGTGAAAGATCAGATACGCAGTATGCAAGGAATATGATAACTTTCCTTTGACACAGAAGTACAAATCCTGTGTCGCTGACGCTGAAGTTGTAGACGGACTGAAATTCTGCCGTAACGGATCTTTCGTGCAACCCACCTTAGCAACCGAATTTGATCCAAAGATCGACGACACTTACTCGAACAAGCAATACAGGATTCCCCAGATGATGCCAATCCAAAGCTGCCATGAAATAACGTTAACTGCCATTGGTGGCACACAAGATCATAGTCACTGACACTAATGCTTTGGACAATGGGTTCTGTGAAGAGAAAATCTAGAGTTGTGTTAGGAGAGACTCTGCGGAAGATTATTTTGCATACACAATGGCCGTGTGCACGACGTCTTGATCAAAGATGACATGTTTGGTTTGTCAATTTCAGCGCTGGACCGATATCTGGGGTCACCAGTCATCTTTCTCGTGTCCTTCGCGATGTGAGTTAGAATAATCGATGAACGGGTTTCGTTCATCAATAAGATGACAGCAAGCACAAATGCCCCAGTGAACCTGACAAGAAAATTTAACGAGAACCTCAAACATGTAGCTTTGTGAACACACATAGCATGCACCCATTGCACCCACCGCCAACCGAGGTGCGGACTGGCAGAAATGAGCCCCCCAAATGCTGACCCAAGACCGAAAGCGAATAGCGATGAGAATGCGTACAGAGACATTGGCAATCCGCGTCTGCAACAGTGTCAAAAATGGAGCTACCACAGGTGTTTTGCCTTACTCGTGTGGCTGCCATATATCGGCAATGCTACCTCCAATCAACGATGCACCACATGAACCAAAGACCCCTTGTAGTGCACGCGACACAACCACAGTTTGTATGTTTGGTGCCCTGCTAATGGTGAGAACCTGTCTGTTGTGACAATGACGCGACAACTTACAACGCATTCATAACTTCAGCGAGAAAAAACAAAGTCGACGACATGATATAGACAGGTCGTCTGCCACGTTCCTGAGACGCAGATGCGGTTATATCCAACGATACCAAAATCAAAGCCAGTTCTTACCTCGCTGAATGATGAAGAGATCAAAGGGACAATCCCGTAACCTATCGCGTACAAGCTCAGCCCCAAAGTCGCCTGCAGTCGAGTGCAATTCAAATCCGTTATCATGGAGTCATAACTGATCGCATATGATGACGTTGCAGCCCCTGTTGAAGTTATTAGATGGAAGGGCACTGTTACTAAAAACCGAGGTCACCTGTGATTCCGGCGAATGCACAACATATGAGAGTGATCGTCCACTTCCGCGCATAAGAGAATTTTTTTGGGTCCCGTGGGTCTCCTTCGTCAAAGTTAATCTGCTCAACGTCAACATTCCTGGATGTGGAAAAGAATTGTACCAGTAACAATAACTCACAAGTATAAACTCCTGCTCCTGTGGAACATGAGTTATAGGCGAGGGTGAGATGATGCTTTTACCGGTGTGGGCCATTATCATCAGAACTTGGTCTTTCGATTAGAAGTTGGATGGCCTTTTAACTGTCGACGGGGCAGGAGCTATAATAGTCACAAACATTAGGGTACCAGGGTCTTTCCATGGTATGGACCGTGATGCCTCCCCTATTACACCATAAAGCCCGTGCATGAGTAATACCAGCATCCCTCTCCGCCTATAAGGAGAATTTATTTGCGACACTGTCGATAGGAGTAGGAGCGGTGTAAAATGATGCAGGAGTCCCTCTTCAACGGGACAGCATGCCGTCAGGTGCAGTCATGTGTATGAATAGTGGCACCGCAATTCTATCTTATCAAGTGTGCGGAGGAGCGATGAATGGGGCAAATACGACAGAACCTAGAATAACGAATAACCTTGTCAGTTATACTGATCGAGTCGCGGTAATTGGGTTAGATGCGATTGACCCTGGTAAAACCCAAGCACGGATTTTTTCAAATTGTCAAGGTTGTCGCCTATCCCTGCTTCAACTAGGTAATAAAAACGAGTCAAGGGTCATTGCAAGGAAAGGTTCCTCATAAGGAAAGTGTGCTTACGCTTAAAAAAAAAGCATGCGAATTGAAAAATTTGAACCAAGTCCAGAAAAGTCGATTCAGGGGTTTTCAGGCCCGCTGAGTACGTGTAAGCCTTCATGTCCATATCACTATATACGTACAATGGACAACCGGCTGATAACCAAAAGTTCTGTTGTGCAGAGTCGCAGCAACCGCTGTACAGAAGGGCGAAGTTATGAGCTGAGAAGTCCGCATCGTAGAAGTCAGATATTGGCTACAATTATTAGCTTTGGCGCTTGACCTCATCAGAGTACATCCTCGTACTACAGGGTTACCGGTAGATGATGAATTACAAGAGTATTGGCAGGTCATCTTTGACGACAAATAGCTGACGGCATGATAACAGCTGTCTCGTTGGTGACTTCAAAAGTTTGAAAAGTCAACTGTTCGGCTCCTGTCCTTGACAGCCCGCTCGAAACAAAGAAGATAAAAATCACGATATCCACCCTGTTATAAAGATAATCAGTTCCACCGGTGACGCATAGAGAATGATTTGCCACACTTGGGGGCGAATACTCATAATTTACCTAAGGAACAGAACGTGATGAGTAAATCCAGGAAACTCGCCGATTGGATACTGCAAGAGTATACGGGGACATCCGGTATACGCCCGTGCGGTGTGAGGATAATATAATATAGAATTTAAATACCTCAACACCACACACGCATCATAGGATTTCTTGTGTCACTATCACCCCACTAGAATAGCGGACGCATTCAATGCTTTTAACACCAACCCAAAAGGAAATGCAAAACAACGCTGCAACTACGTCAGTGTTCTAGCCCGGGAATACGAATTCTGAACCAACAGGGTGTTCCATTCACCACGACTAGGGTATATCAGGAAGGATAGCATTGCCTTCCTTCATTGCACTGGACACAACAAGCATATCTACACCGATCTCATGAGAGTGCAGAACTAGTGGCCAAAACTTGGTGTTATCGTAATATATGCCGCAATTCATGCATGGAAGTAAGAAGGCACCTATCGCAGTTTGAGAAGTCGAGGCGGTCTGCCATGGGATGTCAAGAATTTACACCTTATCTTAAGCTGAGTTAAAAGGGTTAGTCGTCGTTCGGTAGAACAAGGCTACACGCACCAGTAACGGCGATCCAGTATGATAAGCTGTCCACTGCTAGTCTGGGAACTGTCTGCCACTACCACTTGCGGAGACATGAAGCGGCGGTCGCGAGAAACCCCACCATGGTAATCATATTTCCCCAGCAAACGCCTAGATTGGGGGGCAGAGCGGTCCTGCATGCTTTAAGCTGACAGGCGAGCGCTATCATGATGATCATGGTATGTCGTGATTCGTGAAGCAGGTGGCGGCCTGCAGACTCGGAAGAACCTCCCGTTCGAGAACCAACATTACATACCAATTGACATAACGCCCGGCTAATATTACTAAGCTTACATTTTGATTAAGTTTGGGCGCCGATCCAAAGATTCCACGCTGCCATGCAACTGCCAATTCACTTACTTACTACTCGGATCAAATCGATTCAGATGATCACTGCTACTACCAGCAGTAGTAATAGTAGGACGCCGAGCGATAGTGACTCATTTGCATCGTGTCATGGACCTGCACCTTGTGATATCCCCGGCCTCTATAGAAAGAAGATCTCCGAGTCTGCTGCCAGTGGCCACGGTAAGCCGTCTTTGGTTCCACGTGTGCATGATCAGCTGGTCTGTGTTTCTGCTTCAAGCTTTAGTGGTTCACAGGCTTCAAAAACCCTATCATGCCAGACTCCAGTGCCCTCGGAATGTACTAACCATGGTCTTGGCCCGGGCCGGTTGTACATCCGACCACCGAATAGTCATACTCCTTATTTCTGGCTGTCCTGGATCGCACCATTGGACAGTCTGATCCAAGTGTGGTGTGTGAAATTCTGTTTTACTGTTTGCCGTTCGCTCCAGCACCACTGGACGTATGGAGCTGTAGTGATGGACTCTGTAGTGCCAGTGTCTCACCTGCCGAATCCTGGGTGCATCGTAGTCAAGAAAGCTGTGCGTCTAGGAAATTCTTTACTAAATCTACAGGCCAGTGGAGGAATGACTTTCGTCGTGGGTTTGTGTGTAATGTAATTGTGGATTACTGGGTACTCATGACAATAGACTTTCGGAAAGATTGAGACATGATTTCGATACGTCGTAGCCATCGAGGTGCTTAGATACATGAGCTTATGCGAGTGTAGATGGCCAAATATTCATATATAATAATCGTAGTCATCTTCGGAGGGCGCGTCCGAGTCTATATATCTCCACTACATAAATTTATCCGTGGGTTGATCACATGAAGGATCATTACAGTTGTTGACTTGGGATATGCAAAACAAGGGTTCGTTACACTTGCATACTTCTTTCCTCAGTGGGGCTGGGAACAACAGTTTTCTCGCCGTCCAATTGTTGTTCCTCAGCTTCGAGAATTTTGCGAGAGACTTTACTATGCGAGCGGATCTTTGAACCAAAGAAGACAAGGACCTGTGTGAAAAAAAAACCTCTAAGACTTCGCTACCGATCAGTGTATGCAGATTTACACACCCACGGAATTGGCGCCATCACCAGCGATAGTAGCGCCCAGAGTGTCAGTCCCCACTTATATGTCATACCAGCGAACATCTGCTGCGTGAAGAGCGGGAAGACCATTCCCATAGTATTTCCTTTTATAGTCTGGTTTAGTGAAAGAAATAAACATAAAGTGCAGACTCACGAGCCAAGCTCTGCCCTGCTTGGGCTGAGGAGGCATATGGGCCATAGCTAGTTTTATCCGTCAAACATTTGCAAGATAGATGCGTCTAGACACATACCAGTCTGCAAGATACAAAAATGCAACTTGGAATATTACGAAGACGCCAGCCATAAATGCCTGCGAATCCATCAAAACGACCAACTTTAAACACTGTTGAGAAATCAACATACAGTTAATGCGATCAGAGGCACTATCCAAGGAATGTGAGGTGATGCCGTCCATCCATAGATAAACATTGAGATGGGCAGGACAATAGCAGCGATACACGCCATATATAGTCGTGCTTCTTGGCCCTTTGTCGGAAAGTATTTTCTGAATAGCATGAGCAATGACGAATGTCTGGTACTGACTTTCTTACTTGTACAAGGTATCCTGGTATATATTCACCATCAAGCCAATAATGGATCCGATACTGTCAAGACGAGAGATCAAATACGGCGTGCATGTGCAACAAGATAACTTTCCTCAGACAAAGGAATGCAAATCCTGTTTCGCTGATGCTGAAGTTGTAGACAGACTGGAACTCCGAGGTGACGGATCTTTTGTTAAACTCACTTTAGCGACTGACTTCTATCCAGGAGTCGATAGCACTCACTCGAGCAAACAGTACACGACCCCCCAAGTGAAGCCAACCCAGATCTGTTATCAAATATCGTCAACCGCCAGTGGAGAACATAATCAGTGGTCACTGACACTAAAGCTCTGCACAATAGGTTCTGTCAAGAGTAGATCTGTGATTGTAAGGTTAGGAAAAATTGGCAAATAACTGTTTTGCGTACACAATGGCCGTGTACACGACGTCTTAATGAGAGATAACATGCTTGGTTTGTTGATTTCGGCCCTAGACCGATACCTGGGGTCACCGGTCATCTTTCGTGTGTCCTTTGCGATGCGGGTTAGAACAATGGATGAACGAGTTTCGCTCATCACCAGGATGACATCAAGAACATATACCCCAGAAATGCTGGGAAGAATGTTCAAAGAGGTAGCAGGACACGGTTTTTTGTCGACGCACATAGCATGCATCCATTGAACCCACCGCCAACCAAGGTGTGGATTGGCAACTATAAGCCCCCCAAACACTGACCCGAGGCCAAAAGAGAATAGCGCCGAGAATGCAAACAAAGACATCGGCAATCCACGTCTGGAACATTTATCAATAAGTGAGTTACGTCACTGTAGGTATCCTGTCTTACTCATGTGGCTGCCATATATCAGCAATACAGCCTCCGACTAAGGATGCACCTGTTGAGCCAAAGACTCCTTGTAGCATACGTGACACGATCACAGTTTGTATGTTTGGTGCCCTACCAGTGATGAGCGCCTGTATGTTACAACAATTACACGACAACTTACAATGCATTCATAACTTCAGCGAGCATAAACAATACGGACGACACAATGTAAAGGGGCCGTCTTCCAGTCTCCTAAAGTATAGATGTCAGTCAATGATAAACGACAGCAAACTAGCCAGTTCTTACCTCACTGAATGACGAAGAAACCAAAGGGACAATGCCAAAACCTACTACGTACAAGCTCAGTCCAATAGTCGCCTGAAGTTGAGTACAATTTAGGTCATGCATCATCGACTCATAACTGATCGAATAAGATGACGCTGACGCCGCTGTTGCAAATATCAGATAGAATCACAACAACACTGGAATCCGAAGTTACCCGTGATTCCAGAGAACACGCAACCTGTCAGCGTGATGGCCCACTTCCGCGCATAAGAAAAGTTTTGTGGATCGCGTGGGTCCCCTTCGTCGAATTTAATCTGATCAATGTAAACCTTCCTGTACGTGAAATGAAATATGACAATGACTTACGAGTATCAACTCTTGCTCAGGCTCCTGTGGAACATGAGTTGTATACGAGGGCGAGCTGATGCGTTTACTGGCATCGTCCATTATCATTGAAACCGGGTCTTTCGCTACCAAAAGCTAGATGCGCTTTTAAATGCCAATGGGAGAGAGAGATCTGAGTAACAATGAGATTGACAAGCAGTCAGGGTATCAGTATTTTCCCCTGTAATGGACCGATGCCTCGCCCATTAAACCATAAAGCCCATGGATGAGTAATACTAGCATGATCTCTCATCTATAACGAGAATGTCACAGGAGACGTTTCGTCTTTGTCTCGGGGAGGCGAGGTCAAGAATAGACTTTCGGCCGACACTGTCAAATAGGAGTAGTTTCAGTATGACTGAGGACAGCACAAGTGCGGGAATCCCTTTGGAAAGTGCGAGCACCAGAAACCACACATGATCCAAGTCAACACCTACACCATTGCTATCCACCTTTCGTTCTGGAGATCTCACAAGTAGGGGGAATCCCGGCTCAGTGATATTGACCGGCTAGGGTGGGGTGATCGTATGATATGGTGGCGTGGCGAAGTGGATCCATATGCTTGACATATTCATAGCACGATAAATGGGGAAAATATGATTATAATGGACCCTGCTTCAAGATAACAATATTTCGTTAGTGGAACTCGACAACTTCAAGTTGGCCGTCGACATGTCATGTATCATGTTCAAATCTGATCAATTAGTGCTAGGCAACAAAAAGGAGTCATGTGGTCACTGTAAGGGAATATTCTGATAGGAAAAGGCATTGCTTACGCTTGAAAATGCATCCTCATGCGACTAGACCAAAAGGAACTATGTCAGACTGTCTCCTGAACAACCTACTTGGGGCTCAAGGGTTTACGCGTACGGACCGCTGTGTACGTATAAGCTTCATGTCCATGTCACTGTAAACGTAAAACGAATGACAGTCCGATAACCAAAGGATGAGTATTATGTAGAAGCTGGCCGTCGATTCGTTTAAATGCCGCTGGTCCTATTGGAGAGAAGATTAGATTCACAGCGTGGACGTGAAAATACGATCTGGAAAATTCGACTTGGTAAGCGTCAGATACAAAGCATTGACACCGGGAAAACCTATATCTGCGATACCAAGAGCAAAGTCTAGGCAGAAATAAAGACGCACGACTAAATTAGACAAGGCTGATGCGGCAGCAATCATTCAGCCTCGGAGAAGCTGACTCAGCTGAGCGGAGCTCTGGGAGTCTGCCGTGAAGTTTAACAACGACTCGGAAAGTTCACGATTCAATATTCAGCGCTCAGCAACTTCACTGAAGCGATTGATGACTTACACAGATCTAATAGAATGTTGGCACTAACAAACTTGGCCCAAGTACTGTACCAGTGGCAGGCTTGACTCTGAATCAGTTGTCACGACTCACAATGACATGTCACAATGATCTAGACGCGTCGCGTCCGCTCCGCGTTTCTCACGTGCCGCTTGCATCTGTTTTCACTGCCTTGACATCACCCGTGCCTAGTGTGCACCACTATTACTCAAAGTCTCCGTCACGACCGCGACCGAGCCTTGGGCTGGCTTTATCTAGACACAGGAAAAGTACGGAGCATTTCACGACGATACATGATTCGCAATAAGTCCAGCTACCTTTCAGATCATGTCGGATCAGATGACGTGGGTACTAGGATTCAATTTCCGGTAGTCTTCGTTGACGTTTACACCCGCAGATGGAAGATATTCTTGAGATGACGCTCATGGATCAACGTCCCGGTGTGCCTGTTAATGTTGCACATCCATCTCAATCTGCGAAGACGCCGTCGTATCTTCAAAAACATGATGTCAACACCCGATTGTCTTCTCTAGAGGTTGAAATACAAGGGATAGACGAGCAGATAAAAAAGTTGACTGCTCTACGGGGGACCTTAATTGCTGAAAAAGACGACCTCACTCGAGAACGCAGCCGTATCAACCTTGTGCAACCATCAAGGGGGCTCAATGACGCTGTCCGGACTAAGGGTAAGGGTAAAGCAGCTACAGTCGACTACACTGTCAGCTTCGACTGGTCAACACAGCTGCAGCTGACCATGAAGAAGGTTTTCAATATTGGTGACTTTCGACTGTGCCAGAAAGGGTCAGTGCGGTGTCCGACTTGCTTTCTGAATCTCAAAAGACCGTTAACAGAGTCTGCAATGCCAATATGGATGGCCGAGATATTGTGTGTGTCATGCCCACCGGTAGGACGATAGATGTCGTCTTTTACCCGTTGCTAACGTACTGTTGCAGGAGGTGGCAAGTCATTAACCTATCAACTTCCTGCTCTCCTGACACCAGGGTGTACACTTGTGATATCTCCCCTTATTTCCCTGATGACGGATCAGATTCTACATCTGAAAGAGTCAGGAGGTATATTTGCTTTTATCTGAAATTTCTTGTCTTCAATATTGAGGTCCTTCCAGTGGAAGCTGTAATGTTAACAGGGGGAACTCCACGTCACTTACTTAACGAGATTCAGCAAAGACTAACATCCATGGCATCGTCTCGGGTGCATGGACATCAAGGTCGGGACATTAAATTATGCTACGTCACGGTAATACAGCAACCGAAAAAACGATCTTGGACTGATTTATGATCAGCCAGAGAAAATAGCTAAAAGTAAGACATTTATGTCTCTTCTGCGCAAGCTTGTGGAAGGTGGAAAGCTTGGTAGGTTCCGAGCCCGTAATATTGAAATCCTATGATTAGTTTGCACAAGCTCGGATCGTTATCGATGAAGCTCACTGCGCTTCTCAAATGGGTCACGATTTTCGGTACATTTTTCGCCCCTACAGACATACAACCATCTCACCGATCGCCCATCAGCCCAGACTACAAAAAACTGAGCATCCTTCGCCAGTTCTTTCCTCATGTGCCCATTCTCGCATTGTCTGCAACCTGCCCTCCGAGAGTCCTCCAAGATATTCTCAAGATTCTCAAAATGAAACCGGTGATAGATGGGAAAGGTGTGCATGTTTTTTTGAATGTGCGAACAACTAAAGCGATATGTCATTGCGCACAGCTGCCCCACCAGATGGCACAGTGTATTTTTCTGCTCCTCTGTACCGCAAAAATCTGCATTACACTGTCTTGCCAAAACCATCTTCAGCAAAAGAACTCATTGTGACAATGTCGGACTACATTTTGCAAAATCACAGAAATGATAGTGGTATCATATATTGCCTCACAAGAAAGGTATTTTGATCCTAGCCATCGCAGACATCGACTTCACATTTTTGAAGGATGCAGAATCGGTTGCTGAAAGCATCCAAGCGGTTAGCAACGGCCGCATCAAAACGGGCGTCTACCACGCGAATGTCGAGGATGAGCAGAAAGAAAGGCTTCACATGCAATGGAGGGAAGGGAAAGTTCAGGTAGTTTGCGCTACAATAGGTCCGCCTCATGTGTCACATCACATGGACTTCGGGTCCTGATGACTGGGGTAGCTTTTGGCCTAGGAATTGACAAGGGCAATGTTAGATTCGTGCTCCACCATACAGTGCGTCTTTCATTTCAGGTGTTTTCTGCAATTCAGTTGCTAAAATGGTATTCAAGATATCGGTTCGTGAAGCCTCAAAGCAGTGTTCTGCGTATTCACCGAGTGCTCGCCATTTCACAGAAGTCTCTCGACGGTTATTATCAGGAGTCTGGGCGTGCTGGGCGAGATGGCCAAGATGCAGACTGCGTGTTGTACTATCGTCCACAGGATGCTACTCGTCAGGCTTCCATTACTTGCAGTGATCAGGACGGCATGGTGAAATGTGAGTCATCTCCATATTTGAATATGAACCATCATGAAAGACTTCCCCATGTCCCCCTTAGTGCATGACATATTACGTTTCGCGCAAGACATGCAAGAGTGCCGCAAGATCTTATTTGCAAGGTAAGCCTAATTCGTGCTTGTGTCACAAGAACGTCCGGCGATCGTTATAGATACTTTTCGGAATCATCCGATCTCTCAATGGCCTCATGGACCACGAACGAATCAGATGCAATGGACCGATGTGGCCATTGCGATAACTGCACAAGACTTCCTGCCAACGTGGAACACAAGGACGCTACAGTTGAAGCGTGGCAGATTCTAAAGATACTCGAAGCTGTGGAGGGTAGCGGCGGGCGGCTGACTATTTCTGGCCTCAGTGACCTGGCGCGCGGTTTGGGTGGTGGTTCATTCGAAACTGGTGGCGGCGGAAAGCGCCGAAATGCTAAAGAGAAGATACAGATTGATTATGATTCCGTGGCTGGGGGTAAAGTGAGGCTATCAAAGGACGTGAGTTCTTGTTTCCCATGTAGAATTTGATCTGATCTGATCTGATGTGAAAGGATATGGAGTCGCTAATTGTGCAGATGCTTGTGTTGCGGTACCTCGAGGAGACCTTTTCGTCAACGGCATACACTGTGAATGTTTACGTCGCACCCGGTAATCAAGCGCTCCGGCTCACCCGCTTCGCTCGCGAAGATATCGTCAATGGAGGCGGGCCCAGAATCCAATGCTCCTTCAGGAGACATGGGCGTAAAGTAAAGAGCAAGAAGGCTGCTATTAACGGGCAATCTCCCGATATGCTGGATCTGCAAGAAAGCACCACGGCTGGCCCGTCACGAATTCGGAAACCAGCCCAACCAAGAAAGAAAAGGGTATATGAAGATGTATCGGACCCGGACGAAATTGAGGGAGAAGATTTTACGAGCCAGATAAGGCTGGTTGATGCCGAGGAGTCGGATGATGACGATGAAAACGATGCAGATTGGGCTTACTCACTTAGACCGCCTCAACCAACCAAGAAACGGCGAAAGAGTGAAGGGCAGGCGAAGGGAATTCCCGCCAGATTAAATACAAGGACGAGCGGGGATGAATATGAGGTCATATCTCTCTCATCAGACTAATGTACAAACATGCAAGGATGTAACTTATCACCGT